CCGCGCCGCCCGGCCCAGGGGCTGCCCGCAGGGAGTGGGGGCAGCTAGTGGGGCTGTGTGCTCAGGCTGGGGCTCCACACAGGTGCCCACTGACTTGCCTCCCTGCTCTGAGCACCCTGTTCCGGGAAGGCCTGCGGGCCCTGGGTCTGCCCATCTTGTGGTAGGGGTCTGCCCCTCTGCCCTGGGATTGGCCTCAGCCCAGCAGGTGCCAGCCCCGGGCACCATGGAGCCAGGATGCCCCTCTGGGCCTGGCAGCCTCTGACCTCACTGAGGGGCCGGACTCCCAGGCTGCAGAGCCCAAGGGAGACCCTGTCCTACCCCCTCGCCTTGACAAGGGAGGAGGGGGTTGGGTTAGAGCCAGCTGCGGGCGCGTGGGGGACAGGGCCACAACGTGGACATGCCTGCCCACGCACTCCCAGGACCCGGTTGCCGGGCCGGCCAGAGGGGCTGTCACACTGACCAGTCTGCGCGGCCCGGCCTGCCCCCAGGGGCCAGCCCACAGGCGGTCCTACCGGCCCTGAGACCCAGCCTCCCCGCCGAGCCCACAAAGGCACCTGCCCAGCGCTGTGCCTCGGGGTCACCGGCCCTCACTCGGGCCGCTGCCCCCAGCCCGGGGTAAGGAGCTCCGTCTCGGCTGCTGCGCTCCGTGGACCCATCACACGCCCTCTGGACCCAGCGGGCGGCCCAAACCCAATTCGGGGCGGCCATCGCCATCTTACTGGGCAGCATTGGATGGTGTGTGGTCTCTAATACTGCCTGGTAATGATGACGGCGGGCCCCGCGCGCAGCACGGCCGCCCGCACCCCCTGCCCCGCCCCCCGCCCCCCCCAACACCAACTCCTGCCCCACGCCGGCCCCCGCCGCCCCCTACAACCTGACCCTTTGCCCGCGCAGAACCCCCCGGCCCCCGCCCCGCCAACCTCCCCAGCAGACCTCCCTGCCCATCCCCCAACCCACCCCCATCCCCCAACCCCCACCACCACCCCCACGCCTCGCCCGCCGAACTGCCCCCCTCTGAACCCCCTGCCCCACCAACCCCACTGGTCCCCCGCCACCTCCACCCTGCCGACCAACCCCTGGCCCACCCCGCCGAACCGCCCCCCAGGCCCGCAGGCACCCCTCGCAGTCCCCTGCCCCACCTGTCCCCCACTCCCCACAGCTCCCAGCAGACTCCCAGCAGGCCCCCCCGTGGCGCCCCCCTTTCCCCACCGACCCCCCACGCAGCCCCCCCACCGCCCTCCGCACCCACGCCGGTGTCCCCCCACCCGCCCCCCCCACCCACCGGGCCCTCCAGGCAGCAGGCTGGCCTTGGGGTGGGGCGCTGCGTGGGACCCGGACCCCCTCAGCCCAGGGCCTCTGGACCAGGCTCGGGGGCAGCGGAGCGGGACTGGGTGGGGCGGGGCCCAGCCTGGGCAGCGGCCAGGCCCGGCCTTGCTCTGCTGGAGGCCGGGAGAGTGCGTCCTCGCATGGCCAGGGGCCCCTGTGGGCATCTTACCGGACAGTGCTGGATTCCTGCTCGCTCTAACACTGTCTGGTAATGATGTTCAAAGGCGGTCGCCGCTCGCCGGGAGGCGCCGGAGGCCGGCCCAGCCCCAGGCATGAGCTCTGGGAGCCCAGGGGCCTAAGGCGGCCGCCCACTCCCAAGCCAGCTGGACTTCAGGGTAACCAGACCCAGAGAGACCCAGGCCAGGACGCCAGGACTGGAGACAGCCGCTAGCCGGGCCGTGCCCCTGGTGCCCCCGCAGGGCCACAGCTGCCGGGGAGAACCCACTGCAGCCGCCACAGGCCGCCCTCTGCGGCCCCTACCCAGCGCCAGGGACCTGTGACCAGTGTGACCGTCCCAGGGAGCCACAGGAGCTGTCGGGGACCCACACCCAGACGGCCATGTGGCCCCTCCCCGGGCCAAAGTGGGCCTGGGCGCCTGCCACCCCCCAGAACCCCCGCGGGACACACACCCCCCCAGCCCATGCCAGGCCCGAGGGGGACACTGCGCAGTCGGCCAGGCCAGGCTGCCCCGTCTCAGCTCTTTGATGTCGGGCCAGACCTGCGCGCCCAGCGGTCGCACCCGGTGCCGGCCCCTCCCAGAGGGGCTGCCGACCGCACTGTTACTCATTAACAGCTGAGGGCGTTCGGGCAGCGGCGAGGGGCGCCCGGGATCCGCGGGCCAGGCTGCCCGGGCGCGCCGCGGGCCCCCACAGATGCCCAGAGCTGGCCTGCTGGTGGGCGTCTTACCAGGCACGGTTAGATCTGGGTCCTTCTGTCTAATACTGTCTGGTAATGCCGTCCATCCACGGCCCCATCGCCGCCGGAGGAGCCGCCGCGGGAGGAGGCTGCTGCTGGGCCCTGGGAGGGCGTGCGGGCCCGGGGCCGTCGTGGGACCCTTGGGCTGCCGAGCAACAGGGATGAGGTGCCACTTCCCTCCCCTCTGGGTGCGGACCCCCCAGGCGGGCCCAGACCCTCAGGAGGCTCCTCCTCCCCGTCTGCCAAGAACTGTCAGGGAGGCAGCGGGCAGGAGGGGCCAACCCCCAAATCACAGAGGGAGGACCCCCTGGCTGGGGCAGCAGGGGTGCCCTCCAGGTGCTAAGTCCCAGCCCCCCGGAGCCCATCCCCCCCCGCCCCCACACGGTCCCTTCTGAAGTCAGCTCCAAACCCAGCTTCCGATGCTGATCCCCCCTCAGGCCCGTGGTTGCCCCCCGCAGCCCTGAGCCCTCTAGCAGCCCTGTGACCTGCGAGGCCCCTCACCAGTGGAGCAGCCACCTCCCGAGCCGGCCCTGACCGGGGTCTCGGGCTGGGCTGGGCTGGGCTGGGCTGGCTGGGCTGGGGGTAGGGGCAGCCGCCGCGGGCCCCAGGGCCTCTCGGACCCACGGCACGCAGGAGCAAAGCCCAGGGGCTGCGGCCAGAGGAGGGCTCCAGGGCTCCCCGGGCCACAGCGACTGGCCAGCCCCAGAGATAAGCCAGGCCGGCAGCTCCCTGATAGGCGGGGACAGCCCTGGGCACCGGCGGTGGCTGTGGTCGGCCTGCAGTCAGGGAGTGTCTGGGCATGCATGTCAGGGCTCAGGCAGGGGCTGTTCCCAGAACCTGAGGGGTGGGCATCAAGCTGGGGGGACCAGGGTAGCGGGGCCCCCAAAATTGAAGTGGGGGTCCCTGGAGGGGCTCCTGGGGTCTGTGCTTTGGCGGAGGCAGAGGAGCCCCCAGGCCTGGCCCGTGATGGGGTGGGCAGGCACCGGGCACTCATCCCCATGCCAGGCAGGCCCGGGCGGCTGGTCAGTGTGGAGCAGGCCCCTGTGTCCAGCCGGGGCCTCAGGCAGCCCCGGAGCCTCCACTGTGTGGTCTCAGCAGCCTCCAGAGCATGGAAAGGGCTAGGGGCGCATTGAGCTGGGGCTCCAGAAGAACTCCCCACCTGGGGCCGGCCCCCCCAGGAGGTGCAGCCAGAGCAGGGTCCCGAGGCGGGAGTGCCCCAGCACGCCCCCCCCCTCCTCGGCTGGCCCCTGTGTTGGAAGGCAGGGCCTGGGGCAATCCGGGAGGAGCCTGTGCTCCCCCAAATCTGACGGCAAGCCCCCACCACTGCTGCACCCGGAGGGCACACATGCTGGGCTTGGTGGGGGAAGACGAGACTCAGCAGGTGAACCGTGAGCGTTTTCTGGGCTCAGGTCCTGCGCCGGGCATGGGTTGGGGGCCTTGAGAGGCTCGGGGTGATCCCGGGCACCTGGAGGACCCAGGTGGGGGCGGCGACCCCAGCCCCTGGCCCAGGGTGATGGCCCCGCTCCCGCTAGTCGGGCACCCCCTGTCCCCGCCCCGGCCAGTCAGGCACCCCCTGCTCTCAACCACCTGAAAGGCGCTTCCCTCCGGCCGTGCAGTTGCCGGGCGCCAGTTGCCAGGACACCACTGTTGTCCCTGCTGAGGGCTCCCAGCACCTGGCTGGGCAGGCCAGAGGGTTAGGTGGGCCCACTGGGGTCCTGGCTGGGCACTACTGTCCGGCCTGCTGTCCTGCAACTGCCCACAGGACCCAGGGATGGGCCCTGGACACTCACCCAGGAGCAGGGGTAGGGAAGGGGGCATGGGCTGGGCCGAGCCCTCGGGGGCACCCCAGCCTCCAGCGGGCAAGGGGCCTCCAGGCGCGGGCAGAACATGCGGGGGTGGGGGTGTCCCCCTCCCGAGGGGTGGCCCTGCGGTCCCAGCACGTGCCCCGGCGGAAGAGCCGCTCGGCCACGCCAGCAGCACCTCGTCTCCCCCACCTCATCCCTCGGGGGTCTTGCTAGGTTCACGAGGCTTCTAGCAACACGCGACGTGCGCCTCCCGCCAGGCCTCTCACCCAACCAGGTAAAAGGTTTCCTTCAAAGCTGAGCGTGTCACGGCGCCCGGGGAGATGGCCGCAGGCTGGCGCCTGACCCCACACTGACGCCGGCCCAGACTCAGGCGTGGCCCACCCCACCCTCGCCGGCCTCCAGGCTGCGGTGCTGCTGCTGTGCAGGGTGCGGGGGGCACCCCAGCTCCAGGTGCTCACGCCAGGTGTAGCGCGGGGTGCACGGCTGCCGCGGGGTCCTTAGGGCCATCAGTATTCTGGGGGGCCCCATACTCCCCGCAGGAGCCCTTGGACCTGGTGCTGGATGCTGGGGGCCACGTGGGAGGGGGCTGGGGCCCAGCGGGGGGCCCTGTGCACCCCCACAGTGGTCGCCAGTTGCGGCCTAGCTCAGCCCGGCTGCGGGGTTCGGGGTCCGCAGGAGGGGAGCCAGGGCTGCTTCTCACCTGTTATTTGTCACAAAGTCCCCCCTCCCAAGCAGCCCCCAAACCGGACAGACCCTCGAAAGGTTTTGTAAAAATCCCGCAAAGCGGCCCCGCTGCCACAGGGCAAGACGGGGGCCCCGGGGTTTCCTCCAGGATGGGGCGCCCGCCTGACCGCAGCCCCCTTGCAGACCGCCGCAGCCGAGCCCGGCGCCGCCGCCACCCGCCAGGCAGGCAGTCGGCTGGGGAGGCCCCACCCGGGCAGACAAGATGCAGAGATGGCCCCGCCCCCCCGGGGCACCCGGCCCCTCGGCCGCCTGGCGGGCAGCAGCGGGCCGCCAGCTGAGGCCCTCGCGCAGGACGCCGGGAGGCGGGGCAGGGCCGGCCTGAGCGCCTGCCCTGAGCCTGTGCTGGGGCCCCGCGAGGCCCGCAGGTCCCAGGGAGGCCTAGGGGTGGTGTCTCCCCAGGGGAGCCCTCACCCCGGGGCCCCCACACCCGTGACCTGCAGCCGCATCCGCTTTCTCCACCGCTGGGGGCCGCCCCCTTGGCCGCAGGCGGGAGCCAAGAGAGGCAAGTGGCCCAGGAACGCCGCCGGCGGGCGGAGCCGCCCCCAGGGGCCAGGGTGAATGCGGCCCCGCTGCCCCCCCCCCCCCCCCCCCCCCCCCCCCCCCGGCAGGGACCCCAGCACAGGGCCAGGGCAGCGCAGCCGGGCTGACAGGCTCCGGGAGGGACGCTGCTCCCCGCCCTCTGGGAGGGCACCCTACGGGCAGCCCTGGGGTGGCCGCTCCTGCCCCCCCAGGACAAGCTCCTCTCCCTTGGCCCTCGGGTCACCCATGAGGTCACCATGGACATTGTGACCTGTGCCCCCAGGCGCCCCCGCCTTGTCTGCCCCAGCCCCAGCCTCACACCTGCGCCCCTGCCCCCCCCGCCCCCCGGGAGCCCCAGCCTTGTGGGTAAGGAGGGCCCTGCGCGCCCCAAGGCGGCCTCAGGCCCCGGCCAGGCCTGGCCTCGCCAAGGAGCCACCACGGGCTGTGGGCAGGGCCAGGACTCCAGGAGACACAGTCCGCCCACCTGACCCCTCCCAGGCTGGGCCGGACAGACCATGGGGAGCAGCAGAGAGGAGGGGCTACCAGGCCAGCTCAGCCAGGCAGACCAAGGTTCTGGGGGGATCTGGGCTGGCCGGTGGAGGGGAGCCGCGGCGGGGCTAGCACCAGGCCTCTGACCACCTGGCCACGCACAGACCCCCCGGCCGCCTCCCCGGAAGGACCCCTGCCAGAGGAGAGAGGCAGCCGCCCAGCAGCGGCCAGGGCCCCTTCTTCTACATCGGGGGCACCAACGGAGCCTCCATGTGAGTACCGCAGGCCCCCCCACCCCCGGCCCCGCCCCGGCCCCGGCCCCCGCTGCGCCCTCACCCCGCGCCCCCACAGAATCAGCTCCTACTGCAGGAGCAAGGGCTGGCGGCGCACGCATGACGGCCGGCGCGGGGACTACGCGCTCAAGTGGTGCGAGGTCAAGAGCAGGGACAGCTACTGCAGCTTCCGGGAAGGTGGGCGCGGGGCCGGCGGGGGGCCGGCGGGGGGCCGGGGCGGGCAAGGCCAGCGCTCAGCGCCCTCTGTCCTGCCAGGCGAGCAGCTGCTCTACCAGCTGCCCAACAACTCGCTCCTCACCACCAAGATCGGGCTGCCTCAGCGCGCTGCGGGAGAGCTCGCGGGTCCTGACCGCGGCCCAGGGCCCGAGCTGGGCCCCAGCCCCAGTGAGCCCGCCCCGCCCCCACTCTGTCCAGCGCCCAGGTCCCCCTAGCCCGCAGCATGCCGGCCCTCCGGGCGATGGTCGCCCGCGGGGCCCCACCGCCTGGACACTCGCCCATCCCGTGGCCAGCGTCCACCTGCCGGCCCCTCCGACCGCCCGCTCCCCTCCCCGCCACGCCGTCTTCGCGCGGAGTCAGCCATGCCGCCTCACCTCCCCCTCCTCACGCCGCCGGCGCACTGACCGCCGTTTCCCTCCGAAGTCCACTTGCCCCTCCGGCCCCAGACCCCGCCGGTTCCCACACACCGTGCGGCAGCCACTCAGACAGGCCACGTGTCCCCCGCTGCAGCCCCGAGAAGGGCGCCGCGCCCGCCCCTGAGGAGCCAGAGTGGACGAGCTTTCCGGGACAGCCCGAGCCACACAGGTAGGGGCGCTGGAGCCCCTGGGAGGGCCCCGCCTCAAGTGGCACAACAGCTGGAGGTGGGTGAAAGGGCGGGGGCCAGCCCAGGCCAGGGGACCGCCGGGGGTGCGCCCAGGGGCCCTGCTGACCCTCCCGGCACGCTGTGCGGCCTGGCTGGGCAAGCGGTGGGGAGCAGGGCGGGGACGGCGGGGCGCGGCCGCCGGCACCCCCTCCCTGCTCAGGTCCCGGAGTGGCCAGCCGAGCCTGGCGGAGGGGCCGGCCCTCCTGTGCCCTTCCTCCTCCCTGCTCCCCCAGGATCCTGAAAATGGAAGAATTTTTCCCGGAGACCTATCGTCTGGACATCAGGGACGAGAGAGAGGCTTTCTTCGCCCTGTTCGATGGTGAGAGGCTCTGAGCGCGGCCCGCTCTGGGGGCGGGGTTGAGGCCGAGCCTAGGTGGGAGCAGGTTGTTGCGCCCAGCCCGTGAGGGCGCGGTGGGCAGGGGCCAGCAGGGCCGTGGCCGGGACCGTGCCTGGGAAGGGACGTCCGGGGCGTGGCGGGGGGTGGGGCGCGGTCAGGATGGCGGCAGGGCCTGGCCGGCGGGGAGGGCGAGGCCAGGCGGCCGGCACTGGGAGGCGGGAGGCTGTGGCTGGGTCACCCCCAGGCGGGGCAGGCCTGGGGCTCAGGTGCTCTCCCCGCAGAAACCCAGATGTGGATCTGCAAGCCCACCGCCTCCAACCAGGGCAAAGGCATCTTTCTGCTCAGGAGCCAGGAGGAAGTCGCCGCCCTCCAGACCAAGACGCAGAGCTGGGAGGACGACCCCATATACCGCAGGATGTGGTTTCGGGTGCCCCAGGCCCGGGTCGTGCAGAGGTGTCGGCCTGCACCCCGGGGTGGCGCTCGGGGTGGGGCTGCCCCTGGGCCCTACTGGTGCCTGTGGGGGTGCGGGGTCCCTAGCTGGACGCCGTGCGGCCCTCAGAGGTGGGGGTCAGGGTCCGAGGAGATGGGCTCCTGGACAGGGTAAGTCCCTCGGCCTGGGCCCGCCGCTCAGTCAGTCCTGCAGGCCGACCACCCACCCGTCCCCCCCCCCGCGCCCAGCCAGCAGCAGCCTCGGCCTGCAGCAGGCACAGGGTCGACACTGCTCCCCCACCCTCTGCCCACGGCCTCTGGGCCTTCAGACCGACAGCACCCCCCAGAGCGGCCCTGCCTCTCCAGAGCCACAGGATGTCAGCCTCCTCCTCCAGGCAGTCCTCCCTGCCCACAGGGCCCCAATCTGCTGCCTCCGCCTGGCTCCCAGGGAGAGCCAACCTGGGACGCACCGGGTCGGGGGCTGGGACTGGGGGGCCAGGCCCCATGCCAACGCCCTGAACTGCCGAGTGGACGCAGCACTCGGGCCGAGGCAGGAGCCCAGGTCACTGCGGGGGCAGGCAGCGGGTGCTGGGCACCTGGCCAGACCCCGCCCGTGCTCAGCCCCATGCGCCCTCAGGTACATCCAGAACCCGCTGCTGCTGGACGGCAAGAAGTTTGACGTGCGGTCCTACCTGCTCATCGCCTGCGCCATGCCCTGCATGGTCTTCTTTGGCCACGGCTACGCTAGGCTCACCCTCAGCCTGTACAACCCCCACTCCAGAGACCTCAGTGGCCACTTGACCAACCAAGTAAGGGAGGCCCACGGGTGAGCCCAGGCGTGGGGCTGCAGAGGAGTGGTCCAGCTGTAGATTTGCCTCAGACCCAGAGGTGGTCCAGGCCCAGAGGTTGCCCAAGGCCCCAAGGGGGCCCAGACTCAGAGGGAACCTGGGCTGCCCCTGCCTGGAGTCAGCGCTGTCTGTCAGCTTCAGCCAACAGGAGGGCATCTTGGTGAAATGACCGAGAGCCCAGCACCCCTGAACCCCAGTCCAGCATCGTTCCCTCTGGTGTGGATGAGCTGTGGGACGGGGAGGAGCCTGTGGGCAGATGGTTGTGACATTTCAGGAAGTTCCCCGTGGGAAGAGCGGGGGACCCTGTGTGAGCCTCTGGAGGGAAGGGTTGGCACAGGCGGCAGAAGGCGCCCGGGGCGGGGTGTCCAGCGCTGCACACCCTCAGTTCATGCAGAAGAAGAGCCCGCTGTACCCGCTGCTCAAGGAGGACACGGTGTGGAGCATGGACCAGCTCAACCGCTACATCAACAGCAAGTTCCGGAAGCCCAAGGGCCTCCCCCGAGACTGGGTCTTCACCACCTTCACGGTGCGTGCACCTGCAGGGCCCACGGGGTGGGGGGCACCACCCCACGAGAAGGGTACGGCTGGGCGGCCACGAGCAGATTCGCTGCCACGCGGTTGGCCCCGCAGTCCGCCCCGTAGTCCAGCGGTGGAAGGTTCTGGGCTTCACCGGGGAGGCGCAGGCCCCGCGCCATCTGCCTAGGGAAGCGCTTGCGCGCCCACCCCTGCGCCGCCGGGCTGTGGGGGCCTGTCTCTGGGTGCCCAGGCACGTGCTGCCACAGGCCACAGCCCCGCTGCCCTCGCTGTGTCTCCGAGCGCACTGGGGGGGGGGGGAGCTGGGGGTGGGGTTCGCAGGCGCTGCCCCCGCCACAGGGCTGCGTGGTCCACGCGCCGCTCCAAGGCCTGGCCCAGGCTCCTTCCCCAGACCTGCCATGTCTCTTCTTTAAATAGCCACGGGTGGGGGAGGCAGCTCACGGCTCTGATGGGCTCTGCCCTGGCCAGTAGGGTGGGCGTCTGCGCCGCTGCTCGTTGGCCTTTTTTTGAGGCACCGCAGGTTTGCAGCTCCGTGGGCTCCAGGATCTCACTGTCTCTGTGCGGCCACGGCGGGCCCTTGGCCCGCCCCCGGGACCCTGTCCTGCTGCTTTCTCCAGGCCCCACGGATGAGTGAAGCCCTGTGGTCTTTCTCCACTGACCTGCTTCCCCACATCGCCCCCCACGCACTGGCCACGCGTGGCGAGCGCGTCCTTCTCGTGGCTACGTCGTCTCTGCCGTCGGCGGCAGCAGGCGCCTCTGGTCTTGCTGGCTGGGGACAGGGCTGCCCGGCCGCCCCTCTTAGCACTTTCACGCTCTTGGGTAAACGGCCCGGACACGGAGCCGCGGGGGCAGATCTCCTTGACAATTTCGGAGGAGCCTCCAGGGCCTAGGCTGCCCCTCCACGTCCCCCCACGCCGCCGGGCTCCGGAGTGGCGGGAAGGCCGTCCTGCGGGCGCGAGGGGCATTCTCTGCGGGCGGCCAGTCACGTTGCCAGGGGACTCAAGCAGGGCGCCAGGCTGGCCCTGCCGGAACCCGAGCACCCTCCACCCCACCCAAGGTGCAGCCCGCGCGCCCCAGCCGCGCGCCTCTCCAGGTCCCACAGGGCGAGCTGCTCTCCAAGCTGCCCCAAGTGAGAGTCACGCGGGTCGACTCCCCGGGCCGCAGGCTCCCGCGCCAGCGGCGGCGGGGGGCCGGCTGTCGGCGGGGCGCCCCCTCACCCCGCGCCCCCGCAGAGGAGGATGCAGCAGATCATGGCCCAGTGCTTCCTGGCCGTCAAGCCCAAGCTGGAGTGCAAGCTGGGCTACTTCGACCTCATCGGCTGCGACTTCCTCATCGACGAGAACTTCAAGGTGTGCGGGGCCCGGCGGGGCGGCGGGGCGGGCGGGCGGGTGGGGCACGGCGGCCGCCCGGCCCGCCTGGCCCCTGCGGTCAGACCCGCCCGCCCCGCAGACGGGAGGCGCCCCCAGGACGCCCGCGGGGCCCCGGGCCCTGGCGGACGCTGACGGTGTGGGCAGGTGTGGCTGCTGGAGATGAACGCCAACCCCGCGCTGCACACCAACTGCGAGGTCCTGCGGGAGGTGATTCCCGGCGTGGTCGTGGAGACCCTGGGTGAGGCCCGCAACCCGCGCCCGCCGGCGGCTCCAGCCCCTCCCCAGCGCGGGCCGCGCCGCCCTCCCTGCCGGGTGGCCGCGCCCGCTCGCGCCCGCACCGGGCCCCTCGCAACGTCCCCACCGCCCCCAGACCTGGCGCTCGAGACCTTCCAGAAGAGCCTGACCGGCAGGAAGATGCTGCCGCTGCTGGCGCAGCGCCGCTTCGTGCTCCTGCACAACGGCGAGCCGGACCCGGGGCCCAGCCCGGGGGCAGCGCGCGGCGGCCCCTGCCGGCCGCGCCCCCCGGCTGCCCTGCGACGCCGCGCCGGCCCCGCTCCGCGCCCCCGGCCCCGGGCCGCTCCCCTCGGCGCCGCGGCGCCCTCAGCCGCGGGTCTCCAGCCCCGACGGCGCCCGGGACCGGGAGGCTCCGGGGCCCGAGCGGCCGCGAGCGGGAGGCCGGGACCTGGCACAGGAGCCCTCGCCCGGGGAGCACAAGGGCGCGGGCCCCCGCGACCACCGCGACCACCGGGGCTCCTAGGCAGCAAGCCCCACGAGCCCCTCACGGCCGCGCCTTCCCGCGCGCATAAAGGCTACTTTGTGACAAGCACCGCCTCTGCTGCTGGGCCTGCGCCCGCCCCAGCCCCGCGCCGCCCCCCCAGGACACCCCAGCGCCCGCCTGGGGCCCAAGATGCCCTCCCGGCGCTTAGCCAGGCCCCAGCCCTTCCCTTTGCCCCACAGGCCCCCAAGCCTGGGCAGTGCCTGTCCAGGGCAGACGCAGGCGAGGCCTGGGCCCAGGTGGGGCCCACGTCCCCTGCCCTGCTGCCCTCAGGGCGACCCCTGGTGCAGAAGCCACCACCCGCAGGCCGCCACGGCTCGCCTGGCCTGTCGCAACCCACGTGACCCGGCTCGTGATGGTCCATGTCCCACACCACAAGACACGCGCGGCCCCAGAGTGGGCGCCCCAACCCCCGCCCCTCGCAGGGACCAGCGCCACCCTGGGAGGTGAGAGCAGCTGCCGGCCGCTGGCCCCCACCCGGCTCCTGCTGCAGAGGCCTGGGGCCGCCCGGGCCACTCGGGCAGAGGTTGCGAGCCCTGGGCTGGGTGTCCAGGCTCCCTCCACACGTGCCCAGAGCCAGCCACGCGGGCACCCCACACACCCCACCCCCGCCCCGTGTGCTCCAGGCCACCACCCGCCGGCCGCCCCTTTGTCTGCCTGTGCCGCCCCTTGATGAGAGACGCCCGGGCAGCCCAGGCCCCTCCCGCATGCGGACAGCCGCTCCTCAAGGGGCCGTGGCCTTGAGCCTGGCAAGCTGGCTGGCGGGCTGAGCCCGTGGCCCCAGGCCACTGCGCAGCCACCACGCAGCCACGTCCTGGGCCAGCTCCAACGCTCTGCTCCCAGCCCGGCCTCTGCACCCGTCACCCCCTTGGCCTCTCCCACCCCCAGCGAGCCCCTGCGCGGCCTCAGGTCTGGGCATGGCCTGTGACATGGGCACTGCCCCTGGGGCCCGGCTCAGTGGGCTGGGGGCTGTGCGGAGGGGACGCCCGCACACTGCGGCACTTAGGCATCTGGAGACGAAGCGTACCCTGATGTTCAAGGGACATGGCAGGCAGCAGGCACATGGGGACCCCTGCGTGGGGCGGTACAGGGGGGTGCAGGGAGGTGTCCTCAGGCTTTAACAGGCTGCCCAGGCCCGTCGTGCAAGCCAATGTGAGGCGGGCTCCAGACCAGCGCCCTGCCCGCCCCTGCCTCCCAGCCACCCCTCTTCCCCTCTCCCCTAGGGGTGGGTCCTGCCCCTTTGCAGGAGGTGGGGTCAGAAAACCCCACCGCACTGCCCACACCCAGGGGCAGAGGGTGCCCACCCGAGGCCAACTCAGGCCTGGCAGACGAGAGCTGTGCCAGAGCCCAGGGGCCCGGGGGGACACCCCAGCCCTCTCCCCTGGACTGAGTCTCCAGGAAGGCATCTGAGCGCCCAGCTCTCCGGAAGTCGCCTGGCTTCCTGCAGAGGGACGAGCGTGAGCGTGAGCTGGGTCTGCCCCCCCAGGACCCTCCACCTCGGGGGTCGCGGGTCTCGCTGGCTGGAGGCGGGGTCAGGGCTGGGCCAGCCCTGCCCCGGGCCTGGGCGCCCCATGAGCCCCCTGCCCCCACCGGAGGTCTGGGGGGGGCTTTCCCAGCAGGGGGAGGGGTGGGGGAGGCAGGGCTGCTGTGGCCGGAAGCATTTCTGGGAACAGAGGTGGCTTCTGGGTCCTTATCTGAGGTTGATCAGACAGAGACCGGTGGGGGCTGTGGTTCTCTGGACCAGCGGGAGAGCAGCTCCTGGGGCTTCAGGAGGGAGTGGAGGGGCCTGGCGCCGGCCTGGGCAGAGGTTCACCTGGGGCTCCACATGGCGGCCCCAGCGCCGCCCCTGGGGCTGACCTGCCGGGGTCCGGGCTCAGAAGCGCTGAGGGGGTGCCTGCACCGGGCTCCGGCGCGCCAGCGCCCCACCGTGGCCCCACTCGGGCAGGGGTGGCGAGCCCTGGGCTGGGTGTCTTCCGCAGAGGTGACTGCGCAGGGAGGAGGCGCGAGTGGAGGCGGGGCAGGCGGGGCAGGCGGATGAGGGGAAGGGGCCGGTGTGTGCAGGGAAGAGGGGAGCCCTCTGGAGCCCGAGTTCCCGAGCCCAAATCCCCCCACCCACCGCAGCCTGCTCACTCTCCCACACCTGTCCGGTCCTGCTCCGGGAACCCCATCCTGCCTGCGTCAGCCTGCCCCCGCATGACGTGCCTGGCCCCACGCGGCGCCCACGGGGAGTTTCCGGGCTGAGTCAGCCACCTGCTCGCTGAGCCAGAGGCCCCTGGACACCTGGGCGTGGGCAGCCTCTGTGGCTTCCGGGCAGGTCCTTGGACCACCGCCGCTCCGGGCCTGGGGAGCCATCCAGCCCCTGGCCCGAGCTGGCTCCTGGGGGGTGGCTGGGGACCTGGGTGACAGGCGTGAGCGCCCAGAAAGTGGTGTCCCCAGGAGCAGAGGGCAGATGGGCTGTGGTCCCAGAGCGCCCCTCCAGGCAGGACCGCCGGGCTGGGGGCCACGCAGCCGCCCGCTCCTCCCCGTAAGCCAGGCCCTGGGGACAGGGCTGAGGCCCGTGCAGGCGAGTTGGGGCCTCCCGTCCCCCAGGCAGCCCGCGCGGGAGGGGTTCGTGGGCGCCGCAGCCAGGCAGGGAGCCAGCTTACCTGCCGAGACCAGTCCCCAAGGCCACGCAGGCCTGGTTGCGTTGGGCCTTACTGGGGCTCCTGCGGCTGGGGGGCTGCCCAAGGGGCAGGGCCTGGAAGCCAGGGTAGCAGGCGGTGGGCTGGCCCCCGGGGACAGCAGTGGACACTCACCTCACGCTGGACTCGAGGCCCAAGGGAGCCAGGACAGGTGGCCATGGGGGCAGGAGCAGCAGCCCGGAGGCTGCACACAGGCCAAGACACAGCTGTCCGGGGTACTGGGCAGACGTCCGGGGCAGGGATTGGAGGGCCTCTGTGACCTCTGTGCACCCCACCCCAGGCTGGGTGGACACCTTGGGCTCCACACTCAGCTCCCAGCTGCCCCCCTCAGCTGCCAGCACACGTCCACGCAGGTCACTGGACAGGAGTTTATTGAGTGTGGCCTGCAGCCAGGCCCTGTGCTGGGTCTGAACCCCCACGGGCAGGGCCCCCCACCCTGGCCTGGGAGGGGCCGTCACAGCCATGTCCCTGTCTCCCGGGGCCCGCAACTGCCGCCTCTCCTGTGGGCTGGGCGGGTCACGGCCGCCCCCACTCCGGCCGCTGCGGGGGGGCAGGCTGGCACGCAGTCCTGGCTCTGTAGCAGGCTCTGGTCAGCCGAGTGGTCCGGCTGGGGTGCCCCACCTGCCTCATACCCACAGGTCCGCCGGCTGGCCCTTGTCCTCCGCCAGCGGCTCCCCCCGCTCCTCCTCAGGGAACTGGCAGCTGCAGGCATCCTCGGTGGGCAGCAGGGGCCCTGAGGGGTGGCTGCCGTCCGTGAGCAGGCCGGGGCTGGCCTCCCCGACAGGTGCAGGGCACCAGTGACCCGGGAGCCGCAGCCGCCTCAGCCACCACAGGAGCAGACTCAACTGGGCGGCGGTCAGGGCCAGGGCGCAGGCGGCCATGGCAAGGATGGCCAGGGCCAGGGGGTCGGCAGCCATGGCAGGCGCAGCAGGCGGGGGCCCCGGGCTGCACATCGCGTTGTGCGTCCGATTCCCGGGGAACACAGTGGAGAACCCGAACTGGGAGCAGCTGGACATAAGGACACAGAGCCACGGTCAGCCTGCCCGGTTGCCCCACTCTGCCCACAGAGCTGTGGCGCACGCCCGCGGAGGGGGCAGGCGGCCTCGGGGCAGCCCCACACTCACTCTGTCCACGGCCTGCAGTGGTCCTCCTGGCCCAGGGAGAAGGTGCCTGGCCCGCAGTCCACGCAGTCGAAGTTAAAAATGAATCGCCCTGGCAAACAGACGACGGTGGGCTGGGGACTGGCTCTGGGCCACCAGGACGGCCTTGCCTGTCCTCCACCAGGGCTGCAGGGCGGGGGCTGCAGGGCGGGGGCAGGCGGCAGGGGCTGGCACCCGGCTGACCCGAGACCCAGCCCCACCATCGGGTGAGCAGACCCAGATCTGAGCTGGGGGCTCCGGGGCTGGGGCCGCCTCCTGGAGGGGGCGTGGGTGCGGGCAGTGCGGGGCCTGAGCTCCAGCTCCAGACTCCCCACGGGCCCTCGCCGCCAGCCCAGAGGAACCCCACAGAGAGGGCAGGGCTCCCCAAAGCCTCGGGACTTAAATGTGGGCCCTGGAGCTAAGCCCCAGGACAGCCCGACCCATCTGGGCACGGCCAGACCAGGCAGTTGGGCCCCGCGCCCAGAGGACACGCCGGTCCGCCCGGGGCCAGAGGCGTACCATGTGCCTGCGCCCTCTGGCCGGGCAGGCAGGGGTGGTGCCGGCAGCTGCTGCACTGGGGGTCTGCGCAGTAGAACTCGGGCTGCAGACAGGAGCAGTTCTCGGTGTCCTCGGAGGCGCAGTCCTGGGCTGGGTGGGGCAAACCAGCACCTGAGCCCCCAGCGGTGCCAGGCCCTATCTTGTTCTCCCCCCACCTTCTTGGGGAGCTGCCCCTACCCGGGGGACCAGGAGGGACCCTGCAGGGCCCGGGGCTCCCTTCCCTTTCCAGCCCCACGGTGCGGTTCCGGAGCCCCGGGCCGCAGCGGCTCTGAGTGGGGACCGCCCCGCCCCCCTGCAGGGCGATGCTCTGGCTGCTTTCCGGGGAACCGGCACCCAAGCGGGCACAGTCCAGCGGCTCGTCGAGGGCAGGCCCAAGGGGTGGGAGGGCGCGGGACAGGGCTCCGCGGCGGCCCTCCTCCACCTGGGAACCCCACCCTGGCGGGGGTCCCGCTCCCGCTCCCCCGGCTGCCCCAAGGGCTGCGCTGAACCAGGTCCAGGCGCGCGGGAGCGACCGCGGGGTCTGGGCGGGGCGCGGCTCCCGCCGAGCCTTACCCGGGCCTGGCGAGCGGCAGCAGCGCTCGTCCGTCCCGGAGCCGAGCAGGCAGCGCCCCGGGCCGCAGCGCTGAGCCCGGCCGAGCGCGCAGAGCAGCGCCAGGGCGCACAGGGCGGCCCTCGCGCCCATGGCCCCGCGCCCGCCCGCGCCCGCGCCGGGTTTTAGGAGGCTCGCCCCGCCCCCCCCCCCCGCCCCGCCCCCCGGCCCCCCCCCCGGCCCCCCGCCCCCGCCCCCCCGGCCCCCCCGCCGCCCCGCCCCGGCCCGCCCCGCGGCCACCCCGCCCGCCCCCTCGCCCTGGAGGGCGCGCCCAGGGCCCCGCGCGAAGCCGCCGGGTGAGCGACCAGCAGGTGCGTGGCTGGCGCCCCCCGCCCGGGCCCCGCCCTGGCCGGCAGCCGGGGTGCTGGGGCCGCAGAGCCCCGGCGGGGCGCGGGCGCGCGCGGGGCCGGAGGGCCGGGAAGCCCCGCCGCCTGCCCCTCCGCGCGGCGCCGACGCCGCTGTGCAAAACAAAGTGGATTTTTCAAAACCTTCCAAAGAGCCCAGCAGACCGCGGGGAGGGCGCAGGCGGCGGGGCGGGGGCGCTGCCCACCCCTGCCCACCTGGGGGGCTGGGGCCCCCGAGGCCTGGCCCGGGGCCTGACCCCCACCCGCGGGGCGGGGGCCGGAGGCCGAGTGGGGCCCGTGCGCGGGAGGAAGGAGCCCGAGCTCGCGCCAGGGGCTGCAGGAGCCCTGGAGGCGCCTCTGAGCCCCTGGCCCCCCGACACACCCCTCGCCGCCCGCGTGGGGGGTCGCGGCTCGCGGGGAGGTGGGGGCCTGCCTGCCTCGGTGGGGGAGCAGGGCCCTCCTTGGCCCGCCAGGGCCCCTGACCTGCGGGCCCCGGGAGTGGACAGCCCCCACCGGTGCCTCTGCCCCGGCCAGTGGCTGCTCCCGCCCCGCCGCTGCCGGGCACCCTCCGGCCGGCACATCTCTGTCCAGGGGCGCGAGCCAGTCCTGCAGAGTCCTGCCGGAGGCCAGGGGGTCCAGCACACGTGGAGGTGGTCCCGGGTCACCGCCGCACACGGGTCCAGCAAGGTGTGGGGTGCGAGGGCCCCGGGAGGAAGACGAGACCAGAGTCCTGCCTCCCAGGGGACTGGGCCCCACGCCACCCCAAGGGGCTCCAGAGGACGCTCGGGCCCTCCTGCTCCCATGGGTGCCAAGCCCAGGAGCCTGGCCAGCCCCTCCAGACTGGCCCCCTGGGAAGTCGGGGGCCTCAGTGGCAACCGGGGCCCATGACCCCAGAGACCCCGCCCAGCCAAGCCGCCGCCCCGCACCCCAGCCGGGCCAGGCCCGCCCCACCCACTGGCGCCCAGTCAAGGACCACGTTGGCCAACACGGTTTATTGGGGCGCCCAGGCAGGGCGTACACACAGCATACATAGGGCCCGGGGCCGGCCCGTGAGCACCTAGAACGGCACAGGGCAGGACGCAGGGTGTCGGGCAGTGGGCCCCGCAGCCCCCAGGGTGCAGACCGTCTGGGCCCAGCCTGGGGGGCAGCAGCTCCCGCCACTGGGCGCTGCTCAGATCTTGGCCAGCGGGGAGTCTGCATCCGCGTGCTCCTCTTGGATGGGGGTCCGGAAGACGCTGGCCCCTGAAGAGAGGAGCGTGAGGGGGCGGGATCTCGCCCCCCACCCCAGGCGGCTGTCCGGCGCGAGGGCACTCACCCGGGAGCTTGGGGGCGCTGTGCAGCAGCCTCCAGGCCCTGGGACACAGGAGCAGGACCAGCAGGGCAGCCACGGGGCCCAGCAGGCCCAGGCCCAGGCCCAGGATGGTGGCCAGTTCAGGGCCTGTGGGGAGGCAAGCCTGAGGGAATGGGGTTCACCAGAGGACGGGGTACCCCAGGGATGCCCCAGCGAAGTCACAGGGTAGCCCCTCCTCCCTCCACCTCTCTTGACTTAGGGGTGGGTCCTGTGAGGCGAGGCCAGGCCCCCTTACCCGGGGGGGGCTCTGAGGAGGCCCTGGGCTGGACAGTGGTGGGGCTGGCAGTGGTGGCCTCAGCTGGGGTGGCCTGGGTCTCCCAGGCCAGCGTGGGCGGGGGGCGCCCGCTCTCGCAGACACTGTCCGCGCTGCTGTTGGCCGGCCGCTGGGTGCGCTTCCCCGCCAGGGTGCAGCTGGGGGGCAGGGGCGGTCAGGCCAGAGGCCCCGGCCTGGCCAGACCGGGAGGCCAGGGAAGGAGAGCCCCCAGACCGAGTGACCGAATAGGGCCCGCCTGGCCTGCGGCCAGCACTGCCCGGACCCTTGCCGCCTGCCCTTCACTCCCGCTGCCCCCGCGCTGGCCTGCGCCCTGCACCCCGAGCCCTGCCCGCTCTTCCTGCCGCCCCGGCAGGCAGGCCCTGGGGGACACCCCAGCCAGCCTGGCTCACAGGCCCCAGCCCCACAGCTCTGGGCCCCGCCGGAGCCCCAGCCCACGCCAGCCCACAGCCCTCACTTGGTCCAGGGTCTGCAGGCTTGGCCATCGCCCCTGGAGAAGTGTCCGGCTGGGCACGGAACACAGTCTGCAAGAGATCAGGGGATAGGCTCAGCCCGAGGCCCCGTGGGGTGCGGATTGTCGCACCTGTCGCACCGGGGGGTACACCTGGGCTCACCCACTCCCAGCTTGTAGCCGCCCTGGGGCTGGGTGCCGGCCTTGCAGACGCAGACAGTGTCCTGCTCGGGGGTGCACGTCTTCCTGGGCTCGCTCCCACTGCCTGTGGGGGCACCGTCGCAGGACGCTGGGGCTGCGGCTGCAGGCGCAGGGCCCCGCCCAGCCTGGCACCCAGGCCAGAGGCCCCGCCTCGCCCCAGGGAGGCCCAGGTTGGCCCTGCTCCCCCCTCCCACCACCCTGGCCTACAAGGGACCCTCCGGGCCCTGGTGCCGGGTGTCACCACGAAGCCCACGTGACCCACCGGCAGCCCCGACGCCACGTGGCAGGGCGGGAGGGGGGTGCCGGGGCTGCCTCTGGGGACCCCTGTGGTTTGGGGTTTGGGGTGTTTCTGTGGCCACAGATGGGGGGGATGGGGGTGTACACAGCGCCGTGTGCAGGGGGCACGTGTGGGGCAGGGGCGGGGCGGGATGGGGGGGCGTACGCAGGTTGCACTGTGTGCAGGGCTTGCAGTGCGCGTAGTTGTGGGCCTCATTGTAGAAGCCGGTCTGGCAGGGGCTGCACACGGTGTCCTGGTCCAGGCTGCAGCGCCTCTCCATCCCGTGGCCTGCGGGAGAGGTCGTCTGGGCTCCCTGGCCTGACCAGACCCCGGCCGGCCACCCCAGCCCCGCACCTGATCACCCACCAGGCTGCCCGCCCGCCCGCCCGTGCTGGACTCACCTGGAGGGCAGTCCTTGCAGCACCGGCCACCCTGGGGATACGTGTGCTCCGGGCACTGGGGCACTGGAGCCTCCGCAGAGCCCAGCAGGAGCGCCAGCGGCAGGAGCGCCAGCAGGTGGAGGGTGGCGCCGGGGCCCCAGGGCCCGGGCTGTCTCCTGCCCACGTGCATCCTCCCTCCTCTGGCTGGTGCGGGAGTCTGGGGTTTCTTGCAGGATGTGGCTATAAGGGTTGCAGGGAAGGGGCGGGGAGGGCAGGAGGTGGGACCAAAAGAAAAGGGGCCCCAGAAAGAGCTGCAGACTGACCACCAACCCAGGTTGACGGTTACCCCGCCCCTCGGCCATGGCCTCTGACCTCAGGTTCAGTCCCACAGCACCAACGCAGAGTCCCAGCCGCGGGGCCAATCCCCAGGGCCCCACCTGGCCCCCAGCAGATCCCTGCTCCGCTGCCCAGAGGGCAGCCCTGTGGCCAGGCCCCAGACACCCTCCTCACAGCCTGGCCCCACCCTCTGTCCCAAGGGTCTTGCAGGGGCTGCCTCAGCCCTCGGCTGGGGCACAGCACCCATGGAGGCTAGCACCCGCAGCAGGACCCTGCCCAGGCACCGGCCGGGCTCCAGGGCCTGTTCTCAGGCCAGACAGGGCGGCCCCGCACATGGGCAGCAGCTGTGAAGGGGGCAGCAGCTGTGATGGACGCAGCGGGTGGCAGGCATGGCAGGCACTGGGGCTCCCGCACAGCCCAGGTTCCCGGTGGAAGCCCTGCCCACCAAATGGCTGCTTGGAAGGGGGGGCCTCCAGGGAGCAACTGAAGCAGCGTGTGGCCGCCGACAGCCCAACAGCAGGGTCTGAGGCTACAGCAGCAGAGGGACAACCCTGCCAGGCAGAGAAGGCGCCTCCTGCACCCCAAGTGGAGCGGCCTGCAGGGCCCAGCCTGCCCGCACCTGCTTGTCCAGGCCCGGCCACCCGCCTGCCCGGGGCGCCCTGGGCAGAGGCAGGAGACTCGAGAGGATGAGCGATCAGCTTAGCTCAACCAGGGTCTGGCCTGGCCCCGCAGCCCGGCTGCCCGGTCTGGGTAGGGCCCGCGTCTCTTCCCACAGCACCAGGCCTGGGGGGTGGGGGGGGTCGTGAGCGGGGATGGGGCACGCAGGTCCACGGCGCTCACGCCTGCACACGCCTGCGTGCAGGCCTGGCCTCACGGCCGTGCCTCATACCTTAGCCCCGGGGAGGGGCCTCCCGGGCGGAACGGGTGCGTGGAAATCCCCCGCCGCCCAGGCACTCAGGTAGGAGGCGGCACCGCAGGCCCACCTGCGGGAAATTCCACCCAGCTCTGCCCGCCCGGTGGCTGCACGGACGGCCTGCCAGCACAGCCCACCCAATGCCACGCGCTTGCATCGAAGTCAACGGCAGCCCGAGACGGGTGGCTCGGGGCCTGGTGCCCACGCAGGACCCCCGGCCTCTGGGGCCCCCTCCTCTGGCAACGGCTGTGTCCATGGCGGTGCCACAGGCCGCACCTTGGGGCCTGGGCCAGCAGGGGGGCGGCAGGCAGGCAGACGCGGGGTCGGCGGTCAGGTTGCGTGGACCCTCGCAGCTTGGCCCATGTGCCACCCGCCGGTCGGGCCTGTGGTCAGCAGAGAACCCAGGCCCCCGGGGCCCTTCCCCTCCCCCCCAGCACAGCCTGGCAGGCACCCGCAGACCTCCCTGCGCCGCAGGCCAGGCCCCGTGGCCAGATGGCCGGCCTGGACGCGTCCAGGGAAACCTCCCGGCCACCATCTGTCCCCAGCCACCAGGTGAAGTGGTTTCCACCAGAGAGCGGAGCTGGAGGAAGGCAGCAGCTGTATTTTAGAGTAAACGAACGCGCTTCTCGTCACAAGCATCTCGCTTTCTGGAGACCGACCGCGGCTACCGGCCCCAGGGGCCGCCCCGCAGGGCCCCGGCTTCCAGCAAAGCCTAATCTTGCCGCGATCTGTCTTCGAGGAAGCGGTGGGCGGCGGGCTCAGAACTCCTCGTGCACGTTGCGGGCATAGTCCACCAGCTTGCTGCCGGTGAAGAACTCGCTGTACCTCAGCACCTCCTCGGGCTCCAGGTGCTGGTTCTGGTTCTCGTCGGCGATGGCGATCATCTGCTTGGCCTCGTTGAGGGCGCTGTACTCGTTCATGGGGTCCATGTACTCCTGCAACACACGGGGGCAGGGGCCTCAGCCGAGCCAGGGACGCCCGCGACCGTCTCAGCTGGGGGCGAGGACGCCAGGCCAGAGGGCTGGGGAAGGGGCTGGGCTGGCCTTCGCCCGCCTGCAGCGCCCAGGTCCCGCCAGAGGCAGGCGGGAGAGGCGGGCGGAGGCCTGCAGCGGGGAGGCCCCGGCGGACATGGGCTCCCCAGCGGGGCTCAGGACCCTGGAGATTAGCTCGCTGGGCAGCCAGACCCCGGGACCCGCCAAGGCAGGAGCTGCAGGGGAAGCGGGGAGGGTGGGGGGCGCCTGGCGCCAGACCCCTGGCCGGAGCGTGGGCGGACACCTCACTGGGCCCCCAGGCGGGCGCGGCGCCAGGGCTCACACCGACGGGCGCCCGAGGGACGGCCACAGCGGGGGATGTGCCCGCCAGCCCAGGACTGCTCCGAGGGCGCTGCTGTCATGTGCCTGGTCCGGGGCGGGCCTGCGCGGGGTTGCAGTCTGTCCACAGGGCCCACCTCCAGCTCCTCCATGGTCACGATGCCGTCGTGGTCGGCGTCGATCAGGTCCTCAAACTCCCGCTTGCGCTCCTTCACCCAGCTGTCGTCGACGTCCTGGCCCTGCTGATTCTCCACGGTGCCCACGGGCAAGGAGATGAACTCGGACAGCGACAGCCGCTTGTCCCCATCCTGGTCTGTGGACAGCAGAGGGGACGCTTGGACACTGCGGGCACGGGATGAAGGGCCCCCAGAGCAGCAGCCAGCCGAGGCCTCTGGGGCAGCCAGCAGTGCCTGAGCAGCCCAGCCAGGGCCCACAGGCCGGCCCTGGGGAGAGGCTGGACGCCCCTGCGCAGCCGCTAGCGGGCCCGGCCCGGCCCAGGCAGCTCACCCAGGTCCCTGACGATCTCCTTGACCATGAACTTGAGCATGCCGCGGCTGTGCTCAGGGTGCAGGAAGGACAGGAACTCGTCCTCAGTCAGCAGCAGATCTGAAGGGGGGTTGTCCGCCTGGTACCAGCGGTCTTTGAGGTTCTCCAGGACTTCCTGTGCTGAGAGAGGCGTGGGGTGAGGGTCCTGCGCTCAACGCCTGCTGCGCCCCACAGCTGAGGGGGCTGGCTGCCCCATCCTGCTCTCCAGCAGCAGAGGAAATGGCCCTGAGGAGACCCACCCTGCCCACCGGCCACGGCGACAGCACAGAGCAGGCCAGGCGCTACCCAAGGCGCCCACGTGTCCACCCAGGAAGGCCAGGGCAGCCTGCGCTGCGGACTCGGTGCCAACACAGCGAGGCTCAGGCAGGCCAGTCCGAGCGGCTGGCGGACGGGGGCCGGGCAGGGCTGACTGCCAGGGGCGCGTGGCCAATGCAGGAGCCGGACCGGGCACATGGCCCTGGAGGCCACCTGAAAGGTGGGGCTGTGCACCCAGCAGCAGTGGGGAGGGTAAGCGGGACGCCAGGGCTCAGGCACCCGCGGTGGGCCTGCGGCGGGGCGAGATGGACGCAAGTAGGCTCAAGCGCAAGAAGCTTTCGGAAAGACCGAGCTCACGGGAGCAGCGAGGGTGGCTCCATCGTCTAAGGCGGGGCGCCCCCTTCTCCAGGCTGCCCGCGGAGGACAGGAGGGGAGGGAGGCCCTCCTCGCTGGCCCCAGGACCCCAGCACCAAGGCCAGACGAACACCCCAGAAACAGAAACCACAGATCACGAGCTCTCGGGGACACCAGCGCGGCCGCCCACCAAGCATCCACGGTGGAGCCGGCGACGCAGAGCGTGACGGCCCCAGCGGGGCCGGCCTGGGGTCCCCACACAGACACGCGGCCGGCAGCAGGCCCCAGGCGGACACCGCAGCGCCCCTCCTGACCACGCCCCCAGCTCGCGCCCCGACGGGGCAGGGCCTTCCCCAGAACAGGGGCCCTCCGCCTCAGGGGACGTCGCAGGAAAGCCCGAATGACCAGGCCCTGGAAAGGCGGCGGGCGCAGGGCGCCCAGGCCTGGAATTCCAAGCCGAAGGCACGTGCAGAGCGAGAGGGCACAGCTGTGACCCCGAGAGCGGCCAGGGGTGCGGCGCCAGAGATGCAGCCCCGAGCTGTGCCAGGCCGAGGCAGAACAGCCGCCACCTGGCTCCGGCCCGCCGCCACCGGCATTGAAAGGGGCCGAGCAAGGGGCCAGGCAGCCGGCCCGCGCCGCAGGTGAGCCGGCCTCAGAGCGGCCCGAGGGGCACAGCCCTGGGCAGCGACCATCAGGGGCGGGGCTCTGAGTGCCGCGGGGTGTCCCCGTCCAGACAGCAGGGACCCTGGCCAGCACCCAGCCAGCCGCAGGCCCCTTACGCCACCACCCCTTGCCCCAACCTCACCACCACTGGGCTCTGATGTGGGGGCGTCCAGGCCAGACGCGCCGCCCACTGCATCCCGCGAGCGCCCCCCACAGCCGCCGGCGCCTCCCCAGGGACTCACTCTCCTCGTCCACCTTCAGCTCCTCGTGGTTCCTTATCTTCTCGGCGACTTCCCTCTCGCTGTAGCCTTTGCTGGCCAGAAACTTCACCTTGTACTCGTCCCAGGACACCCGGCCTGAGGGGGCAGGTCAAGCCTGTTAGCGTGTCAACACGGCGCCGGGAGGCGCGTTCTCTGGCTGCCGCGACAGGCCTGTGCAATCCTGCGCTCTGGGCCGCTGCCGGAGCCGAAGCGCTGGGCAGTGCACCCCGGCTTCCTGCAAGGGCTGCGGGTCCACAGGGTGCCCAGCGGGAGCCCCGCCCCCACCCCGCCCTGAGCCGGCCCAGGGCCGCGTCCGCCTAGAGGGCAGCAGGCCGGCCTCCCTGCTCCCTGTTCCAACTCACGCCACCTTTGGTGGCCTCTGGGCCAGCCTCACCGTCCCCATCGGGGTCCACGGCGCGGAAGTGTGCCTTGTTCTCCTCCACGGCCTCCTGGAAGTGCTCGGCCGACTTAGCCATGATCCAGCGCTGCATCTCCTTGGCGCTGATCCTCCGGTCGGTGTTCACGTCCACCCTGCCGCAGGCGAGCAGTCAGCCAGCCCTGGCCCCAAGGACAGCGGACAGACAGGCAGGGGGCAGACGGCAGGACGGCCAGGGCTTCGGGGGCAGGCGGGAGAGCGGGGGAACGGCGGGACAGGAGATGTTGGGGGATCTGGGGGCCTGGGGCAGCCGCTTGCAGTTCCAACCCCAGGCTCCGGGCTTGAGCTCACCGCCAACGGCCGACTGAACCCCCACGGTGGAGAGAGCCTCACACGTGCCCCAAAGGAGTGGCCTCAGAGGCTTCCAGGCAGGGGGACACGTGGAGATCCGGGAAAAGTGGCCACCCGGGGCATCCTGCCCCACGCCCACCCCACCTGCCCCTCCCGCCCCGGGGCCCCTCGCTGGCTCCGCGGTCAGGTCCTTCCGGGCCCGCCAGTGCCCGATCCACGCAGCATGGCTGGCCCAGCGAGGAGGGCCTGGGGGCTCCCGGCACCGTGACCGCCCCCAAACGCTTGGCAGCTTCTGCCAGATCAGCCCCCAGTCTCCTTCCTGACCTGGGGGCCCAGAGGGGCTGCCCGCCCTGGCAGGAGGCAGGTGGCTCCACCCTCCCCCGTGGAGATCTGAGGAGGATGCCAGCCCGGGCCCAGCTCGCGACCCAAGGCCACCACGCGCAGACCTCAGCGGGAGCCAGGCCAGCGTAGGGCGGGCCCCGAGCACAGAACGCGAGCCCGGCAGACCCGGGCCAGGGCAGCATGTCCAGTCCACCCCGTACAGGCTGGGCGGACAGCTCACTTGCCTCACCCCCCAAGTCTGGTGTTTTCCCTCCGGGCACCTGAAACATCAAGCTCTCCCCGCCCCATCCCCTTTCTCTGCCTGGCCCCCCAGGCCCACCTCACACCTCCCCCACCCACCCCCTGCACAGTGCGGCCCCGAGCCCCTGCTCCCCGGGCCCCCCGGCCTGTCACCCGCCTACCCGCTGCACTCTGGCGGGACGGAGCCCTGGCCCGCTGGCTGGCTCCCTTGGGTGCACAGCGGAATGTGGGCAGGACTCGGGGGCACTCAGGAATGCTTTTGGGGACCAGGCACCTCCAAGGCCCTGCGATGACCCTTGAGCCAGGGCCCTCAAGCCCGGCCCTGAGACTGTGGGGCCAGAGCTCACCTCCCGGCTGCGGTGGCCAGGCGGGCAGGAGCAGCAAGCCCTGCTGGGCCCAGCGGGGGCTGCGGGCCAGGGCCAGCCCCACGCACACAGTCGCGGGTACCCACGCAAGTCCGAGCGCCCCGTCGCCAGGCCCCCCTCCTCTGCAGTGTGGCCAGCAGAGCCCTTGCCCACCAATGCCCGCCTGGCCACGCCAGACAGGGCTGTCCTGTGGGTTCAGAATGAGCGGCCGCGGCGCCACAGCCCAGGCAGTGGGGGGCGCCTGCCCAGCTGTGAGGCCAGGGGGCAAGAAAGGCCCGAGCCCTGAGGCTCGGCCTGGCCTACCCTCAGCTCCGGTGCTGCGGGCTGGCCTTGGTATGGACCAGGGCGGGGCCGGCACCCTCCTCCCTGAAGCCCCCCACGCCCCAGGGGGCGACACGGCCCTGCCTACTTGGAGAAGATGACCATCAGCTTCCTCCTGCTCTTTCGCGGCTCTGCGTCTTCCTCGAAGCCGTCCATGTCCTTGCCCAGGAAGACCTCCTGGTGGAAGTCCTTGTTGAGGTGTCCATCCATCTCTAGCTTCACCCCGTTCAGGTGGTCGGGGGGCAGGATCTCATTCTCCTCCCTGCCACCCGCTCTCTCCCGCGTGGACGAGTGGTTGGCGGGCCGGGCGGAGCCCTCCGTCAGCAGCAGGACCCCCAGGAGCCAGAGGCAGCGAGCGGCCCGGCCACAGGGGGCAGCCTGCCCGGACGCCATGGCCGGGGTGTTGGCAGGACGGCCGGCAAGTGTGGCCAGAGCTGGCGACAAAGGGAGGGCCGGGGAGGAAGACGTCAGGTGGGGACGGGTACCAAGGTCAGTGCCCTGGGCGCAGCTGGGCCCCAGCACCCTGCAGGCCCGGCCAGGGACAAAGAACTGCCCTTTGATCAGCCCAGCACGCGGGCGGGCAGCGCGGCGGGCCCGGCGCCGGGCGGGTGCGGCCGCGTGCCCCGTGTGTGGGCTGGGACGGCCTCACCTCCGCGGGGACCCAGCCCAGCCTCCCACGCCCAGCGCCACGGGCCTGCCCGGCCCGCCCGGGCTGGCCCAGCGCCGGGTCCCGGCTCCCGAGGCCAACGCGGCCCCGGCGGGCCGTGACCTGGGCGCAGAGGCGCGGCCCCCCGTGCGGTGCCCGGCCGGGACCCCCGCCCGGGCGCCCGCGCCGCCCCCCGGGCCGAGCCCCCGGGCGAGCCCCGGCCCGCCGCCCGCGCGTCGCGCCCCGCGGGGCGGGGGCCGGGCCGGCGCGGCCGCGGGGGCGCGAGGTCGCGGGCGCCCTGCCCGCCTCGGCGGCGCGCGAGGACCGGGGCGCCGCGGCCGCAGGCCCCGCTCCGGCGACGCCGCCACGTCCCTCAGGTCGCGCGCGCCGGCCGGTGCGCGGGCGCGTCGGGCGTCGGGGTCGACGCCGCCCCCGCCCCCGCCCCCCCCCCGCGGGCTCACCCGCCGGCCGCGCTGTCCGGCCGGGATCCGCGGACGGACGGACGGGGCCTGCGCGCCCGGGACGCCTCCCAGCGGGCCGGTCAGGCGGCCGCCATCTTCCTTCCGGGAAGGGGCGGGGCGGGGCGGGGCGCGCGCCGCCGGGGACGCCGGCGCCGCCATCGCCGCCCCGGGCGGAAGCGCGCGGCCAGTGACGGCGCCGGGCGCCATGAAGCTGCCGCTGCGGCGCGCGTGGCGGCGCCGGGCGGCGCTGGGCCTGGGCGCGCTGGCGCTGCTGGGCGGCGCGGCGCTGCTCCTGCTGGCGCGCTGCGCGCCCGCGGGCCCCGCGCCCGCCGGGCCGCCGGCCCCCGGCCCCCGCGCCCGCGCCCGCGCGCGCCGCCGCTTCCTGGCCGTGCTGGTGGCCAGCGCGCCCCGGGCGGCCGAGCGGCGCGCCGCGGTCCGCAGCACGTGGCTGGCGGCCGGGGCCGCGGGCGGCGACGTGTGGGCGCGCTTCGCCGTGGGCACCGGCGGGCTGGGCGCCGAGGAGCGGCGCGCGCTGGAGCGCGAGCAGGCGCGGCACGGCGACCTGCTGCTGCTGCCCGCGCTGCGCGACGCCTACGAGAACCTGGCGGCCAAGGTGCTGGCCATGCTGGCCTGGCTGGACGAGCACGTGGCCTTCGAGTTCGTGCTCAAGGCGGACGACGACTCCTTCGCGCGGCTGGACGCGCTGCTGGCCGAGCTGCGCGCCCGCGACCCCGCGCGCCGCCGCCGCCTGTACTGGGGCTTCTTCTCGGGCCGCGGCCGCGTCAAGCCCGGGGGCCGCTGGCGCGAGGCCGCCTGGCAGCTGTGCGACTACTACCTGCCCTACGCGCTGGGCGGCGGCTACGTGCTCTCGGCCGACCTGGTGCGCTACCTGCGCCTCAGCCGCGAGTTCCTGCGCGCCTGGCACAGCGAGGACGTGTCGCTGGGCGCCTGGCTGGCGCCGGTGGACGTGCGGCGCGAGCACGACCCGCGCTTCGACACCGAGTACCGCTCCCGCGGCTGCAGCAACCAGTACCTGGTGACGCACAAGCAGAGCCCGCAGGACATGCTGGAGAAGCAGCGCTCGCTGGCGCGCGACGGCCGCCTGTGCCGGCGGGAGGTGCAGCTGCGCCTCTCCTACGTCTACGACTGGTCGGCGCCGCCCTCGCAGTGCTGCCAGCGCAAGGCGGGCATCCCCTGAGCGCCGCCGGGACAGCGCGGCCTGCGCCCGCCCGCCCCCGCCGGGCCCGCGCCGCTCGCGGTGGGGCCAGGAGGCCCGGGGTTGCCGGAAGCCACGGGAGCCCGGACTGGACGATGCCTGGCCTTGGGGGGCGAGGGGCGAGACCCCCTCCCGTCCGCCGCGGTTGGCGGCCCTGGCAGGCCTGTGTGGGCAGGAGAACGGAAGCGCCATGTCCTGCGGATCCGGCGGGCACCCTGCTGGCGCCCCTTCTGCAGGGCCCTGCCCCGCGGGTGCCGGGCTCCCCACGCGTCCCGCCGCCTGTGCCCTGGTGGCGCTCACCGAGCCGGGCGATCTCCGTCGCGTGTGCGGGTCCTTGCGCTTTGCAACTGTTTTTTTAAAAAGCTGCTCTTGGGCTCGGAATCTTAGATTGATCTGTTCCCGCTGCGCCAGCCGTGCCAAAGCGAGCGTGTAAACACCGGGGACTCGGAGCTGCCGCCAGAGCTGGACCGTGAGTCGGCCCCGCTGTCTCCGCCAGGACGCCGGCCTTTACGGCGTTCCTGGTGCACCTGCACTGCGGTCTCTGGGCCAGCCCCAGGACTTCGCCCTGGGAGCCATGACACGGCGTGAGGCGGCGCTGGTGGCTGTTCTGGGCCCCGCTGCCGCGCCCGGGGCCTCCGTCCTCCGCGCCCTCCCCCACGGGAGGTGACAATGCACGCTCTGGTCTCGCCAGGGTCCTGGCGCGGGGCCCGCTATGGCTGCTGGCCGGGGCTGCGGGGGACAGCCCTGGGGGGCCTCTCCCAGCCTGCCCGGCCCCCGTGCACCCTCCTCTGGCATAGCCACAGCCCTCCTGGTGCCCCCAGCGGGGCCCTGGCCCCCCTTGGGGCTCGTCTCTCCCTGACCACGCCCGATCACCCCACCTCCAGTGCCACCACTTGGGGAGCTAGGCCCACCTCAGGGGCCCGCACATAGCCGCGTGGGCCGCTTCCCTGTTAAAGGCCAAAGACTCGGGTCCCGGACTGGAGAGACGAGTGGGGTATTGAGGTTGGCGCCCTGAGTGTGGAAGGCAGGGGCTGGCATGGAGGTGCCGGGTCCCCGCGGCCCTTTCAGTTGGCCACCTCGCAGCTGGCCGCGGGCTTCCCCAAGTTCCCAGGACAAGGGCCCCCATCTCCACTTGGGGCTGCAGGTCCGGGACGGCATCCTGTCAGGGGCCTGAGGCCCAAGACCATGTAGGGCCGCAGACAGGCCAGCCTGGGTGCTGGTGACACGCAGAGGGGCCCACGGGAGTGGGGGCTATGCAGCCCTCCACCCGAAGCTGAGCAGGCCTGCCCTGGCCCCCAAGCCTACCGCAGGACACGTCGGCACAGACAGCCAGAGCCCTCCCAGGGGACCTGGCCCCGGCCCTCCGTGGCCCCAGCTCTGGGCAGCCTGCCAGCCTCTGCAACCCCCCATCCCTGCTGCGGCTCCTCTTGGCTGTGGACCCACCAGAACCCGCCCCCTCTGGGCACTGGCCGTGGGGTCCATGCTGCCAGCAGATGGCACCAGCAGTGTGGGGGTGTGTAGGGTGCAGGACACGCGCCTCTCCCAGCCCAATAGGCAGTCACCAGAGCTGCGGGGTGAGGGCCGGAGAGCGGGCAAGGCAGTGCCACCGCCAGAGCTGCCAGCCACAGGGTGCTCCTGGGGGCCTGGCCCACCCCCTCCCTGGCCAGCCTGGAAAGCAGGTGTTGGGCCAGGACGCTGGCACCCGCTGCCCACACGCACTCCCCGGCTGCCTCACCCCCGCTGCCAGCGCTCATCCTCCCAAGACAGATGGGGCAGCCCAGGAGGCCTGGCAGGTCCCGGAGCGGAGCAGGGACCCTCGGGAGCATCCACAGCTGGGACCAAGGCCAGAGAGCTGTGTTTCCGTTTCCAGAACATTCTTGACGGACAGAGTCCTAGGCACGGGGGTAGGTTAGTGCTGCCAGGGGCCAACGGGCAGCGTGGGGTCCGGGCGCCTGTGTCCTCATCTGGTGCTGCCACGCAAGAGTCCACATGGGCCTGGCGGGCAGGCGGCTTCCTCACAACACAACCTGCAGTGATCTCAAGATTGAACGTTCAATTAAAACCATTTATTAGCGGGGCCTCCCTGGGGGCACGGGGGTTAGGTCTTGGTGCTATCAAGCTATCGGCTGCCTCTGGCCTGTACCCCCATTCTTTTTTTTTTTTTTTAAATAGAGGCATGTTTTATTTATTTTTATTTATTTGTTTGTTTTGTTTTGTTTATACATGCACCGGGTACAGTCAGAAGCGCGGGAGGGCGAGAGGATTCACCAGAGCCAGAGCGGGGAGCAGAGCAGGCAGAAGGACCGAGGCACACTGCTGAGGGGAGCAGCGGGCGGCAGGAGGAGTCTGCGCGCCATGTGGGACCCTCCTCCGGTGGCCGGGGAGCAGCCAGGGATCGAACCGGCGCTGCAGAGGCCGCGAGCAGCTTCGCAACCCAGCGCTCAACCGCTGCGCCACCGGGGAGGCCCGTGTACCCCCATTCTTTTGTGCATAAATAAATAAACAAATCAAGATCAGGACGCTGCTTCTACAGAGGAAAGGAACGTGGTCCGGGAGACGGCAGGGGCAGTGCCTCCGGCTCGCCCAGGCCCGGATGGCGGCGACACCGGCTGCGGGAGTGTAGACCTGCAGGGTCCACCCCAGCACTGACAGTGGGACCCCACCGTTTGCCATCCCCCTGGGTCTGCACCCCCCCAGCCCGGCCACCGGCCCCCACTCCCTCTGTGCCCTCTGCAGCCTGGGCCTCCAGGGGGCTGCAGGGTGGGGCCTATGGTGGGCACACCCTGCTGGGAGCCCCACCCCACCCCACACACCCACCCCCGCCCAGAGGGCTGCGGATGGGGGCCTGCCAGCGGCTCGAGGAGCCCAGGGGAGGTGGGGTGCTGGGGTGCGGCCCAGGCTGGCGGCTCCCCCACACACAGGCAGCCCCATTCACCCTGAGTGGCAGCGTCCGGTTCTCTGCCCTCCTGCTGCGCAGGCTGGAGGCTGCAGACTCAGAGACTCCTCCAGTGTCAACAACCTGGTGGGGGCGGGGCTGACTCTCCCAGCCCTGAGCTGGGCCGGGCGGGCACCCAGGGGCCCCTCCCGCCCAGGCCCTGGCCTGACTGCAGCTTCCTCAGCCCCACAGCAGGCTCCTCTGGTCTCCGCTGCCCACCCCCAGCTCTGCTCCGGAAGGTGCTACCGTCCCCCTGCCCGCCCCCCCAGCCTCCTTCACCTGCCCCACCTGGGATGCCTGCTTAGGGCGCCTGCCCTCCCCAGCCCCCTCCCCACTGTGGATGCTGCTCCCGGCTTCCCGCCCCCATCAGGCCCCGCAGCTCCTGCAGAAGCCCCAGCACTAGCCCCCACCCTGCCACATTGCAGCCAAGTGGCCCCACCCACTTCAGAGACCACCCCAAAGAGAATAGAACAGCCACCCAGCCCCCGCACCCCCTGAGGCCCCTCCCCTGCAGGGTGTCTCGCGACCGTGACCCACCTCCCCCTCCCTCCGCAAGGGCCCGCCCCTCCCCCACGCCGGGTCTGCTGGAAGTGGCTGGGTGGTCCCAAGGGTGGTGGGGAGGCCCAGGCCCAGCCCAGCCGGCCTCTCCTTCACCTGCCTCTGGCCAGCCTGAATGCCCCTCTGGCCAGCCTGCAGCACTGGGTCTGGGAACCAGGGGCCTGCCCTCCTTCCAGCCGCGCAGCGCGCCCAGCTCCAGGCATCTGCGGCCAGGGCGGGCACCAGCAAGGACGGTGTGGAAGGCTCAGGCTCTGTGCGCCGCAGGGACTCTCAACCCGGGGGCTGCTCCGGGATGCCCAGCTGCAGGCCAGAGTCCCAGGCCACAGGACAGGTGTGGTGCAGACGCAAGCTGGTGCCCCTGGCCCACCCGCCCCTCCCCACATGTGTCCTGGACAGGCTGGAGCTGGGGGCAACTGGGGCTGCCTCTGGGAGCTAAGGATGAGGGCACAGAGCTCTGCCTCCCCAGCACAGCGCCCTGAAGGACCTGTGAGGTGGGGGCATGGGGACCACGCCCTGAAGGACCTGTGAGGTGGGGGCATGGGGACTCCTCTGCAGTGGTCCCCACTTGAACCCAGGGGCACGGCCGGCCTGAGCAGGGGCAAAGAGGCCCGCCAGGCAGCTGCTGTCCCAGCCACACGGCGGGATGGCGGGGGGTGCCCCTGCCCTGTGCCCACCTGCGGGGTGCTTGGGTGCAGGTGCCCGCTGCCCCCCTCTTCCTCTGCGCCCAGCAGCAGGCCGACGCGGGCTCGGGGCGGTGCTGACAGGTGGAGGCCAGGCAGGGCCACAGGTAGGCGGGAGCCTGGACGGTGGCGCCGGCTCCAGAGTAAACAGCGCCAGCAGCCGCTGACCCGGCACGGCCATCAGGTGGGCCCAGAGCCCAGGGAAGGCTGGTGTCCAGCTCCTGCCTCTCACTGCCCGGGCCTGACCCAGCTCGAGACCAAAGAAGAGCCCACCCAGCCTCCTCCTGCAGCACCAGCTGCCCACCCCCGCAGGGTCTCCGTCCTGCACCTCCCCCCGCCCGGCGCCTGCTGGATGCTGGACGGCTCTCGAGGCCGGTGAGTGTGACCGCCCGGCCCGGCCCGCCCCGCCCCGCCCGAGGTGCTGGAAGGGCGGCTGCACCTCCTGGGCCAGGGACTTCGGGGCTGAGCGGCCCGCACTGCGGCTGCTGGAGGCGTCGTTCCAGAGGTAGGGCCGCCAGCCGACGCCGCCCTCTCCCGTGCCCCCGCCCCACAGGCCCAGGTCCCCAGAGCGGGTTGGGGCGGCAGGCACGGGCGGGTGACACGCGCCGATGCTATCGCCGGAGGAGCCGTGAGTCACTGCCCCGGCACGGGCTGCACCCCAACTCCCAAACAAAGGCCCTTTGTCCCTGTGCGGGGCCAGGCGCTGCGACACCGCCAGGCTCGGCTCACGGGCGCCCCAACAGCTGCCGGCCCAGGAGACCCAGGCCCAAGCCCGCCCCGCCCGTCTCAGCGCTGCGCTCACCACGGTCGGGCCGCAGGACAATGGCTGGGGCAGACGAGGCTCTGTCTTGCCCCCTCCTGGAGTCCAGTGAGGCCGCTTGGTGGGGACCAGCCTGTGACCTGGGCGGGACACAGGAAAGGCTCCAGGGAAGAGGCCCCCACAGACCCAACCGGGGCACGGCAGGCCGGCCCTGCCACCGCAGCCCTGGCCCAGGCCAGAGACGCTCCAGGCACCACCAAGGGCCAGTCTTCCCCGCAGCCACACCCACCCAGGTGCCCGCTGACCCCCTGCCCTTGCCTTGCCCCTCTGGCTCCAACCGAGGTCCAGGCTGGGGCACAGCGCCCAAGTTGGCGGTTGGTCCTGGCCCCCAGAGGACTTTCCCGCCCTCCTGAGCCAGATGCCTACGCTGCTGTCTGCGCTCAAGCCGGGGCAGCTCACCGGGGCCTCGGGGGCAGGCCAAGTCCCCTCAGCGTCCAGACCCCGGCGTCCTCGTGTCCTAGGTTGGGCCTGGGCTGGAGGAAGGGGCAGGCACTGCCCGGCTTAGGGTGCAGGGCGATGTCCAAGCCCAGCAGGCCCCCACCCGCCTGGCCGGTGCAGGCTCGGACGGAGGCTCTGGGAAGTGACCCCAGGAGATTCAGCGAGGCCAGCCCGGCACCTCCTGCCACTCCAGCAAGGGGCACAGGGTCAGGGGGTCAACCCACACTGGCCAGTGCCCAGCAGGGAAACTGGAGAGGCCAGAGGCCGCCCCCACCAGCCACAGCCCCGTGGCCAGCAGCAGCCACTCCCACCGGCCGGCACCCGCCGGGGCCTCGGAAGGAGGCCAGCCCAAGCTGCGTCCCGGGGGCCGGCTGCCTGGGCTGTGACCAGCCCAGCTCACGCCCTGGCCCCTCACCGCCCCGGCCCCCACGCTGGCTCCACACCCGTGGCTGTCTGTCGGGAGACAGCACATTCCAGGGAATCACAGCTAAGCGGCTAATCACCTTCCATTAGAGGGGCAGACAGGGGCAGGTGGGGCTGGGCGCCGGGCTGCGGCCCTCACCTGGCCGCCTGCCCACGGGCTCCCGGCGCCCGCCTCACCCCGCCTGTCTGCCGCACACAGGGTCGGGCCTCCGGCTGTCATCGCCGCTCCATGGGTCTGGGGGAGGCCCCTGATGACCTGGCAGTGCCGAGAGCCTGCCGCAGCCAGGGCAGGACCCGAGGGTCTGCCAGGCACCTGCGACCAGCTCTCAGCACCCCTGGCCGCCAGTGCAGAGCCTCGCCCCCCACCCCCGCCCGGATCTGCTGCTGTGGACAATGGCTCTGGCCCCCCAGCAACCTCGGCGCTGACTCCTCCCCACACCCTTCAGCTCCCACCTCCTCACGAGCCCCCTCAGCCAGCCCCAGGCATCACCTTGGGGGACCAGGAAGAGAGCAGGCACGGGTCAGCGGCCAGGCTGCCCCCACGGCACAGCCCAGTGCCTGCCCGAAGCAGCCCTCCCGCCTCATTAACCGAGGCCACAGGGAGGTCCCGGCTGCAGCCCCCAGGCAGGAAGGGCGCCGGGGGAGGGGCTGAGAACAGCCTGCGTTCTCCAGCCTCCGCGGCCCAGCCCTGCCCCCCCAGCTGTAGCTGGCCCCTGCTGCTCCCCTGGATGCCTGTCACCAGGGCAGGAGGGCCTTGGAGGGGATCCCCAGCCTCACCCCCTGGTCCACAGAGGAGCCGGGACACAGCCGGGACACAGTGGGAGCCTCGTGAGGGGGCAGGGCCCTGAGCCACAGCACCCGAAGTCAGGGCCATGGCCACAAGCCCTGGGCAGCCTGGCCTGTCCCTCACTGCCCTCCCCCGGGGTCCACGTCCAGCCTCTGCCTCAGTCTCCTGGGCCGGCAGGCGGGGCCTGGATGCACCCACCCACAAAGCAGGGACCCCACCTGCCGTGCCCCCCGCCCGGCCGCCCCCCACGCAGTGACCAGGCAGCAGGGAGGGCTCCTGCGCTTTATTGCGGCAAACACAGGTTCAAGGGCAGCGGGGCTGTGTCACGCCGTGGCCTCGAGGCCTCTGCTCCCCTCTCAGGTGCCCAGGAGCAGGCCGGAGAAGCTGGAGCCGCTGTGGACGGTGAGGGCCACCCCGGAGCCGTTGTCCACAAACACAGAGACGTACTGGCCCGCCTGTGGCCCCGGGAGGTCATCAGCCGCCGCCGGCCGTGCCCCAGCCCAGGTCAGAGTCAGAGCCAGGGCCCGGGTCAGGTTCAGGGCCCAGGTTAGGGTCAGAGTCTGGGTCAGGGCCAGGGCCCAGGTTAGGGCCCAGGTCAGGGTCAGGGTCAAGGCCCCGGGTCAGGGTCCGCCTGCAGCATGCCATGGCCGGACTCACCTGCAGCTGCAGCAGCCCCTGCACCTGCGCCGTGGACACCCCGCCACGGCTCTCCAGCCCTGAGACGGCCTCCAGGGACCTGACGGGCGCCAAGGCCAGGTGAGAGCCGAGCCCTGCCAAAGCCCCCACACCCTCCCTGGTGCCCGCGGCCACTCACGCATGGCGGTGGCACAGCGACTCGATGCAGACCAGCAGCCGCACGGCGCCCCATGCCCGCCGCCGGCCACGCGGCCGCTCCCCGAGACCTGTGGGGACAGTGGGTCAGGGCGCTGGCCGGGCCTTGCGGAAGGACACACTTCCGGCGCCCGCCGCGGACCCGCTGGGCACCCGCCATGAGGGCCAGGCCCATCACACAGGCGCTCACCCAGGTGCAAGCTGGCAGAGAAGTGGAAGATGGCAGTCACCGGAGCGGTGAAGCGGCCTGAGGCCAGGCTCAGGCCGGACCCTCGCAGGAAGGCGCCCTGGGCTGTGGGCTGCAGGGAGGGCGTCAGCCTCGTGCTGTCGGGGCACCTGCTCGGCGGCCAGCCTGGCCCGGCCGCAAGCCCAGAGGAGGGCCTCGCCCTGGCCCGGCTCAGCGCCGTGCGGCTCCAGGACCCCAAGTATGAAAGGCCATCCAGGGATGGCTGTGCCCCCCACCGCCGGGGGCCCCAGAGCCCTGCCCCCATGCCCGGGGTCCCAAAGCCCTGCCCCCATGCCCGGGGCGTGAGCCCGGCAGCCCCACTCACGGCCTGGAAGCCCTGCAGCTCGGCTAGTGTCCTCTTGCCCACCAGCACCGGGCCCTTGAGGCGGCAGTGGAAGGCCTCCGCCAGCAGCCGCCCGGCCGGCCCCTCGGGCAGCAGCGGGACCAGCAGCCCTGAGAGCCGACGCTCGGTGGCCTCTGTGGGGACAGGCCAGGGCTGGGGCTTGGCAAGGGCCACCCGGCCCGGGCGCGGGGGCAGGGCCTACCTGTCAGCATCTGCCGGAACTCGTGCAGCAAGGCCTCCGGGGTCACCACAGCACCGGGGGCCCGGGGGGCCCGGGGGGGCCGGGAGGCCCCGGGGGCCCCAGGAGACCTCGCTGCGGGAGGCAGATGAGCGTGGGACCGCGGCGGAAGCGCGGCCCCCCCCCCCCCCCCCCACACACACACGGACCCCGGCTCACCGACGTCTTGGCCCGGCCGCGGCAGCCCTTCCTCAGAACGCCGGTGTCCGGCCGCCGCACGAAGTTCAGCCACGTCGCGTGGGCGTCCGAGAGCTCGGGCCCGGGGGCCGCAGGCGGCTGAAGGGCAGGGACAGGCCGGCCTCTGAGCCGCGGTGGCCCTGCCGGAGGCCGGCGCGTGGGGCGCGGGGCGGGCAGGACAGACAGCCACTGGGCCGCAGCGGCGCCAGGACCGCGGCAGTCGCCCCGGAAGCCCAGGCCCCCGTGTGGGGTGGGGGCGCCCCAGGCGCCCCCAGCACGCGCAGGCCGGGCCACTCTGCGGCTGCCTCGTCCTGTCCCACGGGGCTCGGCCCGGCTGCGTGGGCAGGAGCGGCAGGAGCAAGGTTCCCTGGGCTTTGCCGGAAGACCAGAGCCGGCCCGGCGGCCACTGGGGCAGAGCGGGGCCGGGCAGAGCGGGGCCGGGCAGAGCGGGGCCGGCCGCCCGAGACGTGCCCATCGCTCCGCTCAGGGGTCCACGGTGGCCGGCGGGCAGGGCCTGGACGGGGAGCCCCGCACCGGCCTCACGTGAGCAGGAAGCCCCCGAGGCGCTCAGGCGGCAGGCCGGCCGGCGCTGGGGCCCTGCGGCCAGGCCCTGTGCCCTGTACATGCGGGCAGCGTCCTCCTCGGCCAGCAGGGCCAGGGGCCGGCTCCTCAGCCTGCACAGCTGGAGAAAGGGGCCGCCGGCTGCGGTGGGGCTGCGTGGGCTGCGAGCAGCCGGGCTGGCGGCGGAGACGCCTGGGGAGGCGGGAGGTGAGATCAAAGGCGAGGGCTGGGGGCTGCCACAGATGCCTCCTCCCGGGCCTGTGCCCCCTCCCCGGTGCTGCTGGGGTCCCACAAGACCTCAGGAGACCCTCAGAGCAGGAGGCCGGAACAGCAGCCAGGGGCCCTCCTGTCTTCGCAGGGACCCGGGGGGCGGGCTGGGCATGAGGGACTCCAAGAACGGGGCGCGGGCTGCGCAGCGCCGGCCCAGACCAGGGCTCTCCAGGGGCCCGGGGCACCATCCAGTCCCAGCCTCGCCTGCCCCGGGGCAGGCTGCCTGGAGACCCCCACCCTTCGAAGGGCAGCAGGTCTCGGGGGTGGCGGGAGCCCCTGCCCCCACCGGGTCCCGCCCCAGCCCACAGGTTCCCGCCCCAGGCCCGGGATCCTGCCCCAAGTGCCGCCGCAGGACAGGACAGGCGCCTGGAGAGCCAGCCCGGACGGGGCGCGGGAGGAAGGGCCCCGCGCGGCCTGAGCCCCCAGGGCCGCTGGCCAGGGTGCCCGGCAGTACCTTGGGGGAGGCCGGCGGCCCCTCGCGGGTGGGATCGGTGGCGCTGGGGGGCTCCGTGCGCCGGCCGGGCGGCCGCGGCCTCGTGGGCTCCCTGCGGGCGGCGACGCCCCCGGGCAGCGCGAGCTGGGCGCAGAGGAGGGCCAGCGCGGCGGCCCGGGCCCAGCGCATGGCGGCGGGCGGCTCGGCGGCTCAGCGCGGCGCGCCCAGCGCTCTCACGGGGGCGGCGCGCGGGGGCGAGGCCCCGAGGGACGCCTGGCCGCCGCCGGTGCATGTCTGCGCGGGAGCCGCCGGCAGCCGCGGCAGCACGAGGGCGCGGAGGACGCGGCGGGACGCGCCCGGGACCCGCGGGCTCGGCCGGCGCCGGCCCCCCCGCGCTGCGCCCCGCCGCCCGCGGGGGCGAATAGGAGCCTCCCCCGCAGGCCCGCGGCGCCGGGGGTCCGGCCCGCCCGGCGGGGACGGGGGCGGGGAGCCCCACTGACCAGCCCCGCCCCAGCGGCCCGGGGCCGGCGCCCGGGGTCAGCCCCCAACCGCTCGCCGGGCCGCGAAGCCCCGCCCCTCTGGGCTGGGCCCGGGGTCCGGGCCGGGGCGGCCCTCCCCCGCCACCGCGCTCCCTGCGCCCCAGCCACGGCGCCGCCGGCCACGACAGCAGGACTTCTGTCCAGCCGAACTTGGGGGACAGTGGGCAGCTCCCCAGGGACCGCCTTCCCGCAGAGGGGTCCCGCTGAGACCACCCTAGACGGGGGCCCAGAGGGTCCCCCCAGGCTGGGCCCGCCCTCTGCACCCAGGGCACCCTCCCCGGCAGGGGCTGGCCGAGGGGCCCGGCTTCCTGGACAAGCGGGGAGCAGGAGCTGGCCAGTCACACCTGGCTGGTGGCTGGGGGGAGGGGCGCCACCCCGAGCACAGGGGGGGACTCCAGCCTGCCAGGGCTCCCTGAACCCAGGGCTGCCCGCCCCCTCTCCCGAGCTCCAAGCCTCTGGGAAGGCGCCACCTTCCAGCCCACAACCACAGGGGGCACCCTTCCTGGTCAGCCAGCCCCAGGTCCCCCTGGGGAGGGCGGGGCTCCCCCCCCAGGACCCAGCACAGCCTGCGGGGCCCCTCACGGGGCTGGACAGCGAACAGAGGCCCACAGAACGGCGAGTGCTCGAGCCCTGTGCGGGCAGGTGAGGGCACCACCAGGCCCAGCCACTCACCCATGTCCTGCCCCAGCTGCGGCCACGTGCCCAGAGCCACCTGGCAGAGCCCACCCTGCCTGCCCCCGAGCCGGGAGGGGCTCCGACACTCGAGCAGCACGAGGCCAGACGGAAGGTCTCTCGGGGCGGGGACACAGCGGTGACCGCGGCGGCTCACACCCGTGAGACAAGCGGGGACAGCCCGAGGCCGCAGAGCCCACCCGGCCCGGCGGGGGCATCCAGGCCGTGTCTGGGAGACCCCACCGCGCAGGCCAGGGAGGGGCCTCTGGGGACAGGCTGGGGAGACGCAGAGGCAGCCTGGGGCGGCCCGGCCCGGAGCGGCTCCCGCAGGCAGGGCGACACCTGGTGGCCGGCGCGGGGCCTGCGTCATCTCCAGCAGGGCTGCGGCCTCTCCCCGGCCCCCGGGGCTGCCACTGGCCAGCAGGCCCCAGGTCCTCCCGAGGGTGCGGCCGGCCGGTGCCCACGGACGGAGGACGCACACGGAGAAATGACAGGCACTGCGTTTGGTGTTTTTAAGTGACCAAATCTAATAAAATGAAAAACAGGTTTCCTAAAACAGGTCCAAGACACAGGGCGCGCCCAGGCCGGCCCTCGTCCTCGGCGCGGCCCTGGGGCCCAGCGTCTCCTCAAACCCAAACCGCACGCTTTGGTTTCGGTTTCCTTTGAAAGGTTCTTAAAAAGCTACCCAGGAGTCCGGCGGGCCGGCCCGAGCACAGCCGCGCCCCGGCCGCCAGCCCTGCTATGGCCGCCCTAGCGGGCCCCGCGGCTCAGTCCTGCGCGATGCTCCTCAGCACATACTTGACCGTGTAGGCAAAGGCCGCAAACCCGACTATGACAAACAAGTTCGCCAGGGCACCGCCCAGGAGTCCGTGGTGCCGGTTGGCCTGCTGGAGCCCCGCCAGGTTAGGCCCGGGCCCCGGCGCGCGCCCATTGAGGAGCTGGAGCCCGTGCTGGCCATGGTGCGCCTCCCCATCCGGAACCACATCGGGCAGGGGGAGCGTCTGGGGCCTGCTGCTGAGCTCGTCCTGCGCCTTCTGCTTTTGTTTAATTTCCTGAGGAAAAAAGGGCAAAAGCCAAGGGTCAGCCTGGATCCCCGGTTCCTTGGGGAGCCCCACGATGTGGTCACCACGTGATGTGGCCACGATGTGGCCATTCCTGGAGGCCACCAGGTTGCGTCGCAAGCCCCGGCGACAACAGCCCCGGCCTCAGGCCCGTGCCCAGCCCCCCGGGCTGCACTAGCCGCTGACCCCACTCCAGACACATACGACCTCAGCAGCCACCCAAGGGCGAAGGGAGGCTGGTGTGGCCCGAGCCTGCCACCTCTGATGTCTGCCCGCAGACCCGCCTCCCCGCTTCTTACCTCCACGACGTCAGGGAACAACTCACAGAAGACTTTATCTTTTACATTGAAGGCTAAGCTCTGCGCGGCCAGCTGTCTCTTCTGTGGGGAGGCAAGCATCAGTGAGGCCGCGCAGCCGCTTTGGATCCTGGGAACCCGCTGTCCTCCCGGGTCAGCAGGAGGGACACCCACGGACCCCACGGGCAGCAGCGACAGAGCCCAGCTGCCCCCGCCCCAGAGCCCTCACCGTGAAGTCCGAGGTCTCTATGCTGCCCAGGGTGGGGCCCTTCTCCACCATGAAGCTGAGGAGCCCCGTCAGGATGGTAGACACCGACCAGGCCGGGTTCCACGTGTCCGGGTGGAAGTCCGTGATGGAGAGACACAGCCTGCAAGGATGGCCCGTCACCCGGTGCCCACGCATGGCCGGCGCCGCGGCAGCGTGCACTGAGGCCTTACCTGGTGTTGACCTTGAATCTTCCGTTGGGGGTTATCATATAAATGCTGGGAGGTTTAAAAGGAAATTCCCTGGGAAAGATGAGTTTTCCGTGGTAATAGCCACCTAGTCAGACAAAGGGAACCTCGGTCACCACCTGCAGCGTCCGGTGCCCCGCGTGGCCATGCTGACCGCCGACCTGGAGAGCCCTGCCCCCCCCACCTGCGCCCCTCCTAGGACCCAACGCGGAGCATCAGGAGCCCACGGAGGCTGCTCGCCAGCACCCCAGCTCCCAGCCAAGATCACCCCTATTCTGGCTCCGCTCTCCCGCACCACCACACCCTCCTCCTCCCTCCGACGGCCGCCCCTCCCCGGTGCCTGCCAGCCACCTCCACTCCCTCTCCAGAGGCCTGGCCAGTCACGTCCAAGGCCAGCACTCTCAGGGTCACCCGACAAGCCTCTGCCACCACAAGGTCCCCCCCCAACCCCTCTGCAGCCGATACACTACCGGGGTCTCGCCCCATCTAGGGCTGGCAGCCCATCTGCGGAGTCCCTTCCCTGAAGCCCTAACCAGTATCTGGACCCCAGACCTGACTCAGGTGCAAGATCACTTCCCCCAACAGCGCTACCGCCCCCGCAACCGCACCAAGGCCGCAGCCCTTCTGCCTGCCACGCCCACTGCCCGGTAACCCCGCTAGCCACCTTCCAGCTGGCCGAGCCCAGAGCTGGATCATCTCACCGCCTACGCAGCTCCTGGAGCCTGCCAGGACACAGGGTGACCCTGCCCCCGCGCGGCCTCTCACCACGCGCCCCTCTGCAGGGCGGGGCGGCCACGGCTGCCAGGCGACAACCCACCAGCCAGAGGCTCATGCTGAAGTGACGCTCGCGTCAACAAGCTGAGATGGATGGGAACCCCCGAGGATGCAGTGCGGCCGCCCAGCACTGGACTCTGGGCCCCCGGAGGTGACTCCACAGCCAAGGCCACTAGCCAGCGGTGCTGGAAGGGAGGAGCCAGGACGTCCCAGGAGGTGCGCGGAAGATCAGAATGGGCCCACACGCCACCCCAGGACCAGCCAGGCTTCCTGTGTGGAAAACACACCACCGCCAAGCCCCCCGTGGGCCATCCTGAAGCCGAGCCTGCGCTGCCACCAACTGTGACCTTCAGGTAGCTTGTTCACCCTGCATCCCCAGCCTGCATGCGAATGGCGGTCCCTGGCCTGCCCAAAGGAGAGCCAGCTGAGCTGGTGACACCCTGGATCCTGGGCCTTTCCCAAGGGCGCTGCCCGCGGCTCCCCTTGACAGCCCAGGGCAGGACCGGCTCTTTCCAGCAGAGCGCTCCTCCCACTGGACCCTCAGGCGGGCGCCACGCAGGCAGGCAGACCCGCTGGTGGAGAGCCGAGGCCCGTCCACCTGCCACAACTCCACGCGGGCCCAGCTCAAGGCTGAGGCTGCAGAGGTGAGCTGCCGGCTGCCCCGGCTCTGTTGCGTGCATAGCACCTGCGGCATGGATGGCATGGCCAGCTCAGCGTCAGCAGCAGTTTGGAGCTGGGGCAGCGGGCAGACCTGGTCAGAGGGCGTGGCACAAGGCAAGACCCCTCCCGCAACAGTCCTGGACACTGCATGCCAGTCTGCTCTCCAGCTCTGACCGCTCAGCCCCGAGGAGCAGCTTTGTCCAGCTTTGTCCAGCTTGAGACTGGACAAAGGCCAGGAACCCCAGACACCAGCCTCTAGGCACATGTTCCCAGAGGAGCGGTGGCTGAGGAGCACCGGCGTGCGCAGCGGGCCGCTTGGGGCACGGCCTGGCGTCTGCTCCTCAGGCCAGAGAGACTCACCTTCGTAGGGCGTCATCTCAGGGCCACGGACCACGTAGTGCCTGTGGAGACAAGAGGCAGTCACCCCAGGCGGGAGTGCGGGTCCTGCTGAGGCAAACGCTTCCAGGGACACTGCAGACCCACGCCTGAGGGCCAAGGCCAGAGCGGGGTGGAGGCAACGCCACACTGTGCAGCAGCACCTGGAGGCAGCATGGTCCCCAGGTGCTGCTCGGCCTGCCCATGCGCTCAGAGTGCCTGGGGTCACGAGGTAGGCTGAGGGCGCAGCCGGCAACCCGAGGCAGCTGTGTGCCCTCCGGACCAGTGTCCTGTGAGGACTAGGCACGGCCTCAGCGCAGGAGGAATACTGCATCTGCGTTCCTGAGAAAATCCAAAGCAGCACAAAGGAAAAACAGAAGCTACCGGGCACGCAGGGCAGACGGCAAGTTCTCCCGGATGACATGCGCCAGGCCCTTGGGCATCCACTGAACAAGACTGACATACAACATATGCTGCCTGCTGGCCGACAACATGGACCCAAACACTTGTTTTCAGGGGGCCTTCCTGTTGGCGCAAGGGATTAGACATAGGGCCGTGAGGCTGCCCGCAGCCACTGCAGCGCAAGTCCGATCCCTGGCCAGGTAGGTGACCCACAGGGTGCAGCAGACCTCTCCTGCCTCCCCGCTGCTCCGCTCAGCAGTGTATTCCAGTCAATCTGCCTGTCCTCCCCACTCTGTCTCTGGTGAATCCTTTCATCCCCTCTATTCTGGCTTATACCCCAGTTCTTGTATGCACAAATAAACAAACCATCCAAAAAAAAAAAACTTGTTTGCAAGACCCTGGCGGCCCGGTGGTTGAGTCTCAGGCTGCCACCACCACTTCCCGAGTCCGACCCCCAGCCAGGAGCTGCCCACAGGGCGCAGCAGACCTCTCCTGCCTCCCCAATGCTCCCCTCAGGAGTGTGTTCCAGTTGACCTGCTGTTCTGCTCCCCACTCTATCTCTGGTGGAGCCCGTCACCCCCCACCACTCTCTGGCCTGCACCCCAGTCCTTCTACGCCAAAAGAAAAAAAAGAGCAACCAGGGAGGAACCGTCCACCCGAGGGTGACCGGGCGCCTGCCAGACCGGTGCCCAGACCCCATCACAAGTCACCAGACAGGCCCCGCTGCAGCAGCACGAAGCAGAGCAGGGGCTCCCAGACACGCGGGCCCCACTCCACACCCCAAAGCTGCCCCAGGGCCCTGCGCCCCCGAGGAGCTCCCCACAGCCCCTGCCTGTATGCAGACGGCCGAGTCCGCAGGCAGGATTCTGTGGGCACCTGCCCACCCAGCAGCCCCCGCGCCGCGCCCGCAGCAGCCTCACCACTCGAGAATGTTGGAAGGAAGGGGCTCGGCACAGATGTAAGGCACCGGGTCCTTCTTGATGCGGAGGTAGTCCTGCTTCAGGCGTTGGGTTGCTGTGGTCGGGGCTCTCTTGCTGCTGTTGCTGCTCATCTGTAGAAAACAAGCACCTGTGTTCACAAAGAGCCAGGCGGCCCCTCAACCAAGCAGCGCCAGGGCCAGGCCCTGCCCACCCCATCTAGCCCCAGGAGACAACCCCGGTGGATGACCCACCCTTGCCCACCCGCTCAGACGTCCACAGGCCTTGCAGTTTCTCCTTTTCCACCCATCCTGATGTAACCTCCGCTTAAGCAGCGTCAGGTGTAAAGACTAAAATAACCTTGAGATCCAACTGCTGTCCTCAGACCCTACGTGGGGAGGAGAATGTCTCTTGTGGTGTAACAGGGTGGGGGCACCGGAGTCTGGCTGGCTCCGCGGGGGCCCCTCCCCACCTCTGTGCTCTGCAAGGCCACAGGGCTTACACCTGGGAAACTGGGTGAAACCCGGAACCACACTCCCCCAGTATCCACAGCAGGCGGAAGCCCTGGGGAGCAGGAAAGCCTCCTTCTCAGACTGCAGAGATGAGCCCCTGGAGAGGCTGGGCGAGGGGTGGGTGCAGTGGGCGCAGGGCAGAGGCCTGAAGTGCCCTGAGCACGGCAGGTGGGCAGCACCCGACAGGCCGCAGGCTAGGTGTGCAGGGAACAGACCCCCCCCCCGAAGCCGCCAGGAGGCGGGGGCGGGAGACGGGCCTGGGAAGCTCCAGCTCGCTGCCTTACAAGCCGGAGTTTCTCAGCACGACAAATGTGGAGACAGAGGAAAAGTTCTGTGAAAACCACCGGTCCGAGGCCTGGGGGGACAGAGGGCGGCGGCGGGCGCGACAGGAAGGGGATGCCAGGCCAGGAGGCTGGTGGCTCCTTCTCGCCCCCGCCCCCCGCCAGCCACGCCCTCCCCGGCCCCTGCCCGGCGGCTGCGGGTCCCCAGGCCCCGACCCAAGAGCAAGGTGGGGGGCCGTGGCCCAACCAACAGCACCGCCGCCCCTCGGCTTCCCGCGCTGGGGGCCTCCCCTCGGGGCGCCCAGAGATCTCTGCCTTCCCGCCCCTACCCTGCCCGGTACAGCGCCCCGGCGCCCGGCCTCCCCGCGCGGCCCCTGCCCTGAGACGCCCGTTCTCCGGCTCGGCGCCCTCGCGGCCTCTCAGGAGCGGCCTGCAGCGCCGGGGCCGCGGGGAGCCCCCCCGGCGCGCCCCGCCCGGGAGCCCAAGGCGGCCCGGAGCCCCAGACGCCGGCGCCCCCGGAGCCCGAGCCCGCTCTCCGGTACCTGAGGGCCCGCGCCCCCAGCGCCGCCCGCCCGCCCGCCCGCGGGTGAAGGTCAGCGGGGGCCGCCCGGGCGACGCCGCCCTCCCGCCCCCGCCGGAGCCCGAGCGCCGCCCGCTCCCGCCGGCCCGCGTGGCTGCGGCGGCCACAGACGAGACGCGGCCGGAGCCGGCGGGCGGGCGGGCCGGCGGACACACCTTCCGGCGGGAGCGGCCCGCCCGGCCCGAGCCCGCACCCCGGCGGGACGGCGCCCGCGGGGCAGGCGGCCGGCGGGCGCGGGCCCGGGCGCCGTAACCGACCCGAGCGCGGCGGCGGCCTGCGCGGCGCGGCGGGGACGCGGGCCGAGGCCGGGCGGGCGCGCGCTCACCTCTCCCCGTCGCCGCGCGTGGGCCGCCGCCGCCGCCTCGGGCTCGCCGCGGTCGAGGCCGGAGCAGGAGCGGGAGAGGGGCCCGCGCCGGAGAGCCGCCGGGACGAGCCCACCGCCGCCGCCTCAGCCTCCAAGATGGCCGCCCGGGGCGGGGCGCCCCTCGCTTCCGGTTCCGGCGCGCCGCGGCCGGCCGCCGCTCTAGGCCGCCGGGAGGCCCGCGCCTCGCCGCCTCCTCGCGCCCGCGGGCGGGGCCCTGCGCGCGTGCGCACTGGCGCGGCGCGCCCGGCCGAGGGTGCCGCCTGCTAGCGGGGCGCCGGGCGCGGGGGCGCGGGGGGGCCCCGGGGCCCGCTGCACACTCGCGGCCTGCGGCCCGCTGGTGACCCGCCGCCCTGGGCCCCGGAGAGCCGGCCCGGGCAGCCGTGAGGCCGGCGCCGGGCGCGCCCCGGCCCGCCCCCGCCTCGGCGCGCTCGTAAAGGCCGCGGCTCCCGCCCGCGGCGGGGCCTGAATGGGCCTTTGTGCCGCCGCCGCCGGGGCGGCCTCCCGCGGCCCCGCCCTGCCCCGCGGGGCCGGCCGCCCTCCCCGGGGTGCGGCTGCGGGGCACGGGCCCCGCGAGCGAGCCCGGCAGAGCCCGGCGGCGGGGACCCCCAGGGCCCGCCCCCGCCCCCGCCCGCGCCCGCGCCCGCGGGGCTCCAGCGTCCGGGCAGGTGGGGGTGGCTGCTGCAGGGCTGGGGCTGGGCGAGCCGGAGCGTCCGCCGGCGAGTCAGCCCCTGGAAGGCAGCCGCTTGCTGCTCCCCGCAAAGCTCCTCCGGGGGCTCACCCCATCTGCCTGCCCCGGCGGGGAAACCCCTCGGGGTGGCCTCACGGCGCCCCTGGCGGGGCGCGGGGCCCGTCCAGCCCGTGTCCCTGCGGAGACAGACGCAGGCCGCCGGCTCGGGTCCCTCACGCCAGTGTCGGCGCGGGCTCTGCTCCCCCGGCCGCCGGGAGAAGGGGCCGAGAAGGGGCCGGGCCGGCCCGCGCCGGCCAGCAGGTCCGGGCCAGACTCCACAGCCCCCGCGGGCCGGCCCGTGGCCTCAGAGGGCCTGACGGCAGGGGCAGCTAGGCTGGTGGCGGTGGTGACGGGGCTTCCTGCCAGCGAGCGCTGCGGACACCGGGCTTCAGGAAGGGGGCAGCGGCCCCACCCCTGAGCCCTCTGGACCGTGTGGAGCAGCGTGGAGTTTCACGCCTCCCTCCTGCACACCCAGCGAGCGCGTATCTGGGTGGCCCTGGCGGTGCGCCCACCCCGACCAGAGACCCCGGAGCGCGGGCGCTCCACTGGCCCTGCCACAGCCCAGAGCTGCACACCCCAGGGGTCATGCTGGGACCCGGTGCCCCAGCTCAGCTCTGCCCCAGCCACTCCCTCGGGCCCCCGCCGGGACGGGCAGCACTCAGCGCCCAGCGGCTGCTCCATGAGGGCAGCCAGGCGCCTAGCAGGGCTGGAACCCAGAGAAGACCCTGACCCGGTGCCCGCCCCCCACAGGGCCAGAGGCTGAGGCCTGGGTCTCCTCTGAGCAGCAGGCATGCAGGCCGGGGCTCTGGAAGGTCTCCAAGAGCCGCTGGCCGGGGAGGACGTGCACCCCCCAGCCCCAACCCCGCAGGCTTGCCTCACCCTGTGCAGCGACCACCCTCTCCCCACTGCCCTCTCCTGCCCACCCAGCCCTCTGCCATCTCAAGCTCGCAGCCCCTGCCCTGCCAGCCACTGCTGGGGCAGCCCCCCGCCCTGCAGGGCAGGGCTGTGCCAGGGAGGGTGACCGGGCCTGCCCATGGAGACTGGCTCAGGCATCGATTGGGGTCCTCCCTCTCTGAGGGGGCCTGCGGGTGGGGACGCCCACAGGGGAGGATGCTAAGGGGGGGGGGTAGGAGGGTTCCATGCGGCACCCGGCCCTAGGGCAGCCCTGCCAGGGCGGAGCCACCTTGGTGAGGAGACCCTGGGGCCGAGGGACTGCGCAGCGTGTTCTGGAAGGGAGCACCAGGCCACCCACCGCCCCCTCCTCTCTGGCGTCTGTTGACCCTCTGAGCCCAGCACCCTGAAGGCAGGGCTGGACTTGTCCTGCCGGCCGGGAGGCCCCATCCTGCCGGCCCCGGGCTGGGGGCCCGCCGCGCCCCCCCCCCCCGCCACTGGACGTGGCCTCTGTGACCTGGACCTGCAGCCGAAGTCCTGCTGTCCCCCCAACGGTGGCCCCTTCCTCAATGACCCCGATCCCGGTGCACCCCCACCCAGAGCTTCTATGGGTGCCCTGGCTGCCCTTGTGTGCCCGAGGGGGATGGCCCCGGGCTGGACGGGTCACCCGCAGGCCAAGCGTCCGCTGCCCCTGCTCAGGCCGGCTCCTCCCGGGAGGCTGTTTCTCTCCCCCAAGCCCCCGGCCAACAGGACCCTCGACTCCACCTGGGCGCCTTCCCTGCGGCTCCCCACTTCACCTGAGATAGCAGCAGGCAGCTGTCCCGGCCCGGAGCACCGCAGGGCGGCATGTGCCCCCCTCCCAGGGTCAGTCGCTGGGGGTCAGGCAGGGGTCCCAGCCTGTGCTGAGTCTGAGTCTCTGCTGCTGCTGGAGGAGGCCCCAAGCCCAAGGAGGTGCCTCAGCCCCATTTTGCACCAGAGGAGACGGGCTCAGCGCGGCCGCTCTCCCGCTGGCCCCACGGCGCTAGCCTCCTCCCGCGGCCGTGTGGCAGCTGGCCTGAGGCCCCTGCACCACAAGCCTGGCTGAGGGCCCGGTCATTTGGGGTGCTGAGGCCTTCCGGTCACCGTGGGGACGTGTCAGGTTGCCCAGACTACAGAGGGTGGCTCGACCTGGCAGGGGCTCCTGCCCAGCTGGCCGGCCTCGAGCACACACTGGGGCCACGGACTTCAGCCTCCAAAACCTGGGACGGGCCCGAGCGTGGGGTATGGGCTGAGGGCGGGACGCCACCCTTAGTGTGTGCCCTGCAGCTGGCATGTGTCCGTGGCGTGTGGCGTGGTCAGTGGCGGCCTTAGTGTCCAGCAGGAAGCTGCTGTGCGCCCTCTCCTCGCCCAGGCACCAGGCTGTACCCACGGGCAGTGCTTCTCCCATGCCTGGTCTGGGGGACCGCTGGGCACGGGAAGCAGGGGCCCCACCCAGTCCCTCGACCACAAATACCTGATACATGGGCGGGCAGGTGCAGGCAGGCAGCCCTCCGGGATGGGCAGGGAGGTAGTGGGTAGGGCAGGGCGGGCGGGCGCCAGCCGGCAGGAGCGAGGCCCAGGAGGCTCTGCCGGGGAGCTGAGCTTCGGGAGCTGGGGGGAGGGCCAGGCCTGGGGAGCAGCCAGAGGCCTTCCTCGCCCCCAGGAAACCACAGCCCAAGGCTGCACCACCCACCAGGGCTAGGTTCCAGGTGGCCCCGCCCGCCACCTGCCCACGCCCAGCCTCCCGCATAAATAGGCGTCCAGGCCGCACAGCCGCGTCAGGCACAGCAGAGTCTCAGGCGGAGGAGGCCACCAGCCCCGGGGATGAAGGCGCCCGCCCAGCGAGAGTCCAGCCTGGAGGTGCCGGGGCACCTGTGGGCGGTGGGCGGTCACCTGGGGCTGCCTGGCCTGAGCAGAAGGGGCTGTCCACGGGCTGCCTGCCCTGGAGCCACGGGCTGGGGAGGCCATGCGGGTGGTGCTTGGGGCGAGGACTGGGCAGCACTCGAGGGCCGTGGGACGCTGGGCTTGTGAGCTGGCCGAGCTCCCGCACCCGCCGCCCGGCCCGCGCCACGCCAGCCTGCTTCAGGGCGTGGGCCGCTGGATGCAGGCCGGCTCCTCAGGGGACACGGGCATCAAGCGCGCAGGCAGGCGGGCCCCTGCCGGCCAGGCCCTTCCGCGGGGGCCGGGGCGCAAGCGGAGTGTGACTGGTCCACAGGGAGCCCAAGGGCATGTCCAGGGGATCTGTGCCCGCAGGCCCAGCCGGAGCCCTGGGTCCAGGGAGGTTGCGGGAGGCTCGAGGGCAGGGCTGGGGCCGGGCAGGCCTCCTCTGCCCTGGGAGACCAGACAGTGGGTCAGCCCCCGTCTCCCCCGAGTCCCCTGTCCACTCATCCTAAAGTCCAAGCTCCCACAGCAGGACCCCCCACCCATGCAGCTGGGTGGTTCCCTGCCGCCAGCCCAGCACCCTGAACCCTCAGCCCTGGCCTTGGCCGCAGCCTGCCCGCAGCCCAGCACAAGACGGCCACGCGGCCTGTGGGGTCACAGAGGCCAAGGCAGGTCTTCCCAGCCCCTGGGGTTGCTGTTGGGCTCTGGCTCCAGGGACACACCCCAGACCCCGCCCTGAGTGTGCCTCTGGCCTGCCCCTCCCCTGAGGCCTGTCCACTGGGGCCTCAGCAGAGCCCCGGGCAGCTTCAAGTGGACTGCAAACAGGCCAGCAGGGCCCGGATGCGGTGGTCCCTGCGGCCATGGCCCTCACACAGCTCCGAGAGGTGCCAGCAGTCTCAGGGGCGGCCGTCGGGGCGCTCCAGCCACGGGCTGGCCCCAGGACCCCCTCCTCCTGAGCCTCAGGCGCTGGGTCAGACCCGGGGCGACCGGGGCGCGGTGTTCCCAGGCCCGGGGCGCCTGCCTGGCGGGCTGGGGACTCCCGGGGTCAGGCCGTGCAGGCCGGGGCACCTCTGAGGCGGTGTCTTGGATGCAGGAGGTGCCCAGGACACAGGAGCCCCCCCGGCCGGGGCCCGGGCACAGGAGGAGCGTGCCGAGAGGCTGGTGGAGCTGCCCGCCTCCTTCGGGGAGATGCTGGCCTTCTTCTGCGCCAACACCACCGTCCACGGTGCCACCCACCTGGCCTTGGGGGGCCAGAGCCGTCTCCAGACGGCGTCCTGGGGCTGCTGCTCCTGGGCGCCCTGGGGGGGCTCTGCTGGCAGGGGGGGCTCCTCCTGGAGCAGTACTGGCGCTACCCCGTCGGCACCGCCGTGTCCCTGCACTCGGGGCGCAGGCTCGTCCCCTCCGTCACGCTTTGCGACATGAACCCACAGCGGTGAGGCGGGACGCGCGAGGGCTGTGGAGCGGGCGGGCCGGGGGAGGCTGCCGCCCCTCCCTCCGCGGTCCCCAGCATCTCCCGGGTGTGGCCCCAGGGACAGCCTGTCCGGGCAGGGGTCGTTGGTGACCACACTTCACTCTGTCCGGGCGTCCCGCCAGGCCCCACCGCTCCGGGGGGTAACAGGGGAAGGAAGGGGGTCAGAGCCCCCGGAGACCCCCTGGAGCGGGGAGGCGGAGAGGCCCCCGGAGCTGGGCTTGCATCTCCCAGAGCAGGGATGAGCAGGCGGCGGGAGCCCAAGGGGCTGTGAGCCTGCGGGAGGAGGGGGTGCCGCACGGGGTGGGGGCGCTGCCTTCCCAGGGCTCCTGAGGAGGAGGGGCCGCTGCCCCCAGCCGGGGGCAGCCCTGGGGGACCAAGGCTTGGGGGGCGTGGGGGCGTGGTTCTGACTGACCACCCACCCCTCCTGCCCCAGGCCGGCTCCCGCCCGTGGCTACCTGCAGAAGCTGGACGCGCTGGCGCGGGAGAACATGGACGCGCTGTACGGGTTCAACCTCAGCGCGCCCGGGGACGCCCCCCTGCCTCACATCCCTCGCCCCAACCTCCCCTCCCCGCTGGACCCCAGGATCCGCCTGCAAAGGTTGAGCCACCCCGACAGCCCAGGCAAAGTGGGGTTCAGACTGGTGAGAGGCCCCGGCCCCATGCGGTCCCCGCCTGCTGGCCGGCCCTGGGCAGAGTCGGGCTGGGGCTCACCAAACTGCGCCCACACCCCAGTGTAACAGCACCGGGGGCGACTGCTTCTACCGCGCCCACGCTTCCGGCGTGACGGCGGCGCGCGAGTGGTACCGCCTGCACTACCTGAGCGTCCTGGCGCTGCTGCCCCCCGCCCGCCAGCGCGGCCGCGGCCCCCGCTTCGTCCTCTCCTGTCGCTACGACGGCCAGGACTGCCAGGCCCGGTGAGTGGGGCGCCGCGCTGCCCCCCCGGAGCCGGGCAGGGCCAGGGCGCACGTGCCGGCTGCTGGTCTGAGCGCGGCCCTGGCTCCAGGCACCTCCGGAAGGCCCAGCACCCCACCTACGGCAGCTGCTACACCTTCGACGGCATCTGGGCCGCGCGGCGCCCCGGCATCACCCACCGTGAGTGCGTCCCCGCGGCTGGGGCGGGCTCGGCCGGCCTGGCCTCACACCCCTGCCCGCCTCCCCAGGCCTCAGCCTGGTCCTCAGGGTGGAGCAGCAGCCCCACCTCCCGCTGCTGTCCCCTGCGGCGGACGTCCAGGTCCTGATCCACCGACCTGACCACTCGCCCTTCCTGGGGGAGCCTGGCTTCAGCGTCAGGCCGGGCACCGCCACCACCGTGGGCGTACGAGAGGTGGGCCGGCTCTGGGGCGGGCCGGGGGGCCGGCCCTCCTCCCCCAGCTCCCTGCGCGTCTGTGGGCCCCGGGACTGAGCCGCCGCTCCCCGCAGGACGAGGTGCACCGCCTCGGGAGCCCCTACAGCCGTTGCGCCCACGACTCGGGGGGCGTGGACGTGCAGCTGCTGTTCGCCTCCTACACCAGGCAGGTGGGTCGGGGCCGGGAGGGCGGGCGGGGCTGTGCGCCTCCCACACCAGGCAGGTGGGCCGGGGCGGCGCCGGACAAGGTGTGGCCTCCTAAGCCGGGCGGTGGGTCGGACCCACTGGGCTCGAGGGCGCGTGGCCGGACGGGGCCGTGCGCCTCCCACACCAGACAGGTGGGTCCCGGCCAGGCCGCGGGGGTGGTGGGTGCCCAGGGGCGTCCCCACCCCAGCAGCGGCCCCCGCTGTCCCTCCAGGCCTGCCTGGTCTCCTGCTTCCAGCAGCTCATGGTGGAGACCTGCTCCTGCGGCTACTACCTCTTCCCCCTGCCGGCGGGGGCCGAGTACTGCAGCTCCTCGCGGCACCCGGCCTGGGGTGAGCGTGGGGATCCCGCCCCAGCCCGCCCACCCGCCCGCGCAGGGCACTGCCCGCCAGCGAGCCCCGCCCCTTTGCTACTACCCCTGCCCCGCGACCCTCTTAGGCCACTGCTTCTACCGCCTGCACCGGGAGCTGGAGACCCACCGGCTGGCCTGCACCTGGCGCTGCCCCAGGCCCTGCCGGTGAGTGGGGGTAAGGATGGGGGGTGGTGAGTGGGGGGCTGAGTGTGAGGAGAGGGCGAGAGGGAGGGCAAGAGGGAACACAGGGAGGGGTGGGGGGATCTGAGGGGGTGATGGTGGTGGGGTAGGAAGTGATGGGGGAGGGGGAAAGGGGTGTGGGGAGGAGCATAGTGGGGGTGGGGGGGGTGGGGGGGGTGTTGGGGGGGCTGGGGTCCCTGCCCTCGGCACACAGAGATGACACGGTGTCCTCCAGGGAGTCTTCCTACCAGCTCTCCGCCGGGACCTCCAGGTGGCCTTCCTCCAAATCCACCGTGAGTTCCCTGAAAAGCGGGGGGCTGACAGCAGGCGCTCCTTGGGGTCCCCAGAGCCCACTGCCCAGCCTCTGCCGAGCGGTCCCCACTCCTGCCAGTGCCCGGGCGGGCGGCGCGGTGGCCAGCAGGTCTGCTGTGCGCAGGACTGGGTGCTGGCTGTGCTGGGAGAGCGGCGCCCCAGCAGTCCCCGGAGCCGGGGTCCCAGGTGGGCACCGGGCATGCCCTGGCCCTCCCTGCCAGCCGCTGCCCTTGGCGGCCAGCCCCTCACACCTCTGCCCTGCCCAGGAGCAGAGCCTCCAAGGTGAGCATCTTGTACGAGGAGCTCAACTACCGGACGGTGGACGAGGTGCCTGTTCTCTCGGTGAGCGGGCAGAGGCGAGGCCTCAGCGGGGTGGGGCCAGCACCCCCAGGCTGACCCTGGGGCTGCCCTCACCCCACCCTACACGCCCGCCCGCCCGCAGGTGCCACAGCTGCTGTCAGCCGTGGGCAGCCTCTGCGGCCTGTGGCTCGGCTCCTCCGTCCTAACTGTCCTGGAGCTGCTGGAGCTGCTGCTGGACGCTGTGGCCCTCACCCTGCTGCTGGGCTGCCGCCGGCTCCTCAGGGCTCAGGGCCCCCAGCCGGGAGTGGCCACTGCGGAGTCCCACCCCACGTCGCGGGCTGGCCAGGTGCCCAGGGCCTGCAAGCGTGGGCCGGGGGGCCAGCGGCCTCCCCTCCTGTGATGCCCCCAGGAACTCTGGCTCAAGCCTCAGCTGAAGACCTCGACCAAGCAGGACCCTCCCGAACCAGCCTGAACAGGCCTTGACCCCAGGTGGGCCGGCCAGGCCCAGGTTGTGGCCACACGGGAGCCGGCAGTGGGCAGGCGCCAGCACAGAGGGCCCCCCCACCCCAGCTCCCCTGCCCGGTGGCCCCGGCCTTGCTCCCAGTGCGGCGGCGGGCACAGTGGGCCTCGCCCAGGTGCTGCTGTGAGCGCAGCGTCTGTGCATAGTGTGCGGCGTCAGGCAGGGCTCCCTGGCTCAGGGCCGGACGGGCAGGGCCAGGCTGGGCACGGGCACCCTCAAGCTGCTTTGTCATAAATAAAACCGATGATTCCACCTGGTGGCGATATCCCACAGACCGAGGAGTGGACATCGGGCGGCCAACAGCCATGGTGTGCCGGCACAAGGCCAGTGGCGTCCACCACTCCTTTCGCCCGGGGCCACGTATCCGGGCCAGAAGAGGGCGGCGGGGCCGTGTGTGGCCTGGGGGCGGCCCCTCCCAGTGGAGCAGCACAGGGCGAGGAGGGCAGTGGGCAGGGCAGCCAGGACAGGAGCGGGTGCAAGCCAGTTTATTGACCATCCGGAGGGGCGCGCAGGCCCGGGTGTGGGCCCTGTGTGGCGCTGGGCGCTGGGGGTGGAGCTCAAGCAGGGAGAAGGAGCCAGTTCTGCTCCGAGGGGTCACGACCCACGGGCCATGGCGTGGGGGCCGGCCTAGCACCCACCTTGCTGCCCAGAGAGCCTCCCGGACCCTTTGCATAGTGACCGGTGACTGGCCTTGGCATGACCAAGGGCCCGCTGATGGGGAGAGGACCAGCCACCCCCGAGGGCTCCTTCAGAAAAAGGGAGCACAGAGGGCGTGGTCGGGCCCTGGGGAGTGGCCGACAGGGCCGGCCCATCTGCGGCCCAGTCCCAGGGGCTGGTGAGGGGTGGACTGCGGGGGCCTCCCCGCAACGGGGAGCCAGGGCCGCGGTGGCCCTGCAGGCCCGCAGAGGAGACTGGAGACGAGGGGGACGGAGCCGCGGCCACGCTCTCACCCCTGCCAGGCCGCCGGTGGGGGTGGAAGCACCGCGGGGCGCGGGGCCTGCCTGGCCAGCGCGGGCCTCGGGACGCCTGCGTCCAGCACCTGAGGAGCCCGGCCAGGCGCGGGGCCACCGAGTGAGGTACGCGGGTTGATTCCCTGGGTGGGCTGCCCGGCGGCCCGTGAGGCCCCGCGGTGGGCACTGGGGCGAGGAGGGACCCAACTAGCAGGTCAGTGGGGTGATGGGGTGTGGCGCAGCGGGCGCGGCCGGGGCAGAGGGCCCGGAGAACAGGCCTCGCGGCGCTGGCTGACACGCTGCGCCGGGGCCGCCGCGGGCCTAGCTGTCCTCCAGGTGCAGGCCGATGAATTCCTGGATGCAGCGGCGGTACTGGAGCTCCGTGGGGCTGCTGCCCCCAGGGGCCCGCCTGGCCCGGGGCGCCTCGGCCTCCCGCATCTCCTCAGCCATGCGCGCCAGCCGGAGCCTGGGGGAGGGGGTGAGGTCCTGCTCGCGCCCCGCCCGCCCCGGGGCCCCGCCACTCACAGGGTGACGATGTCGGCGTTGGCCTCCCGGACGGCGATGCTCAGTGGGTCCTGCTGCTCCTGGTCCAGGGCGTGCTGGTCGGCGCCTCTCTTCAGGAACAGGCAGACCTGGCTGGGGGCGGAGGGGCTGGTTGGGGCCGGCCGGCGGCGGCGGGGCGCTGGAGGGGGGCCCTGACTCACCCCGTGCGGCCCAGGAGCGTGGCGTGGTGCAGGGGGGCGCGGCCCCGGCTGTCTCTTTGGTTCACGTCGGCTCCGTTTTGCAGGAGAAATTCACAGACAATCAAGGAGCCCTGGGGGGCGGGGCGGCTCAGACTCACAGGGGAGCCCCCCACCCGCCCCCCAACATGTCTGCGCACAGGCCACGCCCCTCGCGCTAGCGCCCCTCACCCCAAGCACCGCCTGAACCAGCGGCGTCTTGCCCTCGTCCTCGGCGTTGGCCCAGTTGACCTCAGCCCCGTGGGCCAGCGCGGCGGCCAGCGCAGGGAGGTCGCGGGCGCGTGCGGCGCGGTGTGCCAGGAGCCCGGGTGCAGCTCGCGCACATCCGCTGGGGCCCAGGCCTCGGGCTCCGCGTCTCCCTCCACCTCTCCGCTGGACCCCTCCGACTCTGCGCCCTCTGGGGGGAGGGGGTGGTCAGGGGCAGCGGCGGCCGGCCGGCTGTCGGGGGGGCTGGGGACTGGGGCCGGTGCGCACGCACCCTCCTCAGCGACGCTGTCCACCACGGAGCCCGTGACGGCCAGGACGTCCGAGCTGCCATCGGAGCTGCCCCCCAGGCCACTGTCGCTGCTGAGACCTGTGGGGTGTGCAGGGAGGGGCCCTGAGCACCCGACTCCTCCCGGCTCTGGAGGGGTGCGGGGGTCCCACCGTCCTCCCGGCCTGCTCACAGGCCCCTGCGCTGCCCTCTGCGCTCCTGGTCTGGGGCCCAGCAGGGCGGGGACACTCGCCTGCCCCAGGGCAGGCAGCCTGGTGGCCAGGCCTGGCCAGCTGGGGGGCTGTCACCCCACTCAGCCAGGTACTCTTGGGCGCAGGGGGTGGCCCGGGTTCTGGGACCCCGATGCCCGGGCCAGTCTGTGCCCGCACACCCCCCCCAAGCTCCCGCAGGACTGCCGGGGGGAGAGGTTCCCGGCAGGGCCCCGATCTAAGGTCCAAGTCAGCGGCCATGTTACCGCCTGCTGGACGCGCGCTCCAGCCCAAGCCCTGCTTGACTCCTAGACTCCATGGGGAGCCCCCAAGACCCACCCCGCCCGTCCTGCAAGAGCACGTGGCTCCAGGGCTCGGGATGGCCCGCACACCGTCCCCACTCGCCCACCCACGGCTGAGCCGGACGGTCCCTCCCAGCACTCACTGCGTGGACCGGCGGCGGCCGCCCCAGCATCAAAGTAGGAGAAGAGGGAGTCCAGCTCGTCGGGGCCGAAGAGGGAGTCCCGCCGGAACCTGCGCTCCAGGCCGCCTGTGCGGGAGAGGGGCTGAGGCCCGAGCCCCCAGGACGCCGCCGCCGCCCGCCCTTCCCTGCCCCGGCGGGCGTGTCGGGGCGCGCACCTGGACAGAGGGCGGCCACGGAGGGCAGCGTGGGCTCCAGCCGGGCCGGGCGGCGGGCGCTGGGCGCGGGGGGAGCTGTGGTGGCGCCGGCACTTGGGGGCGCGCCAGCGCTGCGGGGCCTCGCCGGCGGGCGCGGAGGGAGGCCTGCCCAGGAACTTCTTCTCCACGTACTTGTCTCTGATCCAGGCCTCCTTGTCCTGCCTGGACGGGCCGCACGTGAGCCGCTCCCCCGTGGCGCTGCCCGGCCCACCCCTGGCCGCCTCACCTGGGGCTGCTGGCCGTGGGCTTCTTGCCGCCCGGCCCCTCGCACCGGGCCTCGTAGATGCGATTCACAGCGCTGTTGCCCAGCTCGCACATCAGCTGCGGGAGGCGGGTGTGCGGTCAGTGGGCGCTTGCCTCACGGCCCCAGCGCGGGCCCCGCTGCCGGCCGCCCGCCACGCTGCCCGCACACCTTCAGCAGTTCTGGCTCCCACGAGTCCAGCGTCAGGGAGCGCACCTTGGAGCAGTGGACGCCCAGGCTCCTGGACAGCAAGGGGGGAGGCAGGCCCGGGGGTGGGGTAAGCGGGTGGGCTGGGGGTGGGCGGGCCCGGGGGGGGGTGGGGGGAGGGCGGGGCGGCACCTGTGGATGCCCGAGCACTCGATGCACAGCAGCACACCCAGGTTGATGCTGGCCCAGCGGGGGTCGGGCTGGCCACAGTCGCCACACTGGCTGTTGCCAGCCACACTCTGCACGCGCTGCAGGGCACTCTCAGCCCTGACGCCGCGCTCCCGGGAGTCCGAGGCCGAGTCGAGGCTGCTCGTGGACGGGGACGCCGTGCGGTCCAGCCTCTGGGGACGGTGGTGGGGTCACGGCCTGCAGGTGTGCCAGCCGCAGCCCTGGAGGCCCCTCCCGCAGCAGAGGGGCCACATGGCTGCGCGTGCACGCACGCACACACAGGTGCTCACATGCACATGCTCAAACATGCACATGCAGCTGTTCACCATGCACACGCAAGTGCTCACACACACATGCAGGTGCTCTTGCAAGTGCTCACGCGCACACACAGGTGCTCACGCGCATGCACACGCAGGTGTTCACGCATGTGCAGGCCCAGGGCAGCGTGCACACGTGCCACAGGGCTGTGGCGGGCGCACCTCTCCGTAGCAGCTGTCGGGGCTCGCCCGGTAGGCAGAGGCGATGCTGGCCTGCACAGCCTGCACCCAGGCCCGCCGCAGAGTCTCCGAGTCAGCCTGCAGCATGCAGCTCCTGCGGGGAGGGGCTGTCAGGCTGGGCCGCGGGGACCCCCCCTTGCCCCGCCCCGGCCGAGGCTCCTCACTTGGTGGGGGACACGACCTCAAAGCAGAACCTCCGCTCGGTGTCCTCGCACGGCTTCACGGAGCACAGGCGGAGGTCGTCCACCACCACGGTCAGCGCGTCCTGCGGCGGCACCACTGTGGCTCCCCACCCCGCCCGGCCCGCACCCGCCTCAGCCCGGCTGCCCGAGACCCCAGCGACCTCCGCCCCAGCCAGGCCGGCTTAGGCGCAGCGAGCCCACCCGCCCCCCGCCAGCCCCCACCGCAGGCAGGAGGCCCCCCGAGGGCGCACCTTCAGCCTCTTCTGGTAGACCAGCTGGCTGTTCTGGATGGAGAACCAGCGCCTGGTGCGAGAGGGAGGCGGGGTCAGCGGGCCGGGCCAGGGTCACCCTCCGCGCAGCCCGCCCGGCAGCCCCCGGGAGACCCTCACCGGTTCCACGTCTTGAAGGCGTTGCTGGCCCTCTTGAAGAGGTAGCCCTCCATCACCACCCCGCTGGGCGCGTCCACGTCGAACTCAGCCTTGGGCCCATCGTGGGAGAAGTCCTGGGGAGGGGCCGCCCCAGTGAGAGCGGGCGGCCGCGGCCGCCCCAGGCCCCGAGCGCAGGCGGGGGCCGCTCTGCACAGCCCCTCCCTGAGCCCCAAGGGGGCAGGTCCCTCACATCGTAGCCGGGGCTCCGGCCCCAGCCCAGGCCGGGACAGCAGGCTCTGGGGTCAGGAAGGAAGCTGCTGCCCCAGCCCGAGCCCCCCATTCAGGGCCCAGCTGGGCCGCGGACAGAGCTCCATTCACAGGGCCCGGGGCCGCGAGCGCTGGCCTGTGTCCGGGGCGGGGAGGAGAGGCCCGGCCACCTGCTCCCCAGGCTGCGCGGGGCAGAAGGGACAGCTGCTGCCGCTGCAGGGGAGGCGGGCCAGGCCCGCCGGTGCCAGCCACGGCCCACCCGGCGCCGCGGCGGAGGCCCGGGAGGTGTCCTTGGTGCTGAAGCATGCGGCGGGGAGACGGAGGCCCCGCCCGCCCGCCCGCCCGCCCGCCCCCAGGGCGGGGCCCCTCACCTGCAGCAGCGTCTGAGGGCCCGGCGGGAGGACGCAGGGGGTGGGAGAGAGAGCCAGTGAGTGACAGGCCCCACAGCAGCACTCTGTGGCCCCCGAACAGCTCCAGGCTCCGCCCACCTCCTGAGACGGGAGCCAGTGCCTGGCAGGGGAGCCCGGCCCCACGAGGAAGCAGCCAGCAGCCCCAAAGCCCGCCAAGACCCAGGAGGGGGTGCAACCCCACCCCAGGGGCAGTCCCGCTGCCGTGCGCCGAGAAGGCTGTCGCTCTGCCCGCCAGCCTGGCCGCCCGCGCGACCACCAGGCGGAGGACCCCCGGGCTGGGGACGGAGCGGCAGGCCAGCCGCCGGGGGCTGCCAGGGCTTTCCCAGCAGAGGGGCGGCGGGCCTCACCCGCTGCTGGATGGCCGCGTGCTTGCGCTCCATCTCCCGCTTTTCCACCGCCGAGTCGATCACCAGCTGGTCCAGCTGTGAGGGAGGGGTGTCAGGGAGCCCGGCAGGGGCCCTGTCCCCACGCCCACCCCGCCCCGCCCCGCAGGCTCACCTCTGCTGCCAGCTTCTTCATGTAAGGGTCCAGCTGGTGCAGCAGGCTGTAGCCCTGCTGGAAGAAGCTGTACTGCGCGTGCATGAAGGACAGCATCTGCGGCGGGCACAACGCCCTCAGCCCCTGCAGGACCCACCCCGCGCCTGCCCGCGCCCACGGCGCCCTGCCCCCACGGCCCCCTGCCCGGCCCCGCGCCTGCCCCACGCCGTCTGCGCGCTCACAGAATCCAAAATCTCAAACTTCTTCTTGGCCTGCAGAACGTTGATCTGCCAGAGGGGAGGAGAGCAGGGGTCAGGCCCCGGAAGTCGGCCCTTGCCCTGCCCCTGCACCCTGAGGCCCCCGAGCGCGTCCAGTTTACCCAGCATCAGGGCCAGCCCCTCCAACGTCTCCGAGGCCTGCCCAGAGTCGGGGCGCTAGGCCCCCTCCCCCTGGCAGAGCCCTGAGCCCTCGGCCCTGCCCGCAGCCCCTCCAGCTCGGCTGGCCACCCCCCCGAGGTGTGGCACCTCAGGCTTTCTCCGGCCAGAGGGATCCTTCCGACGCCAGCTGCCCCGCAGGGACGCGGGAGCCGCTGGGCACACGCTGCAGGAGCTGACCGCTCGGCACTGACCTGGAGCACGTAGTCCAGCGCCAGGTGGCGGAAGCACTTGCGGGTGAGAGTCAGGGCGCCCGTGGCCTCCTCCACCTCGTGGGGCCGGTGCCTCGGGGCCTGGGCGTTCCTCACCAGGGACAGCTCCATGTCCTCCCGCACTTTGTCGAACTGCTTCTTGGTGTCCTTGAACTTGCGCACGTCCCTGGGGGCAGCCGAGCCTTCGCGAGGCGGCTCCTCCCTACGGACCGCCCTGTGCCGGCCGGGCCCCTTCTCCGCAGCGCTGGCCTCCCCGGGCTCCTCGCCGTCCTCTGCTCGCTCCTGGGTCCGTCCAGCCAGTGGGGACGGCCCTCGGCCTCCCTCGAACCCTCGCCCACGCCAGCTCCGTCTGCAGGGTCCCCTGGCACCTGGCTCAGCCCCTTCCCCGCCTGCTTCCCGCAGCCCTTCCCCTCCCAGGGCCTCCTGACCTCTGGCCGTGACCCGGCCCGCCCTCCTGGCTGCAGGCTCCTCTGCCCTGCTGGCCCCCACCCATGCGCCCCAGGACCCCAGTGTGACCCCGGCCACCCAGGGCTGACAGTCACTCACTCTTTGACGAAGTTGTGCAGCTGCTGGCGCACAGACCGCTGGGCCTGGTCAAATAGGATCTGGGGGCCAGGGCGAGGGCTGTCGGGTCCGTCCCCAGGGAGAACCAACGACAGCCCCATCCAGCCTGCCTGGCCCAGCTGGTCAGCAGACAGGCCTGGATCAGGGCAGCATCGCCCCGGGCTTGAGGCAGTACCCGGAGGCACAGTTGTGCCCACCTGCCCCTCTCCCCCACTGGTCCTTGACCAAACAGGAGGCCAGAGCTGCCCCGGATGGGATGCTCCTCTGCCCGAGCAGCCCAGACGGGGTGACACACGTAGGGCACGGGGCACCCCAACCTCCAGGCGCTGGCTGGCCAGCGGGGGGAGGAAGCAGGGGGTCAGAGGTCAGAGCCAGGAGGGCCGCCCCACAGTGCTCCAGTCCCGCGTGGGGAGGGCCGGCCTCCCTGGCGCAGACGGACGGACAGACAGACAGGGCAGGAAGAGCTGGTTTATTCTGAACTTCCCGCGGGGGTGGAGCCCTTGTTTGGGCAGGGCTTTCGGCTCCCAGGCTGGCCCGCCCACCCCGCGGCCTGTCCTGTGCCAGGCCAGGGTCCCGCGGCTCAGGTGGCTCTGCGCCAACCTGGCAGCGGTGAGGGGGGACTCACCCGAGGCTGCCTGGGGGACCCTTCCAGGCCTCACCCACCCTGAGCCCACCGTCCTGCCCGGGCAGTGACCGCCTCTCCCTGGGCAGACCCAAGCGCCCCCAGTGCCAGGGAGCGGCATGCAGCCCCGCCCGCCCCGCCGCCGGCTCACCATGTGGTAGCTGACCATCTCCTGCAGGCTGTCTCCAAACCTCTGCAGGCACTCCTGGGGGACACACTCGGCTCAGGCGCCTGCGCCCACCCCCCACAGCCCGGTGCCACCCGCCCCGCGCGCTCACCGAGACCACCGCATCCCCCTGGCACTGCTGCGACAGGTCCCGGACGCCGCTCACGAAGAGCCTGTTGGTGGCGACGTAGGCCTTGCCGGCCTCGATCATGCCGCTGCAGAGCTTGACCAGCTGCGGCGGGCGGCAGGCAGCTCAGTTCTCCAGCCAGGGCCAGAGGCCCCGCTCCCTGCCTGCCCCCAGCTGCCGGGGTTGCCAGGACGTTGGGGGCCCCAGGGCTCCGCCCACAGCTGGGTGCCAGCGGGACCCCTGCGGGGTCCGAGGCCACGCCTCTGGCCCCCCAACACAGGGAGTGCCCTGCAGCCCTCGGCCCAGCAGCTGTCCCCTGCCCGGGACCACAGGTGGGGTCCGGCCCGGGGCAGCACCGAACGCGGCGGGCAGCATGGGGTCTGGGACGGGAAGGGCGGGCAGCGTGCGAGGGGCAGCCCGGGTCCCCCTACCTTGTCCAGCTTGGCCTCGATCTCCACCACGTCTGTCTCCACCTCGTCAATGGTGGCTCTGCGGCGAGAGGAGGCAGCTTGTCCCCGGCCAGGGCGGGCGGGCACCCCCCCAGGGTCTCGGGGGAAGGGGCCGCAGGGCCTGCTCCCAGGGCCACCCGCGGGCTCTGCCCTCAGACAGATGGCGAGCGGGCCCGGGCCCCACCGGGGCCGGGCAAGGCTGGGACCTGAATCCCCTGCGGCAGCAGGGAAGCCGCCACCTGTGGCCTGGCTGGGGTCCCGGGGGCAGGGCGCGAGGGGCCAGTGTCAGACGCAGGAGGCAGAGGGCCGGGCCTCCTGGCCACCCTCCCGCCACACCCTTGCCAGCTGGGCTGACTGGGCCCCGGGCCAGGGACCCTGTCTGGGTCACTCCAGAGCACAGGCCGCTGCTCTCTGCTGGACCCCAGGCCGCCTAGTGGCCCCAACTCCCCCAACCTCAAAACAGACCATTCACTTTCTCGGTGGGGGGCCAGGCCAGGGAGGAGCCACCCCACGCCCTCCCGGGGCGCAGACAGCAGGGCTGTGGCGAGGCGAGAGTTAAGCCTTGACATCACTGGAGAAGCCTCCGGATGGGAGAACCCCCGGAAGGGGAGGCAGAGGCAGATGGATCCGCACGTGACATCCCCCTCTGGGAGCAGGAAATAGGGGCGCAGGGACAGGATCCTGGAGCCCCCACATAATCCGCTCAGCTGGTGAGCTGGGCCCACACAGCTGCCCGGGCCAGGGACCTGGGAGGACGGCTGGGGCCGGGACTTGGGGGGGTCAGTCGGGGCCCCACGCAGGTCTAAGGCCCTTCATTGCCGTGTGGTAGCGGGGCGGGGGGGTGGCTCCCCGGTTTCTCAGTCCTGGGGGCGGGACCGGACCGGTCCTCACGTGGGCCGGCTCACGTGTCCTCAGTTAGGAGCCGCGGGAGGCTGCCCCGGCCAGCGACCTGCACAGGTTCCCAGTTCTCCTCACAGGGCAGCCGCCCCCTCCCGAGGGCTCCGAGGCGCCCCACCCACCCAGGACTGCCCAGTCCTGACTGCAGCCCCTGCTGGTCTCGGCAAGCTGGGAGCACCCCCGGAGAGGACACTGCCCAGGGCCCTTGGGGCCCCTGGAGAGCGCAAGGGCGGGACTGTCAGAGCAGCAGGCAGGTGGGCCAGATACGGTCACACCCCACCTGGACACCAAGCCCTCCACTGTCCCTCCCCACGGAGCCCTGAGCCAGCCTCCCTCCAGGATTTCCTCAGCAGCCGGGTGGAGGGCGAGGCTGGCTCCCCCACCAAACCTGACTCAGCACCCAAAGCCCCACCCAGGGGAGGGGGCACAGAGAACAGGGAGGGCCACGCCCCCGTGTCCTCTGGAGAGGCGCCCCAAGCCCACAGGCAGGGCGTCCTCCCAGGCCCGGCCACCTGCCCACATCGCCGGACACATCCTCCCCTGCCCGCCCGCCCTGGCACCGAGGGCAGGCGAGCAGAAGAGGGGCCCTAGGCTGGCTTCGGGCGCCAGCAGCTTCAGCTGTGGCTCAGCCTAATCCTGAAACCCGCCTCGCCCTTGCCTGCGGCCCGGGTCCCAGCGGGTGGATGACCTCGGCCCCGTCCCCTTCCCAGGCCGCTGGTGTTTCCCAGGCCACCCCTCTCCGAAGCAGCCAGGCAGCTAGCGTGCCCACCGCGGGCTCCACGGGCGGCCACGTCCACGGTGTCCCGGTGCCAACGCCTGCCGGCAGCCGGGACTTCACGCAGGGGTGGGAGCAGGAGACTTCTGAGTGGGGGAGGTGGGGTGCCCGGCCCAAAGCCCGAGCCCGCAGCAGAGGCCCGGCGCCTGCCCCAGACTGGGGTGCTGGAGGCTGTGGGGCCCAGGGTGGGGAAGGGGGCGGCCACGCCGAGCCCAAGCAGCCAGCCAAGGACTCCACAGCACCCTGGTGTCCCGAGCCTGGGGCGCCCTCGGGGCATCCAGGTTGAGCCCTCCCCCCCCCAGGTCTCTGCTGGGCGCGGGCTCGGGAGGCCGCTGTGGAAGGGGTGCTCCGGGGAGCAGGGCGAGAGCCCCGAGCCGGGGACCCGGGTGACCCCAGGCCCTCCCCGGGCAGGCCCGAGGGCAGCGCGCGCCCAGGAGCACCCGCCGGCGCAGACGCTCCGTGGGCGCCCGCGGCCCCGCACACGCCCGCGCACACGTGTCACCGGGCCGGCTCCGCGCGGGGCGGGCAGGCGGGCGGCCGCTCGGCGGGGCGCGTCCGGCCGGCACGTCGGGGCGCTCCCGGGCGGGCGCCGCGCTCGAGGCCGCCCCGGCCCGCGGAGCCTGGTCCCCCGGGGCCCGCGCCCCGCGCCGCGCCCCCCAGCCCCGGCGCCCCCGGCCCGCGCCGGCTCGGCGCCCCGCACAGCCCGCGGCCGGCCCGCGCCCAGCAGGTGCGGGGCGGCGGCGCGGACACAAAGGGGGGCCCGGGGGCCGGCGGCGCCTTTTGTTCCGACCCGCGGGCGGGGCGCCGCGGGGGCCCGCCGGGCCCGGGGCGCGCCGGGGCCGGGCCCCCGCGCGGCGCACCTGAAGCGCGGCGAGTCCTTGATGCACTCCTCGAACTCCACCGTCATGGCTGCGGCCGGCGCTCCCTGTCGCGAGGACGGCGCCCCGCGGCATCCCCGGCCCGGCCCGGTCCGCGCCCCGCCCGCTGTCACCGCCGGGGAGCGTCGCCCAAGTCGGGCCCGCGCGGCCGCCGGGGGCGGGGCGGGGCCGCGCCGCGCGCTCCGGGGGCGGCGGGGGCGGCGGGCCGGGCGCGGCGCCCACGCCGCGGGAGGGCTCGCGGGCGGGCGGCGGGCGGCGGGCGGCGGGCGGGGCGGGCCGGGCGGGGCGCCTCCGGGCGGCTCCACGCGTCGGCCGCGGCCGGCACTTTGCACCCGGTCCCTGGCTCGGCCCGCCCCGGCGGCGGCGGCGGGGGCGGGGCGGGGCGGGGCGGGGCGGGGCGGGCGCAGGCGCGCGCGGGGGGGCGGGGCCGGGGCTGCTGCGCGCGCGCGGCCCACGTGCGTCCGGACCCGCGCGGCGGGGCTCGCCCGGCCATGGGCTCGGCTCCCGCGGGCTCGGCGCGCGCGCGCTACCTCGTGTTCTTCCAGTACGTGGGCACCGCCTTCAGGTGCGGCCCTGGCGGCCCGAGCCCGCGGGGGGCGCGGGGGGCGCGGGGGCGCGGGGGGCGCGCCTCGGCCCGCTGACTCCGCGCGTCTCTGCCCGCAGCGGGGTCGCCGCCGTCAGGGGCGCCCAGCGCGCCGTCGCCGTCGGGGTCCAGAACTTCCTCGAGGTGAGCTCCGCCCCGCGGGGTGGGGGCGGGGCGCGGGGCGGGGTGGGGCGGGGCGCGGCGGGGCGGGGCGCGGGGCCCCGCTGGGCACGTCCCCGCGGGTTCGGCAGCGCTGGCCCCGCAGGAGGCTGCGGAGCGGCTGGGCTCGGTCGTGCCGGTCAAGGTCACCGTCTCCAGCCGAACGGACGCCGGGGTCCACGCGCTGAGCAACGCGGCGCACCTGGACGTCCAGCGCCGCCCGGGCCGGCCGCCCTTCTCCCCGGAAGCCCTGGCGCGCGCCCTCAACACCCACCTGACACACCCGGCCATCCGGTGAGGCCCCGCTGGGCCCGCAGCACGGGCGGGCTGGGGGCGGGCCATTCGCCGGCCTGACGGCCCGGCCCCCACGCACAGGGTCCTGCAGGCCTTCCGCGTGCCCAGCGACTTCCATGCGCGCTACGCAGCCACGTCTCGGAGCTACCTGTACCGCCTGGCCACTGGCTGTGCCCGGCCTGACCAGATGCCCGTATTCGAGAGAGACCGGTGCTGGGCGCTCCGGACCGAGTGAGTGGTCCGCGGGGAGCGGGGCGGGCGTCACACCGCCCTACCGGCCACCCCTTCCTGACCACTCACCTGGCCCCTGCAGCTGCTTGGATGTGGCCGCCATGCAGGAGGCTGCCCAGCATCTCCTGGGCACGCACGACTTCAGCGCCTTCCAGTCAGCCGGCAGCCCCACCCCCAGCCCAGTGCGCACACTGCGGAGAGCCTGTGTGTCCCCCCACCCGGCCAGCCCCTTCGCCCTTCCCCAGGAGAGCAGGTGCGTCCTGCCTGGGCCCAGCTTCAGCTCTCGACGGCAGCAGACCTGAGGCTGGATTGGGAAACCCTCGGGCCTCACTGGGAGGACGCTGGCCGGCTGACCTAGCAGCTGGAGTCCCTGCTGCTGGGGGGACACCCTGGGCTCTGGACTAGTGGGTGGATCTGGGCAGCTGCGGGGAGGGCCCTCAGAAGCAGCTCCGGGCCAGTGGTTCGGCCCAGCCTCAGGGTGTGCCCGCGCGAGGGCACAGGGCAGGGGCCCCAGCTTGACCTGGGCTCCTCCCACCAGCGCCTCTGGGCTAGGTGGGCAGCAGAGCTTGATGGTGCCAGAGTGCCCCCCCCCCCACCAGCCTGGCCCATGTCCCCACAGCCTGCGCTTCTGGACCGTGGAGTTTGAGAGCCAGTCCTTCCTGTACAGACAGGTGGGCACAGCACGGGCCCTCCGGGGCTGGGGGGCAGCTGGGACCCCTGCAGCAGTCTTGGCCTTCGGTCCCAGGTGCGGAGGATGACGGCTGTGCTGGTGGCTGTGGGGCTGGGGGCTCTGACGCCCGCTCAGGTGAAGGCCATTCTGGAAAGCCGGGACCCGCTGGGCAGGTACCAGAGCCGTGTGGCTCCGGCCTGCGGCCTGTTCCTGAAGTCGGTGCAGTACGGAGGCCTGGGTAAGAGGCAGTCGGGTGCCCTCCCCACCCCTGTGCTGGCCCCATGCGGGGTCAGCGTCACATGAGCGCGCGTCTGTCCCTTTAGATGGCGGAAGCCCAGCCTGTGCCCGTGGGGAAGGCCAGGCCCCAGGGAGCAGGGAGGCCCCAAGCGGATAACTGGAGACCATGTCCCGAGGTGACCAGTCAGCCAAGGTCCTGCCCCTGGGGCCAGCGGGAGCAGCTCCCCGTGAGGCAGGGATGAAGGGGATGGCGACTCTTGCTCACGGCCCACCAGCAGGAACTGCCTCCCCAGTGACCCGGGGGGCCTCCTGCACCTGTGCGCCGGCCCCCCGCAGCAGCACGCACGCACAACACAGGAGGGAGACTGGGGCCGGCGCTTCTGGCTGTGCTTTACTGGAATGTCCTGGGGGTCCAGGAAGAGAAATAAAAGGTCCAAAGCCCACAGGTCTGTTCAGCCCCCAGGCTGGCCGGCGACACGCGAGTAGGCACTTGACACGGTGGACATCCCAGGCAGTGAAGGGACGGCTGGGGCAGGCGTGGGCCGGGGGCAGAGATGGGTCCTCCGGTGGCACAGGGCGGCTCAGGGCAGCCCAGGTGGTGGCTTCAGCTGGGGGCCTGGGGCAGGCCCTTCTTGAGCAGCGCCGTGAGGTAGCTCCCCAGCTCTTCATCCTACAGCAAAGGCCAGAGTGCGTCGCCAGCCTGCCCACCTTGGTGCCCCGCCCGCCTGCCCACCTTGGTGCCCCGCCCGCCCCTTACCTGGTAAGTCCAGGAAACCAGTAGCACCTTGGTGCTAGGGTCCTCGGAGTGGGCAGCGGCCTGAACCAGGATGGACTCCACAGTCACGGAGCCGTCGGGCAGGTGTTGCACGCAGTGGTCCTTGAGGACACTGGGGGGACACCCACACTGGTGAGGCCCTGCCCGCACCCCACCCCCACACCACGGTTGGGCAGACGCCCACCTGCGCAGGTGGCTGTAGACGCGGGCAGCAGTCTCCTGCTCCTTGCGTGGGTCATGCAGCTGCACCCGGCAGGTGAAGCGCAGCTGGTGCTCCGCCAGGCCCAGCTCCTTGAGGGCCTGCTCCGAGGACACCAGCCGGAAGCTCTGCGGGGAGGCGGTCAGTGGGCAGCCCGGCCCTGCCCCCAGGGCCCGCCCCCGCGGCCCCGCCTCCAGACTCACACTGTCCTTCATGATCAGGGTCCCGTGCAGGAGCCGGGGCTTCTTGGCATCTGGGAGGAGGCCTGTGGAGAAGCCCAAGGTGGCAGCTGCCCAAGGCGGGGCTGCGGTCCCCACCCCTCCACGCCCCGGCTCCCCCACACCTACCCTGTGCCATCTCCCGCTTCAGCAGCCCCAGCGAGATGCCCACGGGGATGCTGGGGCTCGTGGGCAGCACCACCGTCTCCCCGTTGGCCGGCATGTAGCAGCTGACCCCTGGGTGGGGGACAGTGGTCTCAGTCGGCGTGCACTGCTCCTGGCCCGGCCCGCCCCGCCCCGCCCCACCCCGCCGCGGTGCCACCGCCTACGGAACTCCTGCTCGATCTTCTGCCGCAGGAACTCCATCTTCTTGGCCTCCCCATGCACCAGCAGCACGTTGGCCGGCTCCGCCTGCCCCACCAGCTGCATGATGCCCTTGGCGTCTGCGTGCGCGCTGAAGGACATGTACTCCACCTGCATCTTCACCTCCAGCTGCGGGCCCAGCACACGCGTTGCTGGGCGGCCAGTGCAGCCCAGAGGGACCACCACCCAGAGGGGCCAGGGGCCCGGAGCCCAGGAGGGGGCACCAGGGTGGGCGGGGTGGGGAAGGCGGGCCTCACCACCTGCCGACCCTCCATCTCCAGCTTGCGCTGCCCGCTGAGGATCTTGTGGCCCACAGTGCCCTGCACGCAGTAGCCAGGCATGATGACCTGCGCAGGAAGAGAGCGGCTGTGCACCTCACAGGCTCTGGGGTTCCCTGCCCCGCGGGGGCCACCGTGCCCTCACCATGTTCCTCTCGTTGCCCGCCCACTTCCGGAAGATCTGCAGGGACTGGCCGGCGTGCAGCATGCCGGGGGTGGCAAACACTACCTGTGGGGGTGCAGGTCAGGGAATCGGGGAACCGCAGGCCCAGTGCTCGTGAGCTGCAGCGGGCCCTGGCTCTAGGCCTGCGGGGAGCGCCGGCGGGGCCGGGCAGGCGCCGGGCAGGTTCCGGCCAGGCCTCACCATCGGCCCTGGGTTGTCGGCAAAAGCCCGGTCGAAGGCCTTGATGTGCTTGAACTCGAACATGTTCCTCTGCACGAAGGTCTTGCGGATCTTCTGGTTCGTCCAGGTGATGAAGAGCTTGTAGTAGTGGTTGGCCTTCTCTGTCAAGCCCGTGGAGAAGTAGATGGGGGCCTTGAGGTTCATGCGCTCCCTGCGGTGGGCAGGCGGGCCACAGTGAGGGGGGGCCTGGGCCACCTCCCCACACCTGGGTGGGCAGCGCCCGCACCCGCGTGCCCACAGCAGCTGGAGGCAGGCTGGGGGGACAGCCACACCGGCTCAAAGCCCAGTCAGTCACACCCTGACAGGCCCGCTGGCCGCCCGCCGTGGCACGCACCAGAAGGTCTCCAGCAGGATGCAGAGCTCCTGTGCCCGGCCCAGGGCGAACACGGGAATCAGCACCTGCAGGTGAAGGCATGTGGGCAGGTGCCACTCCAGGCCGGGGCCCACATCCCGGCAGGCGTGACACCGTTGGCGTCCAAGATGTGGAGGACAAGCAGGCACCCCATGGGGTGCCCCCACACAGGCCGGTCCCACGCCGCCCCTCCGCTACCTTCCCGCCGCGCTCGACGGTCTCGTGGACCTTCTTCAGGAAGTCACGCTCCCGGCAGCGCTTAGAGTCGCGGATGGTGGTGGCGTAGGTAGACTCCGTGATGAGCAGGTTGGGGCGGCACCGGTCGATCCAGGCGGCCCTGGCGCAGCGGGCAGTGAGCACAGCTGCGTGTTGGCCGCTGCTGTGTGAGCGCCAGCCAGGACCCAGTGGGAGGGCCCAGGCCACACAGCACCACATAGGGTACACGGACATGCTGACCACCCAGGCATCCAGCGACCGACCCACCCGCCACTGCGGCCTGCAGTGACCTCCCCCCCGCCAACTCACCCCAAGTGTCTATCGGGGGTCATGTTGTAGTCACCCTACAGAGGAGATGGCTATGAGGGGATGCCTCCTGCCCCCCGCAGCCTCTACTCCACCCCAGGTCCCGCCACTGACCGTGTAGACCACAGACTCCGAGCCCACTTTAATCTGGAACATGGCAGCCCCCAGCACATGGCCTGCGTAGTAGGCCTTGATTTCCAGCTCGTCATCAACCTGCCAAAAAGAGGCCAGGCTCGGGAACAGTGGGCAGGAGCAGCTAACGTCACGCTGAGCCTTTTGCCGCCTCCCGCCTCACACACATGACACCAGCTTTCAACCAAACGAACTGAGCAGGAGCCCGCGACAAGGGCCCCCGGGGAGCCATGGCCTGGAGAAGCAACTCCGGGGCCGCCTTCCACACTCAGAGACAGGATGGGACGCAAAGCATCAGCCGGAAACCTAGCAACTGTGACAGAGGTCAAGTCCTAAAGCCAGAAACTGCAACGCCCAAAGGAAGAAGCCAAGGGGTGATCTAACGGGACATCACAGAACCAGGAGCTGATGAAGCGAATGCACAGAGGGGCATCCTGCACGAAGGGGCCAGTGAGAAGCGGTGCTCGGGCCCTCCAGTCAGGGGGAGGGGCGAGGTGAAGGGGGGGGCTGATGAGAGACATCAAGCCGCAAGTTCCAGAGGCGCCACGCCAGGGGCCAAAGCAGAAACTGAGTGGTGAGCCCGGCTAGCGCAGACCCAGCTAGGTCTGTGGTGGCCTAACAGAGAAGAGCCTCTCCAGGCAGAAGGGGGGACAGCAGCTCCAGGTCCAGGGAGCGTGGCCTGACCCCATGTAGACACGGAGACTCCCTTGCCTCCTTCAGGACAGAAAGTGGTTCATCCCAAGGGAAAGGGGACGTGGGTGGATGGCGGAGCACAAAGCAGAGCCCAGCAGGCCCCAAGGGGGTGGCATAGTGCCCGCATGAGAGGGCACCACAGTGGCTGTGCCCCTCCCCCACCAGGACAGGCCATGGCCCAAGGGCCTTGGCCTTTGTCATCCAGGGCGTATCTTGTGGCCGCCACCACTCAACTGGTCGTGAAAGTGTCACCAACTGAACAAGACGAGGAGAGGACTATAAAAAACCAATCCTGGGACTCGCTGGTGGCACAAAGAATTAAGATAGAGCACTATGAAGCTGTTCCACCCACTGCAGCACAAGTTCGATCCCTGGCCAGGGAGCTACCCACAGGACACAACAGACCTCTCCTGTCTCCCCTCGGCAGTGCATTTCAGTAAATCCATCTGTTCCGCTCCCCATCCTGTCTCTGGAGAGTCCTCACCCCCCGCATCTCTGGCCTGCACCCTAGCTCTTATATGCATAAATATGTAAGTCCTAAAAATGAGAAAATAGGAACTCTATGGCGGTACAAGGGGCTTATGCACAGCACTGTGAAGCTATCCCAGCCTCTGCAGCGCCAGTTGGATCCCCAGCTGGCCAGGGAGCAACGCACATGGCGCAGCAGACCTCTCCTGTCTCACCCGCTGCTCCCCTCAGCAGTGTATTTCAGTCTGCCTGTTCTGCTCCCCGCTCTGTCTCTCGTGAATCCTCTCACCTCCCCCACCTCTAACTGTACCCCAGTTCTTATATGCATAAATCAATCTATCTTAAAAAAATTTGAAAGCAACAGGGCAGCCCCGAAAAGACAGTAAAAGAAGAAAAGATGCCATGGCGAGATTCGCGGCAATGCCTGGCCCGCCCCACTGGGACAGCAGCCAGCCCGAGAGCCACGGGTCCTGAAGCCGCAAGGCTGTGGGACAATGTGGACGAGACCGTCGGGGCCAGTGCTGCCGCAGGTAAAGGAAACGGGTGGTGGAAGTGGCGCTAAAGGCCGACACTCACGTCCTGGCCACAAAGGGAGCTGCCCAGAGCAAACAGACCAGCGCTGTGCCTGTGGCCGGCAGCCCAGGCCTGGGAAAGTGATCACCACCACCGCCTTCCGGTGCGTGCCACTGCTACCCTGACCTGCCCTGGATGCCCAAAGACGCTGACGGGGACGGAGCCTGTGGGCTGCCCGCCCACCCCCCCAACCCCAGGCAGCAGGCCCACCCAGCTCGGCCAAGTGTCCGCCCAAGGGGCTGGGCCACCCGTTCCAGCCGCCACGCACTCAGGCAGACCCGGGGCCACACAGTGGCCTGCGGGCTCACGGGGGGTCAGCGTGGTGTGGAGCCCCAGCCAGCCTCGTGCTCCCTGATGCCCCCAACACCCCCACAGGTGGACCCTGACCTGGACAGTCTGGTGGAGGTGGACGGCCACCACCTTCTTCATGCAGTCCTTGATCATCTGGGAGGTAAAGAAGTTGGCCTCGCCCTTTTTGTCCACGGCAATCTTGCGATAGTCCTCCAGCAGGATTGGGCAGATGGCCTGGGTGGGGTGGGTCATGTAGATGGGCCCGTCGTAGCCCACCATCTCGCTGAAGTAGGGGAGTGCTCCACAGTGGTCCAGGTGAAAATGGCTGTGGGGGGCATGAGTCAGACCACTCGGACCTGCTAGCAAGCCTCCTGAGCCTGCGCTGCTCGGACCCGCCAGCAAGCCTCCCGGGCCTGCGTGCTGCAGCGAGCCAGGGGTCACACAAGTCCCGCCCCACCAGCTTGGCATCCAGCCAGCATCTGGCGAAGCAAATAGCTGCAGCTGCTTCCGCACGGAAACAGCAAAGGGGCTGGCTGGGGAAAGGTCCCCACCGCACTGGGTGGTCAGGACAACCCCTTTGCTGCTCACACCAAGGCCGGGAGTAGGGCACAGAGTTAAGACCAGGCCGGAGCAGTGCTTGCCCCACAGCAGGCCGTGGTGCCAGTGTGGGCAGGCAGTATGGGCGCGGTCAGGTCCTCCGGGCTGCAGGACCACTAGAACAGGCCAAGACCCGCTGCCGAATGCTACAGAGAGCTGAGGCGCAGCCCATGGCGCCCTTGATCAGGCACCTCTGCACCAGCAAGGGCGGCCTCCCTGGTCCAGCTACCGAGAGGCGCCGCGTCTCCCTGGGCACCACGCCTCTTATCTATTCTCAGGGGAACGGCCAACAAGCACATGGTCAGGCCCTGGCATACAAGGCCGAGGGCAGCGGCCAGGGAGATGGGGAGCAGACCAGGTACCTCGGGTCCAGGTGAGGGGCCGGGATACCCACCCTGCACAGGCCCGGCTGCTCTCCCAGGCCTGAGGGCCTTTGAGGGGAAGGCCGTGCAGGTGCCCACCTGATGATCACACAGTCCAGAAAGTCAGTCAGCCGGCCGCTGCGTGTGATGTAGGAGAAGTCGGGAAAGCGTCTCTGTGGAGCCGGGAGTGCGTCAGTGCTGGGGAACTTGGGGCAGGTGCAGCCAGGGCACTGGCACCCAGGCCCGGTGTGAAACACGCCCACCCAGCAGGATCTGTGGATGCCCCGGTCCGCCCACCCCCAGGAGCCAGTGAGCAAGGGCTTCCAGAATCACAGGACCATGGCCCATGCCACACCCCTCCCCTCAGGGCTGGGGGTCTGGCTGGGGTCCACCCACAGCAGCGTGGGTGCTAGGCAGGGCCAGGGACTCACGTCATCATTGAAGCCCATGTGCATCCCGCAGTCCAGCATGACGTTCTTGCCCGCGATGGACACCAGGATGCAGCTGCGGCCCACGTCCTGGCCGGCCCCTGCGCGGGACAGCCAGTCAGGCGCCCACCTGCCTTCCCAGCCCCAGGCCGGTCCCCAGCTCCCCCAGGCCGCGGGGAGCTGGGGGGCGCCGGTTCCCCGCCGTGGAACGTGCAGTGGAGGGGAGGGGGCCCGGGCGCCTGCCCTGGCTCCCCGCCGCGGGCCGCGGGTGTCGGACCGTCGCGCCCGCGCGGGGCCTCACGCCTCTCCCTGGAGCCTCAGTGGGGCTAGAGCTGTGGGGCCGCCGCGGCCGGGGCCGAAGCACCTCCAGGAGGCCGCGCTGCAGCGAGCACAGGCGGCTCCGGCCCCACGGTCCGGCACGGACCCCGACGGGGCGGCGGCGCGGGGGCCGCTGCCCGCCCCAGGGCCCCGCCCCGGCCCCGCCTCGGCCCCGCCAGGCTCGGGGCGCCCCGACGCTTCGCCAGGCGAGGCTCGCCCGGCGCCCGGCGCAGGCGCGGAGCCCACAGGCCGGCGGGGGGCGCTCACCGAGCGGCGTGACCCTGATCTCGGGCATGGCGCCGCCGGATGTCCTCTGGTACGGCACGGGCTCGCGCGGCGCATGCGCAGTCCCCCGGGGCGGCCGACTTCCGGTGCGCCGCCGGGAAACGCGCCTCTCAGTCCGCGTCCTGATTGGGCGGCGGCGGCGCAGCCCGGGGGGCGGGGCCGGGGCGGGGCGGGGCGGGGCGGGGCGGGGCCGGGCCGGGGGTCTGCGGCGGGGCGCGCAGGTGAGCGGCGGGCGCGCAGGTGAGCGAGGGCCGGCAGCGGCGGGACATCCGCGTCCAACCGAACCGGCCGGGATGGCCTGGGCAGAGGCGAGGGGTCGGGCCCGGGAGGGGCCGGCCCGCCCCCGACCCCCCCAACCGTGGGCCTCAGCCGAAGCGGCACCCAACGGGACCCGGACCCCACCCCACTAAGCCCGGGGACCCTGCCCGGGGGCGCCTGGAGCCTTCTCCCCAGGTAGACTTGCAAGACTTCCTGGACCGGCCCTGCCCTCACCCGCCGGCCCGCTGGGGGCGCAGCGCTCTGGGCTCCCCCTGTCTTGTCGCCCACCCCGGGGCGGGCGCTCAGGCCGCCCTCCAAGCCCCGACCTTGGGTGGTGGGCTCCCCCGGGGTGGGGGGTCTTGGCGGGGCCTCATCTCCTCCCAGAGCTGGCAAGCTGCCCAGCCCAGCTGCAGGAACACTGCCCTTCCTTTGTCCCCAAGCTCTGCAGGGTCCTGGCAGCTCCTGGCAGCTGCTGGCTGGGCTCTGGGCAGGAAGGCCAGGCCCACGGGATGTCTAGGGGCCAGAAATGTTAGCCCTGGGGACTCAGAGGCCACCTGCTCAGTAGATGAAGACGGCCTGTCCCGGGGAGGGGACCCTCCTCCGAGACCCAGGCACTGCTGTCCCCCACACCTCATGACAAGGTGAGCTCCCCCCTGGGGACCCCGCCCAGTGCCAGGCATGTGGCCCGACCCGTTGGGGCTGGCAGGACCTCAGCACCAGCAGCCACTCCTGGCAGCCTGGGTGGTGGGCAGGGCAGGTGTGCTGACCCACCTTCCCGGGAGAGGAACAGCCCGTCAGGGGACGTGAGTGACTTATCCCCAGGCTGGAGGCATAAGGGCCAGATCCAGCAGGTGAGAGATGCACTGAGTCCCCAGGGCCTGCCACCCTGCAGTGCCCACCCTGTGCAGCAAGGGGGCAGGCCAGGGTGCTGGCAGCTCACCCTCAGTGCCTGGCCGGGCCAATGTACACTGTGTGACCAGGACCCAGAGCAGGCCCTGCCTTCAGGACTGTGGTCTGGCACACCCCTGGAAGTTTCTGACACGGGCGGTGGCCGTGGCCATCTCTGGCCCAGCCACCCTTCAAGTGGGAGGTGCGCGGTTTCAGTGGGAGGGGAAAGCTTGGCGCTTGCCGTCGGCCCCTGCAAACGCCACCCTCAGCACCCCAGTGAGCAGAGGACCAAGCCCCTTGCAGCCCTGCCCTCTGCCTCCTTCCCTGTGTCCATGCTCGCGAGGTGCTGGAATTTCCTGTCTTTGTCGCCTGCCCTCCCCCACCAGAAAGCTGCCTGGACAGGCTGGACGGGCGGGAAGGCTTCGCCCCACATGCCTAGACAGAACCTGGCTCGAAGGGGAACAGACACGCTCGGGACACAGATGATGGGGGGCCTTGGGAGGGGTGCACGGGCACAGCGGGCAGCTGCTGGGGAGGGCTGGACCGGGCAGGGCCACACGGGCCATCAGTGGGGGGCAGCAGGGCCCAACCACTCATTCTCAGCCGCTCTGCCCACCATGACCCAAGGACCCTGCCAGCTCAGGAGACACCTCAGCAGCCCACTGTGTGTTCCAGCGCGCACGGAAGATGGTTGACGTGGAAGAGAGCTTCAACCTCAGAGTCGTCCTGCTCAACTTCAAGCAGTGTCTCAACGAGAAGGAAGAGGTGCTGCTGGACCCCTACCTGGCAGGCTGGAAGGGGCTGGTCAGGTGCGTGTGCGTGGCTTCCCTCCCCTGCCTGCCTGGGGATGTGTGCCCGCCGGGCACCACTGCGCTGAGCCCTCACTCCCCCAGGTTCCTGAACAGCCTGGGCGCCGTGTTCTCCTTCGTCTCCAAGGACGTGGCAGCCAAGCTGCAGATCATGGAGCGTCTGCGGGGCGGCCCGCAGGGGACGCACTACAACAGCCTGCAGTCCATGGTGGCCTACGAGGTGGGCGGCGGGCGGGTGGACCTGCAGCAGCGCTCCCGCCACCCCGACTCCGGCTGCCGCACGGTGCTCCGCCTACACCGCGCCCTGCGCTGGCTGCAGCTCTTCCTGGAGGGCCTGAGTGGGGGGCCCGAGGACGCCAGTGCCGCCACACTCTGTGCTGACGCCTACAGCGCCTCGCTTGCCGCCTACCACCCCTGGATCGTCCGCCAGGCCGTGGCCATGGCCTCCTGCACGCTGCCCTCGCGCAAGGTCTTCCTGGAGGCCATGAACGTGGGGCCACCCGAGCAGGCGGTGCAGATGTTGGCCGAGGCCCTGCCCTTCATCGAGCAGGTGTACAGCGTCTCCCAGAAGCTGTACGCAGACCACACCCTGCTAGACCTGCCCTAGGGTGGCATCAGGCGGGCGCAGTGGCCAGCGCCCACCTGGGGACAGGAAAGCTACCGTCAAGCCAGGGAGCTCGCCGGGAAGCCGGGCCCCCCATGGCTGCCCGCAGGCTGGGACAGGCCACCACAGAGAAGGCGGCGCTGGCCGTCTGCCCCTCGCCCTCCCGCTGCTTGGCTGCACACCTGACCGTCACCCGCAGGCAAGGGGGGAGTCGGTGTGGGCTCAGTGCGCAGAGCCGGGAGCTGCCCCCCCCCGCCTGGCGTGACTCACCTGTCCCTGGCCAGTCTCCACCCCGCAGCGCACGGGAGTCACACCGTGGACGGCACCCGCGTCGGGCCTGAGTGTCCGCACAGCCAACACCACCCCCTTCCCTGCCCCTGCTTGCCCTGTCCCCACAGCGCCGGGAGGGCCTGGGGGCTGTGCTTTGGGGGGAGGCCGCGCCCCCGGCGACCTTAAGCACAGGCGCAGGGGCCCTGGGAGCTGTAAGGGGCTGTGACCGCGACGAATAAACGTGCTCAGAGAACCCGGCGCCACACCCCAGGGCGATGAGCTGCGTGCCGGCCACCTACCAACCGAGGGAGGGAGTGCCAGGGCTGGCCCCCCGATCAGGCCCCATCTTCACTGCAGGGGGGCAGGAGACCCCCAGGGGCCAGCCTGGGGTAATCTGGGCTCTGAGCCCTCCACCCAGTGTCAGACCCGGTGGCTGCGCCCACCCCCAGCAGGGCCGGTGCCCGGGACCAGAGCGCGAGGTCTGCGCGGGCGGGTGGGGCTGCCTGGAGCCCTCCCCCCTGTACGCGGCTCCCAGGTCCCCAGTAAGTGGCTGCTGATAAGCACCCCTGCCCCCAAGCCAGGCGAGGGTCAGGGGACGCCCGAAGTCCAGGCGGTAAGTGCCCGCCCGGCCATCAGGGCCACTGGGCACCTGGTGCCAACCCAGCTGCCACCCATTTGGTTGCGGCCTTCCGTCCCACCCTCATTTGCACGTCCCGGCTGCGGGCGCTGCCCCGCAGGAAGCAGCTGCGACAGCCCAGCCCTGGCATGGGCGCAGCCTCTGGCGGGGCCCGGCGGGCGCGCTGCTCCGGGAGACGCATCCCTCGGGCTGCAGGCGGTGCCCGCCCAGGCCAAGAACCGGTGTTTCTGCCACCAGACTGCGGGACGCTGGCACCTCCCGGCCCGCCCGTGGGAAGCTGGGGACCCCAGGATCCTCAGCAGGAAAGTCCCGGGCATCCCTCTTCCCCGCCGGGAGTGGGGGGGGGGCTGGACACACGGCCACGCGGTCCTGGCCGGTGAGCCACGTGCTGCGGGAGGGCCCAGGAGAGTAACCGCGTGACGTGGGCGCGGCTGCCGGGCATCCCGGGCCAGGGCCAGGGCAGGGCCTGCCATGCAAATCCTCAGCCCCTCCCGGCCCGCCGCGGCGGTCAGCGTCCCGCCGGGCCCCACACGTCCCCGGGAGCAGCAGGTCATGGCCGCCCTGGCGCTCCTGGGCCTCGCGGCGCTCCTGGGCCTCGGGGCAGGCGCCCCCCTGTGCCTGTCCCGGCAGCTCCGGCAGCAGGGGGACTACGTGCTGGGCGGGCTCTTCCCCCTGGGGTGCGCCGAGGACGCCGGAGCCCGCGGCAGGTCCCCGCCCGACCTCGCCGGGCGCGCCAGGTACGGCGGGGGGCGGGCGGGGCGCGGGCCGCGGGGGCCGGCGCCGGCCCCCGCGCCCTCACCCCCGCGCGGCTCCAGGGTCTCGCCCCTCGGCCTGCTGTGGGCGCTGGCCGCGAAGCTGGCCGTGGAGGAGATCAACAACGGGTCCTCGCTGCTGCCCGGGCTGCGCCTGGGCTACGAGCTGCTGGACACGTGCGCGGGGCCCGGGGCCGTGAGGCCCAGCCTGGCCTTCCTGGGCGCGGCGGGCGGCGCCGCCCCCGCCCCCTGCGACTACACGCGGCGCCGGCCCCGCGTGCTGGCCGTCGTGGGGCCGCACTCGTCCGAGCTGGCGCTGGCCACCGGCAAGGTCTTCGGCTTCTTCCTCGTGCCCCAGGTGGGCCCCCTCCCGAGCCCGGGCCCGCCGCCCACCCAGGGCCCGCCTCAGGAGCCCCTCGCCCCGCAGGTCAGCTACGGGGCCGGCGCGGACGGGCTGAGCCGGCGGGAGACTTTCCCCTCCGCCTTCCGCACGGTGCCCGGCGACCGCGCCCAGGCGGCCGCCATGGTGGAGCTGCTGCGGGAGCTGGGCTGGAGCTGGGTGGCCGCGGTGGGCAGCGACGACGACTATGGCCGGCGGGGCCTGAGCCTCTTCTCCGGCCTGGCCGCCTCGCGCGGCATCTGCGTCGCGCACGAGGGCCTGCTGCGGGCGGGCGCGGCGCGGGGCCTGCTGCGCCAGGTGAGCGGGAGCGGCGTGGAGGTGGTGGTGGTGTTCGCCTCCCCCGCGCGGCCGGCGCCCTCCTCCGCTGCAGCCTCCGCTGCGGACTCCCGCCCAAGGTGTGGGTGGCCAGCGAGGCCTGGCTGGCCTCGGACCTGGTCACCGCGCTGCCCGGCGTGGCCCGGGTGGGCACCGTGCTGGGCTTCCTGCAGCGGGGGGCGCCCCTGCCCGAGTTCCCGTCCTACGTGCACGCCCAACTGGCCCTGGCCGCCGACCCCGCCTTCTGCGCCTCGCTGGAGGCCGAGCCGCGGGGTCTGGAGGAGCAGGCGGGGCGGCGCTGCCCGCAGTGTGACCACGTCACGCTGGAGGACCTGCAGGCTGGGCTGCTGCACCCCCAGACCTTTGCGGCCTACGCGGCGGTGCAGGCAGTGGCCCAGGCCCTCCACCGCGCGCTGCGCTGCAATGCCTCCGGCTGCCCCGCCCGGGAGCCCCTGCGGCCCTGGCAGGTGAGTGCCTGTGCCCGCGGGGAGGGGCTGGCGCTGCAGCCACCCAGTCCCCCGCCCTCTGGCCCGCAGCTCCTGGAGACCATGCACAATGCCAGCTTCCGGGCACGGGGCCTGGCGCTGCGGTTCGACGCGGGCGGCAGTGTGGGCGTGGACTACCACCTGAAGCTGTGGGTGTGGCGTGGCGGGGAGCCCGCGCTGCGCACCGTGGGCACCTACGACGGCCGTCTGCGGCTCCAGCGCTCCCGCCTCAGCTGGCACACACCGGGGAACAGGGTGAGCCCCAGCGGCCGCGGGGCCGGTATGGCGGGGGGTGAGGAGCTGGCCGCCGCAGCTCAGCCCAGCGGCTCCGCGCAGGAGCCCAAGTCCCGCTGCTCGCGGCAGTGCCAGCCCGGCCAGGTGCGACGCCTGAAGGGCCTGCACTCCTGCTGCTACGACTGTGTGGACTGCAAGGCGGGCAGCTACCGGCGCAGCCCAGGTGAGCCGGCCCGGGTGTCACTGCGGATGCAGAGCGGGCGGGGCTGTGGTGTGGAACGTGGGGCTGAGGCAAGGGATCCCGGTGGGCCCAGTGCCCAGGGTGCCAGCAGGCTGGCCCTGGCCAGCGCCCAGCCCTCAGTGCCCTCGCCCTCGCTGCAGATGACGCTCTGTGCACCTTGTGCGCCCAGGACCAGTGGTCTCCGGACCGGAGCACACGCTGCTTCCCCCGTACGCCCCGGTTCATGGCCTGGGGGGAGCCGGTGGTGCTGGTGCTGCTCCTGCTCCTGGGCCTGGCCCTGGGTCTGGTGCTGACGGCCCTGGCCCTCTTCATCCGGAACCGGGACAGCCCGCTGGTGCAGGCGGCAGGCGGGCCCCGGGCCTGCTTTGGCCTGGGCTGCCTGGGCCTCGTCTGCCTCAGCATCCTCCTGTTCCCCGGCCGGCCCCACCCCGCCAGCTGCCTGGCCCAGCAGCCGCTGCTGCACCTGCCGCTGACTGGCTGCCTGAGCACGCTGTTCCTGCAGGCGGCTGAGATCTTTGTGAGGGCGGAGCTGCCCGCCGGCTGGGCGGCCCGGCTGCGTGGCAGCCTGCAGGGGCCTGGGGCCTGGCTGGTGGTGCTGCTGGCCATGCTGGCGGAGGCGGGGCTGTGCGCCTGCTGCCTGGTGGCCTTCTCACCAGAGGTGGTCACCGACTGGCAGGCACTGCCCACAGAGGCGCTGCTGCACTGCTACCTGCGCTCCTGGGCGGGCTTTGGGCTGGTGCACGCCACCAATGCCACACTGGCTGGCCTCTGCTTCATGGGCACCTTCCTGGCACGGGGCCAGCCCAACCGCTACAGCGGGGCCCGCGGGCTCACCTTTGCTGCACTGGCCTACTTCGTTACCTGGGTGTCCTTCGTGCCTGTCTTCGCCAACGTGCATGTGGCCTACCAGCCTGCTGTGCAGATGGGCGCTACCCTCCTCTGCGCCCTGGGCATCCTGGCCACCGTCCACCTGCCCCAGTGCTACCTGCTGCTGCGCCGGCCAGAGCTCAACACCCCCACCTACTTCCTGGGAGAGGTGCCCGGCGATTCACGGGGTGAGGACGGTGCTGGGACTGAGGAGGTGGCTGGGCCTCACCGCCATGCACAGACCTAGTGGGTGTCCCCAGGCTGTCCCAGATCCACTGCGACCCCGTCTGACTCCAGGTGGCCGCAAACTGTGCGCTGGGTGTGCAGCCCCACGAGGGGTCTGAGCCCAGGGGCTCCACCCCTGGACCCTGCATCTCAGGCTCTGTCCCCACCCAGCTGAGCCCAGCCAAGGCCTGTCGTGCCTGACCCCACTGCTCCAGAACGCGGCCCCCGCAGCCACACCGACTCGGGGGAAGCCAAGCTGACCTTCACCATCCTGGCCGGCCCAGCCCAGGGCCACCTCAAATGTCACGGAATGGAGGTGGGTGGGTGGGTGGACAGTATGGGTACAGAACCGCGTCCTCCCTGGCCTGTGCGGCTGTAGGGGCAAACTGCCAGCACCGCGGACAGAGCCCAGGCAGGGTCAGGGGTCAGCACCAAGGCCAGCACCGCCGCCAAGACCCCTGCGCCTGGGAGCCAGCACCATGGACAGAGACCACACCCCTGTTGGCCAGCGCCGGGACAGAGCCCCGGCCTCTGAGCTGGACCCAGAGCACAGCAGTACCTGACGATCCTGGGCCAGCTCTCCTCAGGCAGTCCAGTGGCGGAGAGAACACAGGTCACAGAGTCCCATAAAATTAAACGCTTTTTAGTGTTTAAAATAGCATTTACACAGCAGCAGCTCTGTCACCCCGGCCCGCGCCGCCCCAGAGGCTGTGCTTTCTCGGACCCTCCCGGGCCCTCAGCCGCGACCTGTCTCTGCACCTGCTCGGAGACCTGAGCAGGAGAGTCATGCAAATGGGCCCAAGCCGGAGTTTGCATAGCCACCCCGACCACAGAGCCCACCACCAGGCAATAAATAAATAAATTAGATCCTACGTGGGGGCGGCAGCTCCACAGGCCTGGACAAGATGGGTAAGGCCTGTGAACTGGTGAGGGGGGTGCCCCAACCCAGCAGCCACCTCTCTCAGCTCAGCCTGAGCCCCGTGCACAGCTCTGCAGGCAGCTCGGGGTCACCTCCAGACAGGGAAGTCCATGGTGTCCCTGAGGCGCATGCCAAGAGGGGGCCAGTCGGGCCTGCCCGAGCACAGGCTGATGGAGGCACTCCCACGGGTCTGCTGGACACCAGCTGCTCTGCTCTGCCCTCTCCCACACCGTCCAGGTGGGGCCCGTGGCAGGGGGTTGTCCAAGCCCACCCCAGCTCCAGGTGCAGCGCCCTCCTAGGGACAGCGGGCACACGGGTCACATGATGTCGACAAAGAACTCACAGGGGTTTCCCATGGCCTTCTGGAAGGACTGACGGCTCCCCATCAGCTCTGGGGGGACAGCAGCCAGCTCCCGGACAGGTGGCGCCCCAGGTGGGCCCCCCACCGTTGAATATGCCTTCGTCAGGGGGTGCAGGAGAGGGAGGCCTGGGGCGGCAGCTGACGCCTGGCTGCGTGGACTACTGCCGCGGCTGAGCTGGCTCACAGGCCGCTCCCGCCAGCTGCTGCTGCCCGCTCCACTGGGCACCGTGGGGTCCGACTCGCTGCCGCTGCCCCCAACTCCAGCTACCCGGTGCTCCTGCTCCCGGCCCAGGGCCCGCCGGCTGCCCCCGCCAGCACTCCGGGTGGACCCGCTACTTTTGCTTCCTGGAAGAGGAAAGAGGATGGAACAGTCACTGCCAGGCCAGGCCCCTTTTGGGACCACACACCAGGGGCTGACCCCAGTGGGCCCCAGCAGAGGTGGGGGCAGCCATGCAGACATGGGGATGGGTACCGCCTGGGCAGGAGCAGCGCAGCAGGCGGGGGTGGGCAGGCAGGCGGGCCCTCCAGCAGCTCCACGCCGGACCTCACGCAGCGGAGACCCCAAGGCACAGGCAGCCCTGTGTGCTCGGTGCCCCATCCTGGGCCCCCCGCCCAAAAACCCACCTTCCAATTGACCCTGGGGCCCTGGCCAGCTACTCAGCTCAGCCCGTCCTGGGTTCATGCCGAGGGGGACGCCGGGCAGAACCCTGGCTTACCGGCCCCGAGGGTCCACTCCGCTAGTCCTTCAGTCTAAGGCTTGCTCAGCACAAAGCAAGGGATAGCACGAGTCACTCACGGCCCACCCAACGCCCACCCACCTGCCGGGGCACGCAGCCAAGGCCTGTCCAGGGACTGCACCATCCGACCCATGCCCCTCCCCCAACCCTTGCTGGGCAGGCTGTGGGCACGTGGCCACAAACCTGGCTGGACCCCACTCTGGGCCTCAGGCCACTGAGTGCCTTCCTGGGGATGCCCCCAGGCACCCCACCTGGTGGGGAGGATCGGCTGTGGCGAGGCTGGCCAACGCTGGCTCCCTGCTGGGCTGCAGGCGCAGGGGAGAGGCCTGTGCTCCTGCCAGGACCCCTCTGCAGCTCACGGGCACCACGCCCCCTCTACTGTCCTCGCTTTCTCGTGGCATCTCCTAGCCGCTGGCCCTGGCCCCCCCCACAACCTGGAGGTCTCCAGGGCCTTCTCCCCACATGCCTCCCCACAGACCCCTCCCAGCATCCGCGCAGGGCCCGCAGAGCAGGCGGGTGTGCAGGGCAGACAGGGCGCGGGGCGCAGCCAGGCAGGGGTGGCGGCCGGGCACCCGGGCTCTCACCTTCGCTCTGCTGGCTCCCGGCACTGCCACTGCCGTAGCTGAAGCCCGGGTCCTGGTAGGCAGGCGGGAAGCAGGGCGGGGGCCCCGGGTACTGGTAGGGGTAGCCCTGGCCCAGGGCCAGGGGGCGGCCGGGTGGGGCAGCGGGGCCAGCGTGTCCTGGTCCGAGGCGCCGCTGGAGCCGCCGTGGAGGGTCAGGGCCGCGAGATCTGGCAGGAGAGCGGCGGTGAGCGCCGGGGGCGTCCCGGGGACCCCCGACCCGCGGCCCCACTCACTGCTGCACAGGTCCCCGAAGACGTAGTAGCACTGCTCGGAGAAGGTGACCTTGTTGACCGTGTGCCGCAGGAAGCCGCGCCGCAGCATGCCGCTGGCGTACTTGCGCGCCTCGCGCCGCTCGCGGAAGCCCTCCACGTGCGCGTACAGCCAGTCCACCACGTCTGCGCCTGCGCGGGCGCGCGGTGAGGGCAGGGCGGGGCGGGGACAGGCGAGAGGCGGGGCGAGGTGAGGGGCGGGGCGGGGCAGGGGCGGCCAGGCGAGGGGCGGGGGGAGGTGAGGCGGGGGGCGGGGACAGGAGAGGGGCGGGGGGAGGTGAGGCGGGGGCTGGGCGAGGGGGTGGGGACAGGAGAGGGGCGGGGCAGGGGCGGGGGCAGGCGAGGGGCGGGGGGGAGGTGAGGCGGGGCGCGGGGCGAGGGGTGGGGACAGGAGAGGGGCGGGGCAGGGGCGGGGCCAGGCGAGGGGCGGGGGGAGGTGAGGCGGGGGGCGGACAGGAGAGGGGCGGGGGGAGGTGAGGCGGGGGCTGGGCGAGGGGGTGGGGACAGGAGAGGGGCGGGGCAGGGGCGGGGGCAGGCGAGGGGCGGGGGGGGAGGTGAGGCGGGGCGCGGGGCGAGGGGGTGGGGACAGGAGAGGGGCGGGGCAGGGGCGGGGGCAGGCGAGGGCGGGGGGGGGAGGTGGGGGGGGGTGAGGCGGGCTGGGCGAGGGGTGGGGACAGGAGAGGGGCGGGGCAGGGGCGGGGCAGGCGAGGGGGCGGGGGGGGAGGTGAGGCGGGGCGCGGGGCGAGGGGTGGGGACAGGAGAGGGGCGGGGCGGGGGCAGGCGAGGGGCGGGGCGGGGGAGGTGAGGCGGGGGCGGGGCGAGGGGGTGGGGACAGGAGAGGGGCGGGGCAGGGGCGGGGGCAGGCGAGGGGCGGGGGGGGGAGGTGAGGCGGGGCGCGGGGCGGGGACAGGAGAGGGGCGGGGGGAGGTGAGGCGGGGGCTGGGCGAGGGGGTGGGACAGGAGAGGGGCGGGGCAGGGGCGGGGCAGGCGAGGGGCGGGGGGGAGGTGAGGCGGGGCGCGGGGCGAGGGGTGGGGACAGGAGAGGGGCGGGGCAGGGCGGGGGCAGGCGAGGGGCGGGGGGGGGGAGGTGAGGTGGGGCGGGGCGAGGGGTGGGGACAGGAGAGGGGCGGGGCAGGGGCGGGGGCAGGCGAGGGGCGGGGCGGGGGAGGTGAGGCGGGGCGGGGCGCGGGGCGGGGACAGGAGAGGCGGGGCAGGGCGAGGCTGGGGGGGGCCGGGGCGGCTCAGCTCACCGATGACGGCGTTGGCGATGGTGATCTTCAGCCACATGCGGTCCCGGATCTCCAGGCCGGAGTCGGGCAGCTGCATGACCCGGACCACCGCCCCCATGTCGCTCTTCACAGTCAGCGGCGCCTCCTCCAGCTCTGCAAGGCGCAGCGCCTCAGCCCCACAGCTGGTTTGGGGGGCGGAGGGGCGGGGCTCCAGGGACCCTGCCCTGCCCTGCAGCTCGGAGCTTGCTGCCAGGGAGCCCGGGCTGCGCGGCCAGGGGCCCGCCCCACTGGGAGGGGGCCTGCAGGTCCAGGGGCAGGTATGGGGGCTGGACTTGTGCGAGCCTGCCTTCCGGGCGCCTCAGGGGGATCTGGAGTGCCCAGGCCTCCCCCTCCCAGCCCCTCCCTTTCTCCCAGTGCAGCATGTCAGCTGTGTTGGCAGTGGGAGGCAGGATGGGGGCACAGGTACCCACCTCTAGGAGTCCCGGCACACCTCTGGACAGGGCCCAGGCCAGCACAGATACAGCCAAGGGGCCATGGCCGAGGCGGCACATCCTCCAATGGCTGGCAAGGCCTCCCTCCAGGGCAGCCCCTGGCCTGGCCCCTCGGTCCCACTCTGGGGAGCTGTCACTTACGCGGTGCGCCGGGAACAGAGCTGGTCAGCGAGGAGGAGCTGGTGCGCGTGACAGCGCTGGAGCAGGGGCTGGTTCCGTAGCGTGGGAGGGCGCCAGTCAGCGCTGCTGTGTGGGACAGCCAGGCAGCAGGATCGATGGGCCGCACTGGGTCAGCTGGTGGCCATCACGTGGCAGCAGACGGACAGACAGCAAGGGAGAAGTCAGGGCCCGGGGATGAGAAGAGTGGCCCTTCAGGTTGGGCCAGCGCCCTCTCCCCCTGCACCTGTGGGTCACTCACCCCTTGGGATGGTGAAGTAGCTCCGTGGGGTCGGGTCCCAGCACTTGGCCACAGTGAGGCTGATGGGCCTATGCACGGGCAGGTCACGTCATGTCACACAGGTGAGGCCCATGCGCCTCCCCCTCCCCCGTCAGGGCACCATCTCCCGCAGCACCCGCGTCCCCTCACCCAGTCTGGGACACCATCTCACGCAGCACCCGCACAGCATCGTCATTGCTCATGTTCTCAAAGTTGACGTCGTTCACCTGGGGGGTGAGGGGTTCAGTGGTGCGGCCGGGAGCGCTGCCCCTCACGCGGCAGCCCAGGCCCGCACCTGCAGCAGCATGTCCCCTGGCTCGATGCGGCCATCGGCGGCCACAGCCCCACCCTTCATGATGGAGCCAATGTAGATGCCGCCGTCTCCCCGGTCATTGCTCTGGCCCACGATGCTGATGCCCAGGAAGTGGTGGCGCTCTGCAGGGAGTACTGGTGAGTGGGCACCCCCGGGGCACCCACATGGACCCGGCCCGCGCGCCGCCGCCAAGGCCTCACCCATGTTGAGCGTGACGGTGATGATGTTCAGCGACATGGTGGAGTCCGTGATGCTGCTGAAGGAGGAGGCCTGCAGGGGGACAGGGGTCAGGGCCAGGGCGGGGCGTGGCAGGGTCCCTCCCCGGCTGCCACCTACACGGTCTGCCTGGCGCAGGCGCTGCTTCCGCCGCCGCCGCTTGTGCTTGCGGATGAGCCGGGAGGAGGTGCTCTGCTCGGTGGAGCTGCTCAGCCTGGGGAGGGGGCCGTCAGAGGCTGCAGGGCTGGCTGGAGAAACTGAGGCTGGCAAGGCAGGGGGCCCACGGCTGCCCTTCCCGCTGGCCAGGCCGGCCGGGGCTCGGCTTCCACTGCACAGCCCCGGCCCGCGCACAGGACGTGTGCCAGCGCCGCCCGGGAGAGTCAGTGTGTCTGGCCACAGTAGGCCCGCGTGGGCGGCTGCCCCGCATACCTATAACACGCATGTGGTGTGCCCCACAGTCCACACCTGCGCACATGTACACCCACGCACCCGCACGTGCACACTCACAGGGCCCGCAGAGGCACACGCACTCCCCTGCACACGCACACGCCCGTGCACATGCTCGCCTACGCGCCTGCTCGTGTCCTCATCGTCCGAGTCAGCGAAGCTGCTGGACTCCAGCTCACTGCTCAGCACGGTGGACGCGCTGTCAGGGGGCAGCCCCAGGTCCCGCCGCCGCTCGCCCCTCGGGTGTCCGTTGGTCCGCGTGGCTGCGGGGACAGCGGAGGGCAGGTGGTCCAGAAGGCATGCTGACCTGGACGCTGCGGTGCGACGGCCGGGCAGCCAGGGTCATTGGGGTGCGTGGGGCGGTGCGTGGGGGTCGGCGGGACATGGGTGCCCCATGAGGGCCCCAGGAGGCCTGGGGGGGTGGTTACCCTCCTCGCGGTTCCGGCGGCGGGGCCGCTCCCGCCGATGGCTGACCATGGACTCGGTGCCGGTCTCGTTGTCCATCCCGTCACGGCTGCTGGCCACATTTGGGCTGTGCCAACAAGAGGGTGGGCCGGGGCAGGCTGGGCACCTAGGCCTGGATGCCCACCAAGCCCCTTCACCTGCCTTGGGGGTCCCAATCCCGCGGGCACCCGCCCTAGCCGCCTACCCGGTGCAAGCCGCCAGCCCCCTCCTCCGCTGATCACGGGTCCCCGCTCAGTTGCCTTTCTGCCCCCCGGGACCCCGGGCTTAGCCCCCCACCTCGAGTCCTTACTGGAAGGAGGGGGGCCGGGAGTCCCCGATGCCAGCCATCCGTTCGAGAGGCGGGGGCAGCTCCGCATGGCCCTCGGTGGCCTGAGACCCTGTGTCCGAGTGGGCGCCCTCTGCCAGGACCAGCTGCAGGGGAGAGGGTCTCAGGCACGCAGAGGCCCACCCCTGCACCCAGGGGCCCCGCCCTGCCAGCCCGAGCCCGCCACCCCGCACTCACCCAGGAGACCACGCGGCCGTTGAAGCAGGGCAGCCGCGCGTTGTCATCAGCCACCTCCTCTTTCACCACCCTGCGCGAGGCCACGGCGGCGGTCAGCCCAGTGCGCCCCGCCGGCACTCTCTCCCGAGGGACGCTCGCCGCCCTCCAGAGCCAAGTCAGGGGATCCAGACCCCCACCCCTGCAGCCCCAGGCGTGAACACCTGCCCCCGCCTGCGCGCCCCCCAGGGCTGGGTCCGCAGGGTAGGGCTGTCGGCTCCTCATGCGCCCCGCCCAGCATGCCTGTTCCCAGCAGCCTCTGCGGATGCGAGGGCCGTCCAGCCCCACACAGGCGCACACACCCGTCACGCTGCTCTGGGTGGGCACAAGGGCCGTGCCCCTCTGCTGGGCCGGGGAAAAAGCCAGACCCGACTCAAGACCAGCGACTGCAGACCTGGAAGGGCAGCAGGCGGAGCCTGCTGGGCCTCCACTGAGAGGTCTCAGCCCCCAGAGGACAGCAGTCAGCAAGCTTCGTGGACACATCCACTGCCCAGTGTCCCACCCCAACCAGGGGGGCTGGGGGTGTACAAGACCCCCAGGCAGCACACAGAGGGAGAGGGTCGGGCGATCGGCCGGCCCTGGATTGGGAACAGGCAGGGCCCAGGTGCTGGGGCTCCCGGGGCGGAGAGGGGCAGTGGCCAGCACAGCGCCAGGAGGCCCTGACTCTGTCCCAGACTCTCCGCTGCAGGCCTCCGGGAGCCCGGGAGGCAGGAGGGTGGGGCTGGCTGAGCAGGCCTTCCGGCGCCCCAGCCCCTACAGCTGGCCCTGCCCAGCAGGGGGACTTCCAGTCCAGGACGTGGGGCGGGCAGCAGCAGGCGCTGTGGACCAGGCAGGAAGCAGCCCTGGCCCGCCGGGAGGACACAGGGCCTCAGCCAGGCCAGGAGCAGGTGGCGGGAGGGGCCCACAAAGCCTGCAATGCCGAGCTCCACCCAGGGAGCGGCCCCATCCACCCCACCTGTGGGGAGGGGCCCAGGACTGACGGCCAGGGGCGCCCTCTGCCAGAGTCCTGCGACCCCCAGATGCCGCCCGGGGCCGGCCAAGCACATGCCAATGAGGCGAGCAGCCGACAGCAGATGGGCCGCTGCCCCAGAGCCGAGCTTCCAGGGGAGGTCATGACCCCCCAGGACTGACCAGAGGCCCAAAGAGAAGCCAACCCCCCCCCGAAGCCCTGGGGTGCCCCAGGGACAGCATGCCCTTCTGGGCCAGGGAGCGGGCACCCCCGGTCTGGGACGACGACACAGACCCCTACCCCAGCCCAGGTAGACCTGCGCCCCACGCCAAGCCCGGCCTGCTGACTCACCCACAGGGAGTCTCCACCGCCACCGGCAGGCCCGGCTCTCCAGAAGTGGAGACCCAGGTGGGGACCTGGGAGCACCCCAGCCCCGACTGCCAGTGGGAGGTGCCCCCCACTCCTGCCCGCCCCTCCCCTTACGGGGACCTGTTTCCCACCGCAGAGCCCAAGTCCTCCCCCTGCCTGGCAGAGCACCCCACCTCCTGGGGAGCCCCGGGCACAGCAGGCCCGAGCCCGCCAGGCCAGGACGGCAGGACCCGCCGCCCCAGCACTGTCTTCTGGGTGCTCCGGGGAAGGGACATGGTGGCGGGGACGCCCCTACATCTGGGAATCCCCAGGCTGGACATACCGTGGAAGCCCCCACCCCCCACCCACAAGGTGGCCACTCAAGGTCACCCCCACTGGCACTGTGCCCCAACCTCAGAATTTCCGGCAAGATCCTGGTTAACCCTAAACTCGTGGCCGCCGCCCCACCCCACCCCACAGACCCACCCAAGGAGAAATCTGCTCAGAGGGGGAACAGGGCGGGGGGCCCCGGGCCCCTGTCGGCACCTGTGGCCCTGCCACCTCGGAAGTGGGCGCAGGACCAGCCCCTCCCACCACCAGAGCCCCTGGCCTCACTCACTCCCACCCCCCGGGCCTGCCTCAACTGAGGGCCCACTGCCGGGCGGCCTGGGCCAAAAGCCCTCACAGCTGAAAGGCTGTCTCACACCTCTCCCTGCACCCCGCTTCCCTCACCCAGTGCTCGACACCCCCAGGCTGGCCCACGCAGGCCAGAGACCCCCAGCTCTGCTGGGTGACGGCAGCTGTGCCCCGCATAGGAACAGTGGGAGGGGCGCGCAGGCCTGGAGGCCCTGGGAGAGGTCTGGGGACTAGGGGCCTGGCCCACAGCGGAGGGGGCTTGGGTGGGAGGCCCGTGGCCATGTGCCCCGGGGGGCTGTGCCCGGCCCTGCTCCCCAGTCTCCACGTCCACCGCCTGTTGCCGGCCCAGCCTCCAGGTCTCGCAGACGGCACGTGCCACGTCCGGCCGGCCCCTCCTGGAGGAACCTGTCAAGCTGGGGATCCCGCAGGCAGCTCTCAGGGGAGGAGAGAGAGGAAGCAGGGATGGGGGGTCTCTCCAGGCCATGAAGCCACCAGGTCAGCAGCCAGAGAAGCAGGGAGAAGGGGTCACGAGCTTCCTGCTGGCTGTCGTGCCTGGCACAGCCCCCCTCCACGGCTGCCCTGCTCCCAGCGCGCCCACCCCTCCCCATCCAGCTGTTGGCGGGCCCCAGGACCCCTGCTTTGATGCCCCATCTGCCTGCCCACCCACCTCTGCGGCCAGGGCCCCTTCCACAGGCCCAGCTGGACGGTGCGAGAGGTGGGGTCGCTGCCGCTCCTGAGGACGCACCCCGGAGGACGGCCCGGGGGGCTGGGGCAGGTGCAGGCCGGGCATGTGACTGCGGCTTTTATAATATAACAAACTTGCTCCCAGCGCCCCGCGCTCGCAGCCCAGGAGCCCAGACCAGGGCCGGAGGCGGCTCGCTGGCCGGGAGGCGGCCCCTGAAACAGCACTCCTCCCTGCAGGCCCGGCGGCTCCCGACCTGGGCCACAGGACGGCCAGTGGGCAGGGCCTGGGGCGTCCAGCCTTCTGGCTGCCAAGGACACACCCTCCCTCTGCACCTCTCCCTGGGGGCGGGCGCAAGAGTCCAAGCGCCCCTCAGGCCCTCTGAGGACCCCAGAGCGGCTCCCGCCCCGGCCGGGGCTGCCGGCGCCGCGCGAAGACCCCGATGTCCACGTGCCCAGCCGGCCGCACACAAGGACGCGGCGGCGCCGCCCTGGGTGCCCCCCCGGCCCGCGGGACTCAGGTTACCCAGGGCGCTGCCCGGCTAGGCCTCGGGCGCCCGGAGGCCCGGCCCGCGGGGAGAGCGGCGGGCGCCACACGGGGGCGGGCCCCGGCGGACGGAGCCGCGACGCCCCCGACGCCCGGGGCAGGCAGGTGCGCGGGGCTCGGGACCCCCGCGCCCCGACCTCGGCGCCGCCCTCAGGACCCTGGAGAAGGGGCGGGCGGGCCGGCCCGGGGCCTCCGCACCTCCCGCCGCCCCGGGCGCCCGGACCCGCCTCGCCCTCCCGCCCGGCGCGGGCCCTGACCCGCGCTCGCGCCCCCGCGCCCCGCCCCGCGCCCCCCGCGCCCCGCGCCCCCGCGCCCCGCGCCCCCCGCCGCGCCCCGCCGCGCACCCGAAGTCCTGGTCCATGGACTTGAAGAAGAACTTGTAGGCGTGCGCCGGCCGGCCGCCCAGCACGCCCTTGAAGTCGGCCAGCGTGACGCGCTCGGGCGCCACGGGCAGCTTGACCAGGTACGGCGTCTCCTCCTCGTCCATGTGGTAGATGATCTTCGTCTCCGCCATGGCGCGGCCGCCGGCGCCGGGGCCGGCCCGCGCCCCCGCCCGCCGCCGCCGCGCCCGCCCCGCCGCGCCGGCTCCCGCGCGCGCTCGGCAGCTGCCCCGCGGCCCGCGGCCGCCCATCCGCCCGCCGCCGCCCGCGCCGCCGCCGCCCCCTCGGGCCGCGCAGTTAAAGGGGCCGCCGCCCGCCGGGGCGCCCGCGAGCGCGGTGACGTCACGGGGCGGGCGGGCGGGCGGGCGGGCGGGCGCCGGGGCGGGGCGGGCCGACGTGCGCACGCAGCGGGGCGGGGCGGGGCGGACGTCGCGGGCGGGGCGGGCCGACGTGCGCACGCAGCGGGGCGGGGCGGGGAGGACGTCGCGGGCGGGGCGGGCCGACGTGGGCGCGCAGCGGGGCGGGGAGGGGCGGACGTCGCGGGCGGGCGGGCCGACGTCGCGGGCGGGGCGGGCCGACGAGGGCACGCAGCGGGGCGGGGCGGGCCGACGTCGCGGGCGGGGCGGGCCGACGTGGGCACGCAGCGGGGCGGGGCGGGGCGGCGGACGTCGCGGGCGGGGCGGGCCGACGTGGGCACGCAGCGGGCCCGGCGGCCGGGGCGCGCCCGGGGTCTCTCCGCCGCTCCCCGCGCGCCCGCCCCGGCCCCGTCGAGCGCGGAGCCCCGGCCGGACGCGCGAGGCCACACGCGCCGCGGGCCGCAGCCCCCCCCGGCCGGCCGTGTCGCCCCGGGCTGCCGCGCGCGTCCCCGGGCAGGGGCCCGCGAGAAGCCCCGCTGCCCGCCGGCACCGCGCGCCCCGGGGCCAGAGCCGCCTCCCGAGGAGGGGCGCCCGGAGCAGCGCCCTCGGCTGCCAGGCCCGGCCCGGCGCCGCCCCCACCGCGGGCGCCGCTCTCCCCCGCCCTGAGGCCTGGGGCCCGGCGGGACTGGCTCCAGGACGACCCGAGCGCGCAGGGGCCGGGCACGCGACGCCGCCCGACGGTGGTTGGGGCGCTGCCATCTGCCGGGTCGTGAGCAGCCCCGGGCCCTGGGCCCCCGTGGTCAGACTGACCAGGGATCTCCCTGCGGTCGCCTCCACACCGCGGCGCAGAGGGGCTGCCCTCGCAGGCCTGGCTTCCCCAGAGGCCATCTGGGGTGTCCCGGGGAGGAGACGGCCGCTGCCCTGAGAGCTTTTGCAGGGACAAAGGGCTGATGGTCACCCAGGCGGGTGGGGGCCCCAGCCGCATCCTGAACCCCGGCCGGATGGGGGGCAGCACCGAGCTTGAGGCCGGAGCCTGGGCCTGGCAGGAAGGGCCACACCGCAGGGGGGTTGCTGTGTACCCAGGAGGCTGCCCCGCTGGCCCCTGCAGGGTCCTGGGGGGGGACAGTCCCCCTTTGCTGCCCCCACCCTCTTGGGAGCTCTTGGGGGATCAGAGGCTGCTGCTTCCCCAAGTCCCCTCCCTGCCGTCTGCTGCCTGAGAGCAGTCACTCCGTCCTGGCCCAGGGCTCACCCGCCCCCCATCTCACATGAGGGCAGTCCCCTCCTGCCCGACTGCCCTCATGCTCACTGCCACCCCCCTCGGCCCTCTGCCCAGAGCAGGGGGCAGTGGCCTCGGTGAAATCGAGGACATCAGCTGGGGGCCTGGTCCGGCTCTGCGCCTGGGGCAGTGGGGTGCGAAGGCACACCTGGGCAGAGCCTGGAAATCAGATGTGGTCTTTATTGTGAAGGCAGCACCCCAGGAGGAGCACAGCACCCTAGGAGGAGCACGGGTGGGGCACCAGGAGCGGCGGCACCGGCCACTCTGGGGCCGTCCTCACCCCTCCCCGTTCTCAGCACCAGCCCAGAACTCCGGTACAGGAGCAGGCTTGGTCAGGGTCAGGGTCCAGGAGCCGGTGCCTGGAAGCTGCTGGTGGGAAGCAGGCCAGCGGGGTGGACAGCGGGGAAGGGCCAGAAGCCAGAGGGGTGTCGGCAGGTCAGTTGTGCCAGGACAGGGTGAAGCTGTCCCCGTGCAGTGTCCCGGCCCCGCTCCTGCAGAGAGGGGTCTCTTGCCCCCACCGCAGAGGCCGAGCCGTAGGGCTTGGAGTACCCTGGCCGGCAGGGCTGTGGCTGGGTGCGGGGTGCACGGCCAGCTGGTGAGGAGGGCGGCCTCCAGCGCAGGCCTGCTCTGCACCAGCCCAGGTCCAGGACAGCGGGACCAGCCGCTGGAGGGGCCTGGCAAGCCTTGGGGGCCGGGGACGCTTGCAGGAAGGCGCCACCTGCAGCCGGCCCGGTCAGGGCCCCGGGTCCTACTTGCAGTACTCCTTCCTGAAGCCTGGAAGCAAGGGGACGCCTGGTCGGCCCCGCGGACCCGGTGCACACCCACAGCCCTGCCCTGGGGACCGGGACAGGGGGCCCGCTGCAGGCCGCTCACCTCTGTCGAAGTCGAGGTCCTTGGCGGGCGGGGGGCCGTGTGCCAGCGCGGCCCGCTCCTTCAGGATGTTGTTCTTGTAATCTGGGGCAGAGAGCAGGTGAGCCGGCCCCTGCCCGGCCCGGGACCCCGCCTGTGCCTTTGAGGGGGCCTCACCTAGCTGGATGTCCTCGCTCCGGCGGGGAGGCTGGTCCCCCCTGGTCGGGGCAAGCTCTGCCATGCTCAGGTCCTGCCTGGAGGGGCAGGGGGCGGGTGTGTGTGAGAGAGAGAGAGCAGGGGGGGGGGCGCCCCCAGGAGGGCAGGGAGGAGGCACTCACCCCGCAGACTTCCCAGGCTGCGTGTGGCCGTATTCCTCACACCCTGGGGAGAGAGAGCGGCACTGGGGGCAGGACGTCCCCCCCCAGCTCTGCTCCGGCCTGTCCCCCCGGCCGGGCAGGCGCAGCTCAGGGCCCCCGGAGGCCTCACCTCCACGCCGGCGCTGCCGAGTGGCCAGGATGACCGTGATGAGCAGCAGGATGAACAGCAGGAGCGTGGCCAGCACGTAGCCCAGCTGCTGGAAGAAGTGGGCTCGGCCCTCGGGCACGATGAGGTTGATGACGCTGTGGCCGCGGGACAGCGTGGGGTCTGCGGGGAGCGAGGGGTGGCGTCGGGGCGGCCCCCGGGCTCCCGCCCCAGGCTGGGGGCAGCCGGCCCCCGGGCTCCGCCTCGCCCCCCGCGCCCGCCCGCCGCCCGGCCGCGGCCTCGCACCTGGGCCGGGGCTGGAGCCGTTGCCGGGCGAGCCCCGCGGGGGCGGCGCGGCGGGCGCGGCGGCCGCGCCGACGCTCAGGTGGAAGACGCGGCGCTCGTGCAGGCCGCAGTAGTGGTGGTGCAGGTGGCAGGAGTAGGTGCCCTCGTCGGCCGGCTCCAGCGGGTCGATGCGCAGCGAGAAGTCGCCGCGCGCGAAGGCGTCCTCGGCCACGGCCACGCGCGCGCGCAGCGGGGGCGGCCCGTAGGCGCGGCGCTCGCCCGACGCGTACAGGTCGAGCAGGCGGTCGGCGCGGTCGTGCGGGACCCCGGGCGGCTGCCGGTCCCAGTGCGCCACCTGCTGCGCCTCCTCCACGTGCCGCTCGGTCCACACCTGCTCGCGGTTCACGCAGGGCAGCAGCGCGGGCGCGCCGCGCGCCACCACCAGCCGCGGCTCCTCGCCGTCCCAGCGCGCGCCGGCGGCCCGGGCTGTGGGGGGCGGCGGCAGCGCGTCAGGGCCGCGCCGGCCTGGGGGGGCGGGGGGCGGGGGGGGGCACTCACGGTCGGGGGTCACGTCCAGGCGGACGGCCAGCGTGCGGTAGAGCTGGCAGTAGTGGTGGTGCAGGTTGCAGGTGTACAGCCCCGCGTCCGCCTCGTCCACCTCTGCGGGGAGACCCGGTGAGCGCGCCCGCCCCGCGCCCCCGCGCCCCCCGCGCGCCCGCCCGCGCCCCGCGCCCCCCGCGCCCCCGCCCCGCGCACCGCGGATGAGCAGGGAGAAGTTGCCGTCGTGGAAGGCGGAGGGCGCCAGCTGCAGGCGGCCCCGGTCCCGCGCCGCGTACACGCGCTGCTCGCCGGCCGAGTACATGTCCAGCAGCCGGCGCGGGGGGCCCGCGGGGCCGCCGCCGCGATCCCAGTGCACCACGCGCTGCCGTCGCGCAGCCGGTCCTGCGTCCACACCATGCGCGGGCTCCGGCACAGCAGCACCGCCGGCGCGCCCGCCGCCCCGCGCACGGCCACCTCGGGCACCGGGGAGCTGCCCGGCGGCCCCGGCGGCCCTGGCGGAGGACGGTCATTGGGGGAGGAGCGGCCCCGGGGGCAGGCACGGGTGGGGGGGGCGAGCAGGCCAGGGGGTGCTGGCTGGGGAGGAGGGGGTCACTAACCTGAGGACAGCAGGACAGCAGAACCTGAAGGGAGAGGGGAGGGGGTCACCCAGCAGGGCCCCCACCGGGTGCCCCGGCCCTGCTGAGCCCTTGGAGAGTGGGGCGCCAGAGCCCCTGCGGTCAGGGGACACTCTGTCCTCACAGCTGCCTGCCGGGCCAGCACTGCCCTTGGGAATGTGGAGCCCCGGGGTGGGGGGGATCAGACCCCACGGGAGGGGTGTCCCTTGCAGCAAGGCCCCAGCAGGCGCCTGCAGGCTGAGCCGCACCCCACGAGCCCTCGGGGTGCCCACAGCCTGCCCACAGTGCCCACAGACGTCCGAGGCAGAAGACGTCAGGGGTCACCAGCCAGCCGCCAGCCCACAGTCCAAGCCCCGGCTCCAGGCGCATGGCCTGGTCAGGAATGTGCTGGTCAGCAGGCCAGCCGGGCGGGCGAGGGCCCCGGGGCTGGAGGTCTGGAACAGATGCTGGGCGCCCCGCAGCTCCCAGGCCCCTCCATCCCGGTGCCCACTGCCCTGGAGGCCACAGGGAGCCTGCAGCCACGCAGGGCTTCCAGGAGACCCCAGCCGAGGTCCGACCTGGGCCTCACGCTGTCCCACTCCCCAGCCCCCCCAGACCTGTCCCCCCAGACCTGTGGTGGTTCCATGATCCCCTGGAGCTCAGACGGGCTAGCCCAGAAACACTGGCCCCGGCCCGCTGCCCACCACCCGCACTCACTCTGCAGCAGCGCCAGCTTCCACAGCAGAGCCCGGGAGCGCAGCTCCATGGCGCCCGCCCCGGCGGCCCCGCTTTGTCTCTTCCACTCTAACTCTCCAGAAAAACAGCCCGGCCCCCTCCCCCTCCTCAGCACCCCCCGTGACATCACGGAGCCCTGGGCTGGGCCGCCTACAGACCGCCCCCTGGCTCCCAGGCCCTGGCCGCCCCCATCCTGGCGGGCCTGGCAGGGAGGGGCCGCCGCGGCCACCCTGTCCCAGATGGTTTGGTCCGACAGGCTCTGGTCCTGGAGGGGGCCGCAGTCGCTGGAGGGGCGGGCAGGACGCCCCGGGGCACAGTCCCAGATGTCGGGTGGGCCTGTCCACCATGTCGGGGGCCCTTCTGGGGCAGCTGCAGGGCCGGGGCTCTGGGGGCATGGGCCCAGGACACGCCCCAGGTGGGCAGCCCAACCCGGAGGCGCGGCTCCAGGCCGCCGTCCTTCCCAGGCTAGGAAAGCACCTTAGGGCTCAGCCCCCAGGAGCCGGCTCGGCCAGACGACTGCCCCCTCCAAGGCTCAGCCCTGACCCAAGAGTGGCACCTGCCCGGGGTACCTGGGGCTCCCAGACCCGCACCTGGCTGCATCTCCCCAGACACTTTTGCCCTCCAGCCAGGAGGGAAGGACCCAGGGGCCAAGCCAGGGGAGCGGTCCCTGCCCCCTGCCCCAGTCAAGGGCAGAGCCTGGTGTCCCTGGGACCAGACCTGCCCAGGTGCCCCGGGAGCACCCCAAGGCAAGGGACACCCTCCCCTCCCAGCACCAAGGCCGTGAGCGGGACGAGGCCCAGAGCTGAAGCTCTGGAAACCCACCAGCTCACATAAACACGGGGCGAGCAGGGCGTGCCCCGCACAGGCCCGCCCTTCTGCTTAGGCAAACCTCAAGGCATCCAGGAAACCAAAACCCCACAGCGCGTGGATTGAGTTACAGCCTCGGCCCCACTCCCTGCCCCCCAGGAGCCCCAGAGCCGCCGAGCACCGCAGGCCGCTGGGATCTGCAGGCCCATCTCCTCGGCCACGTGGACCCCCGGTGGGCCCCCCCCTTCCTGAACTGGAGTCGGGGCTTGTCCTCGCAGCTCCTTCCGGGGCCTTCATTCTGGAAAAACAAGCCCCACCCGGGTCCCGAGGCCTCTCCCTCTGTTTTTCTAACTGGTTTGCATTAGCGCTGGGGGCTGCCCGCGCCTCCGCCCGTCACCAGCTGTGTCCTCGGGCGCCCACCCGTGCTGGGCGGGCAGCGGTGCCCAGGCCGGTGCGCGGGCTGCACTGGGGGGGGCGTCCCTCCCTGTCCTGAGCTGGGCCCTTGGGGCACGGCCCCCACCCTAACGCCCTGCGAGCTGCCCTCTGCCGGCAGGAGCCCTGGCCCCGCACAAGCGCCCCAGCGAGCAAGTCTAGGGCCGCCCCGGCCCCTGACCCCTGACACCGGCAGGTCAGACAGACAGGGGAGCGCTCCCCACCGAGGCCAGCGGGGCCACGGTGAGCAGCCAGGGCCCGCTGCCTCCACCAAAACCCTCCGTCGGACACGCGGAGGGCAGCGGCCAGCCACCTGCCCCCCACGCCGGGAACTGGGGTGGGCACCTGCACCCTGTGCCTCATCCTCCGGGAGGACAGAACAGGACAACCCAGAGCCACTGGCCTGGCCGCGGCTCTGCCTGGCCCTGGGCCCTGGCCACCTCCCTTTCCAGGAGCCGGGCCGACCGGGGCAGCCGCCAGCGCCCACCAGCCGCGCCCCGGCCCGGACATTCCAGACAGCCTGGCTCACCCGGGATGCGGCCCAGACGGACGCGAGCTCGGCCGCTGCACCCAGCAAGGGCCCCGTGGCCGGGCGGGCAGCCCCCGCCAGGCCAGGAGCCGCAGCGAGCTCACCGGAGGCAGGAAGTCCGCGCCCTGGACAGGCTCCGGCCACGCGGTCAGCACAGCAGCGGCTCTCCCTGCTGGCCAGCGGCAGGACCCGAGGCGCCCCTGGCTCCCACGCGGCGTGGCGGGTGGGGCCCCATCTCAGCCACCCAGGGCACCCCCACCCCGCCCAGGCGTGAAGGCGCCTCGCAGGGACCCGTGCCCCTGCGGAGATGCCTGGAGAGAGACCCGGCTCTAGGGGTGGCCAGCCCGCCCCTCCCGAGGAAGCCCAAGGACTGGGGGAGCCCCGCCGTCACCGCGGCCTCCGGCCGAGGCCCCTCCGAGGCACAGCGGGGTCCGGCACACAGGCCGGCTGGTGTCTGCTCCCTGAACTGCCCTGGCAGATGCCCGCTCCTGCCCCTGCCCCTGCCGCCAGTCTCTGGGACTAGACAGCAGGTCAGCGCCGGGCAGGGGGCGGCTGCACACAGCTGTCTGTGGCTGCCCTGCAGATGCCACGTCCACTCGCCGACCAGCTCAGCGTCACCTGGGCGAGAGTCTCTGCAGAATTCAATTTTTTTTTATAGATTTATTTATTTATAGAACCGGGGTGCAGGCCAGAGGTGCAGGGGGTGAGAGGATTCACCAGAGAAGAGCGGGGAACAGAACAGGAGCAGCCTGACTTAAACACACTGCTGAGGGGAGCAGCGGGGAGACGGGGGGGTCTGCTGCGCCATGTGGGCAGCTCCCTGGCTGGCCGGGAATCGAACCCGCGCTGCAGAGGCTGCGGATGGCGTCACAGTGCTGCGCTCAACCCGCTGCGCCACCAGGGAGGCCCTGCGGATTTCAATTCTTTGTGGATTTTCTTTTTTAAAAATTATTTTTGCACAGAAGAGCTGGGGTACAGGCCAGATGTGGGGGGTGAGAGGGCTCCCCGGAGACAGAGTGGGGAGCAGAACAGGCAGATCCACTGAAACACACTGCTGAGGGGGCACCCACAATGCGCTGCAGTCTCTGCTGCAGGCCCTGTGATAACTGGGGCTGCGTGTGGGTGGGCCGGGGTGCTGCCGTGCGCCATCCTTGGGGCACTGCCATTCGCTGTCCGGTGCTCACCATGGGGGCCCTGCGCCAACCCCGGGGGTCTCCGACACGTGCACTTTGCTCTTCTGGGCACCCAGTAAGGGACCATGTGAGCTCTGCGGAGGTGAGCGCCAGGCTGGCTGCCCCCAGGGGTCCCCTTGCCGGGACGTAATTCTCCTTGTCCCCAGGCGGAGGAAGAACAAGCGGCGCCTCAGGAACGGGGAGGCCGGAGCAGCTGTATTGCTCGTGCATGAGGGCCCAGACCCGGGGAGCCCCGGAAGGCCTGAGCACCTGCTTACAGGCCCAGAGTTTCTCTTACACACAACTCTCCTTGCGCCGCGTCCATCCTCTGCTGCAAAGTTCCGAAACAAGGGGCTGGGAAGAAGCAAGAGCACAGGCATCCCGGGGTGTCCTCGCCGAGACTGACTTGGCCGCGGCCCGAGCGCGGAGCTCTGCTCGTCGGCTGAGGAGACAGCTGCCGGGGGAGCAAGACGCCTGATGACAGCGGCGTTGGGCTGTCAGCTGCGCCAGCCTGAGACCCTCAGCGCGGAGCCGCGAAGATGGATTTTCCCCTTCACTCTCCCCACTCCCTTCCCAGGACGCGTGCGAAGTAGCCGCGCGACGCCGCCTCCTCTGGCTCCAGGCCCCACCTTCCCGCTCAAGGACCCCGCGTGGGGCCGGGTCTGGGCCCGCAGCCCTCCTGCCTGTGCCAGGAAGGGGGTGCCTCGTGGCCCACGGCGCTGTGCTCAGGTGGGTGCAGGGGCCATCTGCTCCCCACAAAGGCAAGCGCGGGGCTGGGCCGGTCCCGGGGTGCGGAGGCACACTGGGCGCTGGGGACACGTTGGGGCGCACGTCCACGGGGATGCTGCCCACTGGGAGGCTGAGCCGTGGCCACACGTCCAGCACCCAGCTAGGTTCCGAGACCCGTTATCAACGGAGCCGGGGCCCCAGAGAAGGGACGAGAAGGGCCGGCCGGGAGCCCCGGCGCAGCCGAGCCAAGGGAGGGATCCCGTGGCCACGCCAGACACGTGGGGCAGACGTGCCAAGCACCCTGTCCCGACTCGCACAAGGTGAGCGTCCACAGGGGCCTTGGGGGTGCAGGGCCCTCGGACCCACCCTCCATGGCCCAAGCAGCACCCCCACAACCCGCCGCCCAGGGCCCGCCTCCTGCCCTGGCCCTGCAGCGACCTCTGCACCCCCCTTCCTCAGCTGGAAGCGCCAGGCTTCTGAGGTCAGGCTGCTGCATTCCAGCACATTCCACTGGTCAGAGGCCACAGCCTGGGGGACGCAGGACACGGGAAGGGGGGAGGGCGGGTCCTTCAGGGCCCTGGCCTAGGGACCGTGGGTGTGGGGCCCCTTGGGGTCTAGAAGAAACCCCGAATAAACACGATCGCTCTGCCATCACATTTGTCTACTTCACCCGGCCCTGGGGCCTCTGCAGCCAGAACTGACCCGCACCGGAGAGCAACGGTCAGGAAAGCCGAGCTCACTGTGCTGTGGCCAGTCCAGGTAGCCTGACTGTCCAGCCTCCCCCCACCGTTCTTCTCTCTGGGGCCGTGACCCTTCCTGAGGGGCCCTCCCGGGGCGCCGGCCCCTCTCCGTTCCTGGACTCCTCAGCCCATAGAGGCGGGCACGGCAACCCCGCAGGGCAGTGGGACACCCGGGGGAGAGGGATCACAGTGGCTGCAGCCTGTCCCCCGCGGGCCCGGAGTCTCCCTGATGCGCCAGCCAATAGCCCTGCCGTGAAGGCCTCTGGCCGGTGCCTGCAGTCACCGGGGAGAGCCGCCGCCCCACGCTGAGCACACTGGACGCTACTGGTTGATCTGAAGTCCAGACCCAGCCGGCCGGTAACCTCGCCCGGGCCACCCCGTCCCCGCTCAGTGTCCTGACACGCCCCGCAGCCAGGCTCCAGGCCATGCGCCCCTCATGCCAATGCCGGGACCACGGCAAGGCCCGGTGAACTGGGGGTCGTGGCTACGCGGTGGGAGCCGCCTAGTGGAGCATGAAGGCCCCTGCCGGCCACAGGGCGTGGCTGCAGCCCCGTGGCGCCCGGAGACCGGGGAGCAGAACGGTAGGAGACAAGGGACTGGGTCAGCGCAAAGCATGGAAGATGCCGGGAGTGGAAACTCAGCCACAAGCCGGCACCAGAGGCAAGCCAAGGCCTGCAGCCCAGGGTCCAGCTGTGCCAGGCGGCCACATGGCCAGGCCCATGGAAGGACTGAAGCCCGCACTGTCCAGCCCAGCGAGGGTGTCCACAGACCTTTTGGAGGGTGGCCCCTGCGCAGAGCAGCGGGCTCGGAAGTGGGTCTGCCAGGAGGCCCTGGACCTCGGACATCAGGGGGCCAGCGAGAGGACCAAGCCGCCAGATGTCGGGGGGGGGTGGGCATCGTTGGGGCAGAGACTCTCCCCAGGCCAGCAGTTGTGGGAGCCTCTGAGGAGCCTGCAGCCAGGCATGGGGGCCAGGGCCCTGCACCGAACCCCCAAGGGAGGGCGCACCAAGCAGTGTGTCTGAGCTTTGGTCAAAAAGCTGAACAACAGGGCCTCCCCGGTGGCGCAGCGGTTGAGCGCTGGGTTGCGAAGCTGCCCACGGCCTCTGCAGCGCCGGTTCGATCCCCGACTGCTCCCAGGCCACCGGAGGAGGGTCCCACATGGCGCGCAGACCTCTCCTGCCGCCCGCTGCTCCCCTCAGCAATGTACTTCGGTCCTTCTGCCTGCTCTGCTCCCCGCTCTGGCTCTGGTGAATTCTCTCACTCTCCTGACTGTACCCAGTGCAAGTATAAACAAACAAACAAACAAACAAACAAACAAATAAATAAAAAAACATGCCTCTATTAAAAAAAAAAAAAGTTAAAAAGCTGAAAAACAGGGGCCTCCCTGGGGCGCAGGGGTTAGCCTAAGCGCTGTGAAGCTGTCCACAGACTGTGCAGCACGAGTTCGATCCCCGGCCGGGGTGCTGACCCACGTGGTGCAGCAGACAGACCTCTCCTGTCTCCCCGCTGCTCCCCCAGCAATGGATCTCAGTCTGCCTGTTTGGCTCCTGGCTGTCCCTGGCGAATGTTCTCAAGCCCCGCACCCCAGCTCTTGGACGCATAAATTGTCATTAAAAAAAAAAAAAAAAAAGTTGAAAGCTGCTGGCTGAAGGACAACAGATGTGCTGCCAACCCCGGCCCCACGGCTGTCAAATGACCAGCCTGGAACAGGCCTGACTTCCAGGTTTTTCTGGAGTCAAACAGGCTGACTGAACCCTGGCCTGAGGCACTCCCCAGCAGGGGGGCCTGGAGGCAGGTGGGCAGGCCAGGCCCCCAGTCAAAACCCCAGGATAGGTACTGAGGGTGCCCGCTGACTGGCACCTGAGGTGCAGGGCGAGGCCCCACAGGCAGGGGGAGGCCACCAAGCTTTAGACAAGCCCAGCTGCCTCTGAGGTGGCGGTTGGGGCCTGAAGGCGCCCAGGCGGGGCAGGCAGCAGAGAGGGAGCCTGTCCTCAGGGGGCCGAGTGGCACAGCAGGACACCTGGGGAACCCCCAGACAAAAAGCACCCCTCCAGGGAGTCGGCGCCCCAAGAACACAGCCTCCAGGAGGGGGCTGGGCTGGGCTCTGGCTCCCACAGCCCAAGGCCCAGCCCCTCGAGCCAGAGCTGGGCTGCAGACCGCCTGGCAGGCCATCAGCCAGGGAGGGCAGTGCGCGCGGGGTAGCTGCCGGGAGGGGAGGCCTGGCAGAAGCCCCGTTGCCGAAGCCCAGCCTGGAGCCCTGCCCACCCAGGAGGGCACCTGATAGGACCTCAGGCCGCCGTGGCCACCCACTGCCTCAGGCACCCCTTGCAGCCTCACGCTGCCGCCTTGACAGGACTGCACCCTGAGAAGCTGCGGGGAGCTGTGCCAGGGTCCCCCAGGGTGTGCTGGCTCGTGGGTGCTCAGGCCAGGCGCAGTGAACAACTGTGAGGGGAGACCAGAACTCAGCAGGCCGAGGGGGGGTTTCGAGACAACACCAGCAGCACCAGGGCCCCCACAGGTGGCCCAGGAAAAGAGCTGCGCACCCCCGCCCCCGAACTGCCAGGGGGTGGGTGGGAAGCCACTGGCCAGCTCTGAGGACACTGAGGGGTGTTCCTGCCACCCTCCCCCTCAGAGGACAACCCGGCCCCACCCCACCCACTGCAGGCCAAGGCTCTGTACCTTGACATGGACGCTTGTGTGTCCGCAGAGCCTGGGGCCGAGATCAGTGAACCCCAGAACAAAGGCTGCGGATCTTTCCCCCACCTCTGGCCCAGGCCTGAAGGCCCCTAACACCAAAAGCCGGTTACGCTCCACTCAGGGGGATTCCTGCTACACACAGGAGCGGGTGGAGGCGCAGACAGCTGGCCCCCAGGTATTTATTACAGCAGGCTGTCTGTGCCGGGCAGCGGAGGGATGGAGGCCCCGGCTCATTTGCCTTTCAGGTAGATCTTGGGGACCTGCCACCCCGAGGGAGCCTCCTTCAGGCCCGCTTTCAGCCAGATGCGCCTCAGGTCTCTCTCGAACTTCACCTGCGGGACAGAGGGAGGGGCCGAGATGGGGCGTGAGGAAGGGGTCCTGGGCCTTGGGGTCCTGGGCCCTGCCGTCCCGGGAGGGTGGGTGCCCACCTGCTTCTGCTGAAGGCGTCCTTCCCGCACCTTCCTCCGCAGGAACCGCGTCCTCTTGACGAGCTTGCGGTACTTGTGGTGGTTCATCTTGCGCCGGCGGATCTTCAGCACGTTTCTGCACTGCATCGAGGGAGCGTCCCGCTCCGCCTGCCCCCCCTGCTCAGCCCCGCTGCCCTTCTGACTCGGTGGGCACTCGTAGGGCGGGAGTGGGCACCCTCGGGACCCGGCATCCAGCCTGGGCAGGAGGCAGCGCGCGGTCAGGCAGCTCTCCAGGGGGCTGATGGACATCGTCCTGGGGACCAGCACCTCCTCCAGCGCCAGACGCACCCCCTTGCCAGGAAGGGAGTCGGCCCCACAAGAGCCTGCTGGCCGCGCGCCGTAAGGGGCCCTGCAGGCCGGGCTGGGCAGGCCGCGCGGGGCGGGCCGGGGCCGGGGGCAGCCTGCAGGGAACGGGACGCCGTTACCGAGGGTCGGGGACGCAGCCCGGCGCGCCCAGCGTCGCCTCCGCGCCGAGGGCCCGCGGCCCGCCCTCCCGGCCCGGGCGCTTACCTACCGCGGCGCCGGCCCTGAGCAGCCGCGACGCCAGGCGCCCCAGGAGCATGTCCGCGGCCGCGCGGTCCCGCGGCGCTGCAACGAGGGGCGCCGGTCAGGAGGCCCGGCCCGCCCGCCCGCCCGCCCGCTAGGCACGTGCTCGGGCGGCCGGACGAGCGCACACGCGCCCCGCCACCCCCGGCGCGCCCCGGCGGGCGGCCGAGCCCCCGAGACACCCGCGCGGGGACCTCACCCGCCGGCTCCGCGCGCCTCGCCCGACCGGACGCGAGACCCGGGGACCACGGCGCGCCGAGCGCTTCCGGTACGTCTCCAACGCGGCGTCCGGGTCCGCGCGCGCGCAGGCCCGGTCGGTCCCTGAAGGGGAAGGTTCCGGCCTGAGGCCCCGCCCCTTTACCCCGCGAGCCCGGAGGCGCTCTCCGCGCGTGCGCGCCACGACCCGCCGCAGGTCTGGGGGGCCCGGAGGCGGTCGGAAGTGGCGTCATCCGGCGACGGAAGTGGCCGGGCGGCTGCGCTCGCCTAGCCGGGAGGCCTGGGCACGGGAGCGCACTGCCGAGGCCGCGGTCACCCGCAGGCCCCCGGGAGGCTGTGACTTGGTGACTGGCGAGCCACGCGGGCCGATGGGCACCCCGCCCCTGCTGCTCGCGGCCCTGCCGACAGGGCTCCGGGCAGTCGAGTCCAGGGGCTTCCAGCCCGCGGGCAGGGCTGGCCCCGCCCCGGCCGTCGACCCTGGGCGCCCCAGGGAGCAGCCACCTTGCCCCGCCAGCCGTGACCCTGGGCAGCCCCGCGAGTACCCGGCCCGGCCCCGCCCGCTCGGAGGCGCTCCCGCAGGCGTCTGCCTCAGGGACGCCACTGGCCCCACCCGAGCCCTCCCGCACCCCCAAGCGGCTCCGCGGGGCTCATCAGCATGGGGAGAGCAGGCAGGCAGAGCTTGACTTAAACTCCAACACTTTGGGCCTCGCCGGTGGCGCAGCGATTTGAACGCAGCACTATGAAGCTGTCTGCAGCCTCAGCAGTGCGGGTTCCATCCCGGCCGGCCAGGGAGATACCCACATGGTGCAGCAGACTTCTCCTGTCACACCCGCTGCTCCTAGCAGGTGTATATTTTGTGCATACTCCTAGCAGCAGTATATTTTGTCAGTCTGCCTGTTCTGTTTCCTGCTCTGTCTCTGGGGAATTCTCTAACCCTCCCGTGCCTCTGGCCTGTATCCCGGCTGTTGTATAAATAAGTCAATCTTAAAAAACCTCCAACACGTTAATGAGGTCCCGCACACAGTGGAGCAGGCCTCGCTGACTCCCCTGCATCCCAGGCAGGGAGAACTGTGTATGCATCGGGCGCCGTGGGTCTAGGGGAGACTCCACGCTTCAGAGCTGCTGGTCAGCACGCAGCCTCCCAGATAAAAATACACGGCTTGGGCCTCCCCTGGTGGCGCAGGTGGTTGAGTGCCCCGCTGTGAAGCTGTCCGCAGCCTCTGCAGCTCTGCTTCCATCCCTGCCGGCGGTGGAGGGTCCCACATGGCACCGCAGACCTCTCCTGTGGCGCCCCCTGCTCTCCTCAGCAGTGTATTTCCTCAGTCGGCCTGTTCTGCTCCCAGCTGTCTCTGGTGAATCCTCTCACCCTCCTGCGCATCTGGCCTGTACCCCGGTTCTTGTGTAAATGAATAAATCTTAAAAAAAAATAAACAGCTTTCCACACAGGTCTAAATGCCTTCACATTTTAAAAATCCGAATTCTACACATGAGTTTTAAGCTGACAATTTAAATTGAGTTTGCACAGATAGCTTTAACTTGTATCAAACACGTTTATTTACAATGCGCATAGAGAACGGGGCTGTTGGGCCATTCTCTCATGAAACTGTAAAATGCGTACACCAGCACGGCCTAATATAGGCAGCGGTTCTCAGTCATTCTCTTGGTTCGACGTAATTGAGGGTCCTCACGGAGCCGGAGCCAGCCCGTCATTAGCACCAAGCCACACCACCAGGGCATCCGCCAAGCTCCATGTCCAGACTCGCAGAGCTGCCTGGCAGGGGCCAGTGCCTGGGTGGGCCATGCCCAGACTGGCCTGAAGGGCATCTCCCGGCCTTGAGTCCATCTCCAAATTCATCACAAGGTCCAGCGGCTGCATTTCCAAAGAGCTGTACCACAGGGCCTGTCACGCCGAGGTCTGCATGCCAAGAGCTGTAAGGGCAGCCCCCGGGAGCCCACCTCACCTCCGATGCCTGCTGTGCCCAGGGTGGTCCCGCTCATAGCGATGCCCACGCTCGTAGGACCGCGAGCGCTCCCGCCGCTGCTCTCGGTAGTAATGGCTCTTCTTCTTGTACTTGCCAGAGTTATCTGGCCGCTCCCGGGAGCGGCTCCGGGAACGGGAGGAGCTCCGGCTCCGGGATTTGTGAGGCTTCTGGCCGGGGTACTTGCAGTCCTTGGTCTTGCGGTAGCTCCTTACCTTGGAGCCTTTGTAGGGAGCACTGCGGTGTGCCTGTCTTGGTGGGGAGTCGCTCCGGCTCCTCGAGCGGCTCTGGGACTTGGACCCGCCAGAGGTTGAGCCACTGTCGCTCTTCCTGTGGGGGAGGACAGCACTGACCTTCTGGCGCCCACACACCCAGGGTTAGGAGTGACGGTCCCAGAGGCATGGCCACCCCACCCCCGGGGGGGCTGAGCAGCACCCACCTTCTCTTGGGAGAAGCAGATCTCGATGGGGACCTGGAGTAGCTCTGTTCGCAGCTGCCGCTCCGGCTTCGACTCCCTCGCTCCTTGGGCAAGCTGAGAACAGGGTGGTGCAGTCAAAGACCAGACTTTTGTCTCCAGTGAACCCCAACACCCATCCTGGCCCTGGGACCTCTTACCCGTTCACCGGGCTGTCTGCCTTGGCCTTCTTCACACCCTCCGTTTTCCTCTTGATGTTCTTCCCAGAGAGTGGGGAGGGCTTGCTCCCCTTGCCTTCTTTGGGAGACTCCGCTAAAATCAAATGCAAGTTAAAACCTGACATCTGAAAGCTGTTCTCCTGCAACATCTATCCAATGACCGAGGATCTCTCAATCTCACCTGACCACACCCCCAAATGACAAAGTCTGTCTCCCCCACCTCCTCCCAGGCACTGGGCATTTAACGCTCAACTCCAGCACCTGTCCACGCCACCCTCCCCCAAGTTTATACAACTTGGAAGGCCAATGGAAGGCCAGATGGACAGAAGCGCTGCGGAAAGCACCCCCCCCAACCCCAGACTCTGGAAACAATAGAAATGAAAGCCTTTGGGAGCCCGTTTAGTTTCCAGTGTCACCAAGTATCTGGCACTGGCGACTCCAGTGCCTGCCCAGGGCTCAGATCAGCGACAGATTCGGTGCCAAGATGAATCTAGAGGATGGAGGAGCCCACTGCCCGGGGTACTCGGGCCGAGGCACTCACCCAGCTTGGGGGCGGGAGAGAAGCCCGAGGTGTTGTCCTGCACCTGCGCACCCCCGGGGAGTAGGCCCTTGGCCTGCGCCTTCGCCTCCTCAATGGCGTGCTTCCTCTTCTCCACCTCGCTCTCCAGATGCGTCAGATCCACCTGCAGAAGCCAAAAGCCATTCGTCAGACCAGCTCGTCTGCGGTCACACACTCACGCACCACATGAAAAAAAATAAAGAGATGAACCTTTTTCCGGGTATAAAGCTGCAGGATTTTTAAGCAAATCTCTTGAATTTCTTCTTCGGTTGCTCCGAACAAGAGAAACCAATGGGGCCGGTTGGGCAGCGGGATCTGGAGCCAAACGTGAAGGAAAATTTCACTTCATGGCAGACAAAGTTCTTCCAGCCACAACAGGCAGGCGGCTTTTTGCCAACACGGATGACAATAACCCGAAGGGGCCAGGGCAGCTCACAGGGCCGGGGGTGGCAAGGCACTGACCTCCAGCGTCCGGGCCGCGAGGTAGATGCAGGCGCAGGCGATGCCCTCGGGCTGGAAGCGCACAAAGACGTCCGTGCGGAGGCTGTCGTTCATGTAGTTCCTGTAAAGCAGACGCAGAGTCACGGGGCCGCCAGCGTGGGCGCCCGTTGGCGTCACCTACAGCCACTGCGCCTCTCTGCGCCACCTGCCGGGACTCAGGCTACGTTGTCCAGGGGTCTTGGGAGTTAGTGGAGGAACCGGCTACCTGCTGCTCCTGAGTACAGGGCAGGAAGACGGGGGCCGCTGAGAACGAGCCCGAGAAGCTGCTCAACGCAGGGACTACTGCTGCTATGACAGAGAACCGACTTTGACTTTGCTCTTCCCTCTCGACTTTTGCTCTCATGCACAACACGGTGGCTCAGAGAGAACGTCCACGGTAGTGGTCAAGATGCACTGGACTAGAGAAACCTAAATGCTCGAAATCCACAGCGCAGAGGAGCAGGCAGACTCAAATGAACCGCATGGGGCCCACGAGGCTCTGCGGTGGGTCATCCGCTGGTGTCCCTTCTCCCGAAGAGCTGCTCCGGCCTGGCCCTTCTTCTTCCAGAGGGAGTCCGCTTGGACAAGGGGAACGCCCTTGGGTGCACGGCAGCATCACGCAGGAGGCGGCTCTGCACCCAGAGGGGTCCTCTTCTCAGGCTTATCAAAGAGCTGTTTCCAAACTGTCCCATTTCAACAAGGAGTCTTAAAGTGAACATTCATAAAATCAGACAAAAGCAACAAAATACTACAAGTTCATCACAATTAGCACATTTAAAACTTTATCATACTTTAGAAGCTCTAAAATACAAAACATTTGCATTTTTTAAGACATTAAAGGATTTGAAAATGAGCATATATTCAACATTTTTCTTCTGGTATACTTCTCCAAGATTAATAAACTAGTAAAACTAAACCTCATGTTAAACTTATCAGTGTTACAAAAACAAAACATTAATTCCATGAGAAGACAGTGGAACTGGTCACATAATCACTGCCCTTAACAATCCCCAGTGTGGCCAGCAGGTCAGGCCGCGTTCTCACTTACCAGCCCACCCCACCCTGCCATATCTGTCGTAACCCCCAAAGACGGTGACATACGAACAGAAACCTCTCATTGGAAGGTTTTACACAGATAACCGAGGGGCACCTGGTGCTGGGACTCTGCTCCAGGCACCCAGAGGCCTTCCAGAAAGAGGCCTGTGTCCCCAGAGGGCAAGGGCACAGCCCTCTCTATGGACACAGCCACCGGTAAATTTTTTGGTTGCGATAAAAGAACTTCAACATTCAGTATAAGTAACATTAACTGTTAATTTCTTATGTCCTAAAAACATACGAAGTCCTCAAAACAGACATTTAAACTTATCTCTCTATCGGAAGGAAATTACAATGTAAAAACGTCCAGGGAATAATTTAAAGATGCACACCTTTTACAAGAACGTGTCAATGCTTAGCTGCTGCAAAAAGCAGCTTTAGCACTTCCAGAAATAACAAATGACATGATCCCAAACTGAGGTCTGATTTCCCATCAGCCAATTTGTATAGCTCTCCAGAGAACGTCTGGAAAGAGAAAGGTACTGCATCTTTAGTGCACAAGTACAGCAGTTTTAAGGGGACACAATTCAAGTGAAAACAGTTATCAACTCTTATCAATACAGTTACCAAAGCACGACAGAGGGTTAACAAGAAGCACAACCGCCAGAGAGCACGCAGCGTCGGCCGGCACTAGACTATCGTGCGCACACCGCCATCTAGAGCCAGCCTTCGTGGAGAGCCTGCACTGGATTGGCTGAGGACGGCCGCTGTCCCTGCACCAAAGCGCTTGGACAGTAGAGGAGAAGTCTTAGTCACTTACCCTCAGAGGCTACCCTTTGATTGAAAGAGTACAGAAAAGAAAAGTCAAAATAGGTTCTCTGTTAGGCACGGCATAGCACCAGACAATTCAGGCAGCAAAAATATGACCCGTACACACTTAACTCCATGAAAAACTGACAAAGCACCCAGCACTAAACTGGTACCTCAAGTTTCAATTTTAGCACAGGCATTGTTAAAACCAGGCTCCAGAACCGTAATCTAACCCCTCTTCCTCCCACAGGACTTGCCTCAAAAGGGGCAGTAAAAGCAATTCCACAGGAGACGTAAGAACACTACTTGCCTGTTGACACTTGTGGGGAAGACCCCGACATGCCAAGTCAACAGTCCCCCAAAAGGGGAGTCCCCTGACTGCTCCCCTCCAGGGTGGGGAGCAAGCACCCACCACCTTACCGTCACACCAAGCCTGACATTTTGGGAGGGAGGCCGGTTGGAATTTACAAGGCAGGGACACCGGGCACTCAGACAACTCCAGCCCACAACCAAGTCATGGGACTCCCCACTGCCCAGTGCCACACACCAACACCTCCTGCACTGCCCCGGCTGGCCTCAGGAAGCAAGGAAGGTCAACTCACCATGCGGTCTGGACCAGGTGCTGGTTACGCTCACACTCTAACACCTGAAGGTACATAACGATTATCTGGAAGATACGGGTCAGGCAGTTATTACCAAGACACACGAGAACGCAGCATTTAGAACTTGATGGTGTCCGTGCAGCAAAAAATTCTCATGCTAGATCCCAGGGCTGGGTTCTGGTCACACAGCTGCGGGATCAGCTGGAGGGAGCTTTTGCTGACACACCTGCTACCTTTTGGTAACCAGGAAGCACACAAGCACAGGAGGACCAAGCTGCACCAGCACACAGGGCGCAGAGCTGACGTCTCGTCTTCAACACCTTTCCCACAGGTAAGATCAGCCTGCCTACAACCCCATCCCCCAGCTTAAACTAAAGACAGTGATGAAACACTTCCAACAGATAAAGAAAAACTCTTACAGCTATGGAGAGTAACTGAAGAATTTGAACCATCAAAGTCAAACAAGATATGAGGAAACCCACCACTAAAATTGGAATGAAAGCAGACGCGGAAGAACAAGTGCGTGTAAAGCAAGCGTGTGTCTGAGCACACGGTGAAAGGCCCCACAGCAGCATAGAGCAGCCATAGGGGCTCCAAGCTGCTGTAGTTCCTGTCCACGTAAAAGGGTTCAGGATTCCTCCGATTCCTCCACAAGAGGAAACAAGTCTATTACCGAAGTGACTTTTAAAAACCAGCTGTTCAGAGAAAAAACCAACTTCTAAACTGCTAGATCTCTAAACTACTCCTTACTGTTCTCATAAAACCAAATACAAAAGATGTTCTTTTCAGCCCTTAAAAGAATACCATCAAAACTAGCAGCTGGCACACGAAAGCCACTAAATAAACGGTTTCAGATCATAAAAAGGAGAAAGCCAAGTGGGGTGCGTTTAACCCTCTCCAGCCACAGCGCTGGTCCCAGTGGAGGAGCCACAGAGCCCAGGAGGCCGCGGAGCCACACCCACCTTGTGCGGGTGTTTCACATGGACACAGAAGCCCAGCTCTTTGAGGACTCGTCTCTCCGCCTTTATAATTTGGTTCTTTAAGTTGACGTAATCTTGATCCAAGAGAAGAGGTACGGGTTTCCTGCAGTGACAAAGCGTGTGGTCTGCACGAAGATCACACAAGGCATGTGCTGCTGACCCCTGGCTGCCCCCACGGGGGAGCATCTGCTCCAGCCAAAGAGCCCAGAGGCCCACTTCACCTCCCTCAAGCAAGCCAGCTTCACTCAGGTGCCACTTCAAGCGCCCACTCCTGACTAGCAGGTAGCTGGTGCCCCTAAGAACCCGACTGAGCACGGTGGAGGCTCCAGATTTTATGGCATAGGGCTAAGCCCGCCCTGTGTGGCTCCAGTGCTGAGGCACACCAGAGGGTCAGAAAAGCATGCCCCTTAAACACCGCTGAGCAGTTTTGCCAAGGGCCAACACAAGCTCTACCAGCGAGCTGTCTGGGCTAGGGTCTAGGCAGTGGTTCTCAACCATGGACAGTTTCACAACCCCAAGCCGCATAACCCAGACTAGTGGCCAGAGAGCAGGGCAGCTGCTAAACACCTGCCACTGCCAAGGACAGTCCCCACCAGAACTGTCGGGTGCCAAGGCAGAAAACCCTGCTCGGCATTCAGACAATGACAGTACCAGCAAAACTAGCCACAGCGCCCAGCCCTCCAGGCCACGGGCTCACAGGATCTCCTTCAGAAGCACTGCTGCAGGGCCTCCCTGGTGGCCCAAGGAGTTAAGCACCGCACTGTGAATCTATCTGCAGCCTTCGCAGCGTGGGTTTGATCCTGGGTCCGCCAGGAAGCAGCCCACAGGGCGGAGCAGACCTCTCCTGTCTCCCCACTGTTCCCCTCAGCAGTGTGCTTCCTCAGTCTGCCTGTTCTGCCCCAGCTCTGTCTCTGGAGAATCCTGTCGCCCCCCGCATCTCTGGCCTGTGCCCCAGCTCTTACATGCATAAACAAATCTTTTAAAAAAAAATAGCACTACTGCAAACAGCCGACCACGACCCGCGGCGGAGACGCTCACTTTTTCTCTCTCAGGTGGCGAAGACGGTGAAAGACATTGATGACGTCGCGGATGCGCCTCGGAGCCTCCTCTATCTTGGACGCCAGGTGGACGCAGGCCATGGACACGTGCTGAAAGAGCAACGCCGGCGGCGGGGTTGCGTCCGGGAGGCCCCGCTGGCTTCGGGGGGTCCTCGGGTGGGGCCGGGGCAAAAGGCGGCCTGGGGGACAAGAGCCGCGAGGGGCGCCCCGCACCCCCGCGAGCCCCGCTCGGGCCGGAAGGCGGCGGCCGAGCGGCCTTACCTCCATGGAGTGCTTCACGAAGGACTTGGTGTAGAAGAAGCGCTGGAACAGCACCTGCCCGGTAGCCATGGCCACCTGGGGAGAGCGCGCCCGTGACTGCGCCGCCCGCCGCCCGCCGCCGCCCACACAGCCCGCCCGCCCGGCGCGGCGGTTGCCCGGCGGCTCGCGGCCGCCCCCACCTGCGGCAGGCGGAGCAGGATGCCGGCCGCCTGGATGAGCTCGCAGCCCACCACGCGGAGGTCGGTCTCGGTGTCGGTGTCCAGGCCGCTCGACATGGACGGCGTGAAGCGGAGCTTGTCGTCGGGCAGGAGGCAGTTCTCTAAGGTGATGAGCACCCCGGAGTACAGCCGGTCCCCGATCAGCACGCCCTGCGACCCGGGGGCCGCGCCGCCCGGGCCCGGCACGCCGGCCGCCGCCGCGGGGCCCGCCTGCCCCTGAGCCCCGGCCGCGGCCGCCGCCGCCATTTTGTGCCGCCGACTCCCTTCGGCTCCTTCCCGGCAAGGCGGCTCCTCGCAACGCTTTACGCCGCCCGCCCCGCCCCCTCGCGCGCCATTGGCTCGGCCGGCGGGCGGCTCAGCCGCGATTGGCTCAGCGAGCTGCCAGTTTGCGCGGCCACGCCGGAAGCCGGAGAGGGCGGGCTCATTACCCAGAGGGCCCCGCGGCGACGAGCGAGGCGGCGCCGGCCCGGAAGCACTCGGCGCGGGGTCAGTTCCGGCCCGGGGGGCCGCAGGTCCGGGGCGGTGCTCCCTCCGCCGAGGGCGCCCGCGCGACCCGGGAGTGTCTGGGCCCGGCGGGCGGGAGCGCGCCGCGGGGGGAAGCCTGCGAGGGGCGGCAGGAGGTTGCCGCCCGACCTCGCACACCCCGGGGGCTTCCTCTTCTCGGGGAAACCCAAGGACCGGCCGCCGTCCCCGGCCTGCCTGGGCGGGGGCCAACCCCGAGTCGAGCAGGGCTGTAGCCGGAGGTGGGGTGAGCTTCACCGAGCCGGACAGAGCCCAGGCAGCACATGGCGCGCACTGCACTGGGCCCCACAAAGGGCTCTTAGCACCCGCAACCCAGGAGCCCAGCATGGAGACTCGGCCCCTGGGAGATGCACAGGGCAGACGGCATGGACAGACTTAAGTCCGCCAGCGGCAGGTGGCCAGAACGCCACTGACTCCACCAGGGGCTGGAGGTGGGGTCCGGGATGAGGTAACTGAAGTGACTAGCAGGAGCTGCTGGGCACCGATGGAGGATGGTGTGGCCACTGGGCCCAGAGCGGGCATGTGGGCGCTGCTGTGCATCCAGGGTCCAGCCTGCTGACAGCAAGCTGGCCACCACCACCAGGTCTAAGACTTGGCAGCAGAGCACAGGAGTGTGAGGCTGAGCCCTGGGGGCAGCCCTGACCAGAGGAAACTGGAGGAGGATGGAGTGAGTTCCTGAGACAAACAGGTGGACTAGTGGCCAGAGGGAGGGAGACTCCAGAGGAGGGAAGCTGAAAATACAGATAAGGCCAGAATGGAGGCTGGGGAGGCAGGGGTGTGTACGTGTGTGGACACCCTGCCTGGTGGTGGGGAGCATGGGTGTCCTGCCAGCACACGGGGTGCATGTTCCAGTGTAACTGGATGTGTTGATTCCAGCTGAGGCCTTCCCAGGTGGCCTAGCCCAGAGACAGGTAACACTGGCCTGGAAGAGCTGCCCTGCCTGCTGCCCATGATGCACCAGAGCAAGACATCAGGGGACGGGAGGCTGGCGCTAGAGAGGCTGAGGAGCTGAGCCAAGAAGTCCTTGCTAGAAGCAGACTGGGGAGGGCTGTGGGACCAGAGCCGGGCGGGGGATTTGGGAGTTGGACAGGCAACCCAGCCCTAAGCAGCCAGGGTCAGTGCTCGGGGGCCTGCTGCAATCACCCCACTTGCAAGAGAAGATGGACGCGACTGAGCTTCCACTGTAGCTTCCACACCAGCTTTATTTGCATGACCTGGGCAAGGCCCAGCCTCCGCTCCATCCCAAAGTACATAGCAAGGCAAATCAGACTTACAGGATCTTCACAGGTAGTGGCTACTTTGGCCGAAAAATCAGGGCCAGGCCTGTTTGAAGCTGAACCCATGGGGGTGGAAAGCTCAGCGGTAGTGCACCACCCTGGAGAACACGCCTGCAGGCTCCTGCCCGTCCCCCAGGGCAGCCGCAAATCCTTCATCTCGCCGCCTCTTGGCCAAAGCAGCCAAAGATTTGAAGGTCTTGGGTTCATAGATGGCCAGATCCGCGAGCACCTTCCTGTTGAGCTCCACCTGGCACTGGGGAGAGGGTCAGCCTCAGGCAAGCTCAGCTGGAAAGGGAACCAGGACCATGCCCTCGAGGTGCAGACAGCACTGCCCTCACAAGACAGGGTTGTGTGAGGAAGATCAATGGCAAAGGGTGGGGGAAGAGGGTGCCACCATCCTGGCTGAGAGGGGAGGGATGTCACTGCAAGGGGTAGACCAGGACCCACAGGGCTGTTGGCGGGAGCAACCCTGGACATCAACGTGGAAGAGGAATCCAGAGGCCCATTTTACACACCCTGAAGGCAGAAATTGAGAGTCTGCGAAATCGCAGGCCAGCGCCTGCCAATCTGAGAAGAAAAGGGGGGTCTACACACGCCACAGGCAGCCTCACAGGAGGCGGAGCCCTGTCCTAGCTAGCGTCCAGGCCCCAGCAGCCTCAAGGCCCCAGCCGCAGAATGGACCCTGCTCCCAACGCAAGCAAGATTCTGCACGCACACAAGACCCTCATCACCAGCGTGAGCAACGCGAGTTTTCCTCACGCGCGCGCCCGCCCCGCCCGGCGGCTCCCTCCCAGCGCCGCTGGCCAGTCCCTCTGCAGCAGGGCGAGGGTCGGGCGAGGGCGGACGAGGCGGAATGCCCACCACGTGCAGCGCGAGGGCGCCCCGGCGGCCCCGCATCTCCGCTACCTTGACTAAGCTGCCCACGAGCGCCGGGTACTTCAGGCCGTGCTCCTGGGAGGCGGCTGCGATGCGGCTGATCCAGAGCTGAAACACAAGACGGGCCTCAGGGCCAGCCCGGCCGGGGCGCCACGCCCGCGGGATCGGGGCGGGGAGGGCCCCGGGCAGGGCAGCGGGAGCCGAGGGCGGGCAGCGGGCCTACCGTCCGCATGGTCCTCTTCCTCAGGCGCCGCGCCCGCGTGCACTTCACGAAGGCGCGCGTCACCGCCCTGACGGCCAGCCGGTAGCAGCGGTTCTTCCTCCCGCGGAAGTGCTGGGTTGGGGCACGGGAGGGGTGAGTGGGGCGCGCGGGGGCCGGGCGCGGGCGGGAAGGCGGCGGGCCCGGGCCCGGGCGTGCACTCACCCGCGCGTGCCGCAGCACCTCCTGCACCCGCCAGTAGCGGTCGGTGAGGCGGTTCCGCAGCCAGAGCTGCGCGGCGAGGAAGACCATGGCGCCGGCCGCCGCCGCCGCCGCCCGCCCCACGCGCCGCTGAGCGCGGAAGCCGCGGCCGACGGCACTTCCGGCGCGCCGCCGAGCACTTCCGGGCGCGCCGCCGAGCACTTCCGGGGCAGCCCGCGGACGCCTCAGTAAAGGGGCGGGCGGGCGCGCGATTTCGGCGTGGCTCCTTGCTTACCGCCGAGCGGGACCACGCGGGAAGCGGGTCGCCACCCGCGGGAGCCCAGACCAGCCCCGCGGAGCTGAGCGTCGGGGAACGTTACTGTGCCCAGAACGGGAGAGGCCGAGCGGGGCCGCCTCCCCGTCGCCCGGCCCCGCCCCTCCCCTCGGTGGCCCTTACCCCCCCACGGCAAGCCCCGCCCCTCCGCGGCTCTCGGCCCCGCCCCCGGCAAGCCCCGCCCCCGCGGCTCTCGGCCCCGCCCCGCAGGGCGGGTCCCGAGGTGCCGGGTGAGCGGGACCGGCCCGCCGCGCCTGTGCCGGCGTCCAGGCTCAACGTGACTGTGGTTGTCACATTTGCTACCTGGATCAAGTTTTACTTTGTTCAACCTTTGCCCAGTTTGAGGAGGGGAGTGGCGGTGGGGGGGAATGAAAAAATAAAAATAACTTTTATACAGTTTATTGTTATCATCGTTTCTTGGATTTTGTTTATTTTTGCACAGAAAATATGGCCAGGGGCCTCCCTGGTGGGCGAGGGGTTAAGCACCGCACTACGAAGCTGTCCGCAGCCTCTGCAGCACGAGTTCCAGGCTCCCCGGCCAGGGAGCTGCCCACAGGGCGCAGCCGACCCCTCCTGCCTCCCGCCGCTCCCCTCGCAGTGGGGCTCATCAGTCTGCCTGTTCCGCTCCCCGCTCTGTCTCGGTGACTCCTCTCGCCCCCCACATCTCTGGCCTGTACCCCAGCTCTTGTGTGCGCAAATGGATAAATCTTTTTTTTTTAATAGTTTTTTTTTTAGAGGCATGTTTTATTTATTTGTTTGTTTTATTTATACAAGCACTGGGTACGGTCAGAAGCGCGGGAGGGTGAGAGGATCCCCCAGAGCCAGAGCGGGGAGCAGAGCAGGCAGAAGGACCGAGGTACACTGCTGAGGGGAGCAGCGGGCGGCAGGAGAGGTCTGCGCGCCATGTGGGACCCTCACTGCTGACCGGGGAGCAGCCGGGGATCGAACCGGCGCTGCAGAGGCTGCGGGCAGCTTCGCAGCCCAGCGCCCAACCGCTGCGCCACCGGGGAGGCCCATGGATAAATCTTTTTTAAAAAATAATAAAGAAAAAAAGAAAATATGGCCAGCGCCATGAGAAAGCACTCTGCAGTTCCCAGTTTTCATTCTTTGAATTTTAGTGATGAGTTGATTCCACTTCTAATTCTTCACAGTTATGCTTTTTTAGGTAATTTTCATTTATCTTGATTTTTTTCTGTTATACCTTTCATCTCATTTATTACATTTATTTAGCTCTTAAAATTCCACTTATTCTCCTACCTTTTTTTAAAACTTCATCTTTTTGTCGTTACTGAAAATAAGTACACCTAAGTCAAAATGAAATGTAGAGAAATTTCAGAGCGCCTTAAGCGCAATGAGCCACACAAGCTGACACGTTAGTTTGTTGATGTGTTCCGCCTGAGCCTCTCGTGTACCCTGACTTCCGTGGGGGTCCCGGGGCCATGGGTGGGCCAGAGCAGGGGGAGCCTGTGAGGCACAGAGCTGCCAGGGCCGCTGGGGGCTTTCCAGCCCTGCACCCCCTTCAGCTGGGCTGCCCCCCTGGGGGAGGCTCCACTCAGGCCCCACGGCCCCTGCAGCTGGCTCATGCCTGGGCCTTGTCCAGCAGCAGGCTCTGGCACCACGCACAGCCCGCTCTCGAGGGAACCTGGCAGCTGCCACCTTGACCTCACTGGGGAGGCCGCCAGCGCATGGGACAGTCCCTCCACCCACTGGGCCTGCGCAACCTCATCTGTCTCTCCCACCGGGAGTTGCCCTGGACCCACTCTCCGAGGTGGTTCCACTCTGGGTCCTGCCTTTGGGCCTGACCTGAGCCCATGAGCCCACAAGGGCATGGGCGGTGAGTTTGGGCCCGTGTTTTGAGACCCTTGTCTCTCCACTGCCCGCCCCCTCTCCATTCCCTTGGAACCGCTCATGGATGAGATCTGGGGCACATAGCGGGGCACCCTCGTTCATGCGCATGATGGGCAGGAGCCCTTCCAGCAGGTAACACGCACTTCTCCCCTTAACAGTTCGAGGTCCCGGTCAGCCTTTTGCCTGGCATCGGTTTCTTTACCACTTTCTCACGGACAGTGTTAATTTTTCAGCAGTCTGAGCTCGTTGGATACAGCTTTACATTCCAGAGTAGTTACTAGACTAGTTCAAGAGCTTCCCAACAGCTTTCTCTAAAGGCACCAACTGTTTACATTTTGCTCCATTTTTTAATCATTCTCTTGATAAACATTTATAAACACACTAATGGGATTTTCCTGGACCACTTTGAGGAAGTTGGAGAGCTCTGAATGCTGTGTATTTCGCAAGAATAAGGAGGTCGTCTTACCCACCAAGCGCGCTGGCCGGGACCTTCCCCGCCACCAGCTGTGCGCCCGCGGTGTGTCCCTGGCTCTGCCCCCTGGGGAAGCGGCACTGCCGTCAGCTGCGGCTTCTGGCTTTTAGCCACCACCTGGAGCCAGCTTGGCCGTCCTGACCCTGTGCTCCTGCCAAGCAGAGGCCATTCTGCACAACGCCTCTCAGTTTGAGTTTGATGTCGCCCTAGAGTTAGGACTGCACCCGAATGCCCAGAAGGGACGTCTGTCCTTGGTGCCGGCACAGGAGCCACCACAGCCTCGGCTCCCAGCAAGGCCGAAGGGCACCTGGGGCAGGCAGTTTCTGGCTTTCTTCACTGTTTCACCTTTGTAACTAGTGAGCAGTTCATAGGGAAACATTTTTGTGGGACCTCACAGGCCCCCGGGTAGCAGAGGCTGAGCTGGAGGCAGGTGAAGGGTAGTGTGCAGTTTGAGGTCCAGTCAGGCTACCCCTTAGCTGGCTCGGTCACCCCCAAGCACAGGCACCTGGTGGGGGTCTCCCCAGGAGGAGAGGGCGCCAGGGGGAGCCTGCCTCATGGACGGCCGCTGTGTGGGAGAGACAGCCAGGCAGCACCCTCCATGCCACCCTGCTTTGGGACGGTGGACACCATCTTCTCCCTCAAACCTGCAGGTACCCACTGAGCACCCAGCGTGGACTGCCTCTGACTGCACCTTGTCTCCAGATACACTGGCATTCTACTAAAAGTAGTGCTTTTCCTCGCAGGGGTGCCACGCGCAATAGTGTGAGGACCAGCACAGGGAGGGGGTGTTTTGATTTTTTTTTAAGATTTATCTATTTATGCACACAAGAGCTGGGGTACAGGCCAGAGGTGTGGGGGTGAGAGGACCCACCAGAGACAGAGTGGGGAACAGAACAGGCAGACCGACTGAGACACACTGCTGAGGGGAGCAGCGGGAGACAGGAGAGGTCTGCTCGCCATGTGGGCAGCTCCCTGGCCAGGGATCGAACTCGCGCTGCAGAGGCTGCGGACAGCTTCATAGTGCTATGACCTAACCCCTACCCACCAGGGAGGCCCCGAAAACTATACTTTAAAATAAAGAAGTGATCACACATTTCATGGGCACGCAGAAGGGCAGAGACAGTTGCCCCTCGGCTCAGCTGTACCATGGGGTTTGTAATGTTTGGGGGTGTTGCTGTGCCCCCTGGGCCGCGGGCACAGGGCTCTGGTGCGCGGGGGCAGAGGCGGGGGAGAGCCCAGGCAGAGTTTTCATGGGGCTGCAGGGTCGGGGAGGTAACACCACTGCGACCTCAGCTCGGCCTGCAGTTAGCGGGGGCCCCGCGGGAGACGACAGCGCCAGCACCCACACCCCTCGCGGAGGCCGGGAGACGGGCAGCCACCAGCCTTGGTCCAGCCCTTTCCTCATTGTCAGAGTGGGCAGCGCCGCCAGGACCCCGGGTCCGTGGGCGGCACCGCAGCCCTGGGCCGCTCCTCCCGCCCCAGCAGGCACAGGGCGGAGGCTGCTCTTTCCCAGTCGGCCCTGCAGGCTCACGCCCTGGAGAGACGCGGGGCCCCCGGGGCTGGGGCACCGGCCCTCCTGCTCCCACCAGGGCAGGCAGCATCCGCCAGGGCCCCCTCAGGCGCCGGGGCCGGGCCACCTCTGCCCACCGCGTCCTCAGGGTGGGGCTGGCTCCCCGGCTCAGCAGCAGCTCTGCGGCGGGGCCGTGGCCGCGCTCGGTGGCCAGGTGCAGGGGGGTGGTGAGGAGCCAGCCAGCAGCGTCGGCCTGCGCGCCCCGCTCCAGAAGAAGGCCCGCCACGCCGGTGTGGCCTCCCCAGGCGGCGTGGTGCAAGGGCGTGAGGCCAGGGCGTCCCGCGCGTCCACCTCGGCGCCCCGCGATGCCAGCAGCCGCGCCGCAGCCAGGTGTCCCCCGGCGGCGGCCCTGTGCAGCGCAGAGCGGCCGTGCCTGTCCCTGAGGCCGGGGTCAGCGCCGCCGTCCAGCAGCGCCTGCACGTCCTGGGGCGGGGGCGGGAGGCTGCTGAGTCCCGGGCAGGGGCGGGGCCGGGGCCTCCCACTTTGGCTCAGCGCTGCCTGCCCGGCGGGTGTGCCAGGCCTGCAGGCGGCAGCGGCTCGCTTGGGCCCGAGCGTCCTCAGGTCAAGGCCCATCCCCGCCCCCTGCCCCGGCCGGGCGCGGGGCAACGTGCCAGGCCGCTCTGAGCAGGCCCGGGCCTGGCCCCTCGCCGCCCTCCCGCGGCTCCCCGCCCCCCGCGCCCGCGCCCGGGCCGCCGCCTCGCGCGCACCTCCTGGCGGCCCAGGCCGGCCGCGACTCCCAGCGCCGTCGCGCCCGCGCCGTCCCGGGCGTCCACCCGCGCCCCGCGGGCCAGCAGCAGCCGCAGCGCCTCTCCGCGCCCCGCCGCGGCGGCCACCAGCAGCGCGCCGTCCAGGGCCGCCCCGCCGGCCGCCAGCAGCTCGAGCACCGGCAGCCGCCCGCCCGCCGCCCGCCCAGTGCGCCGCCGTCCAGCCGCGCGCGTCCGCCGCCGCGGGGTCGGGGCCCGGCGCCGCCAGCAGGCGCGCGGCCAGCAGCGCGCGGCCCAGCGCGGCCGCCCAGTGCAGCGGCGTGAGCCCGGCCCCCGAGCGCGCCGCGGCCGCCGCCCCGCGCCGCAGCAGCAGCTCCGCCGCGCGCGCGTGCCCGGGCCAGGCCGCCTCGTGCAGGGGCGTGCGCCCCGCGCCGTCCGCCGCGCCCGCCGGGGCCCCGCGCCGCAGCAGCAGCCGCACCAGGGGCAGGTGGCCGCGCAGCACGGCCAGGTGGAGCGGGGTCCGGCCCGCGCGGTCCCTGCGGGAGGGGGGGGGCGGTGACCCCCCCCCCGGAGACCCCCTCCCCCGCCCAGCAGCTGCTTTTCCCCAGAGGCCGGGGATCTCCACCCCAGGACCCGGGGCTGCCCAGATCAGAGAAGGGACCCACCCCTGGCCCGGTAAAGGCCCCCCAAGTCCCACCTGGGAAGTCCCCGGGCCTCCCGCACTCACCTCTCCTCCACGCTGGCCCCTTGGCGCAGCAGCTGTGTCACCAGGCCCACGCGACCCGACCACACGCCCCAGCAGGCGCCCCCCGGCCCCGGGGGCACTGGGCCCCTCTGTCCCAGCCCCCGGGGCCCCCTCAGAGCCCAGCTCCACCCAGCGCAGCTCCTGCTCCTCCTCTGGGTCCAGTGGGCCCGGCGTGCCCGGCTCGGGACTCCCGGCATCCATCTGCAAAGAGCAGGGTCCTGCGCCATCCCGGAGGCCCCGGCCAGCCTCAGCCGAACACCACTTGGCCTCCCACCGGGCGTGACCCCAAGGAGCCCAAGGGGGCGGCTGGGCTCTGGGATGGCCCCTCTGGGATGGTCCGGGCCCGCAGGAAAGGCCCAAGGGAGAGTGGGGCTGGGCGGGGGGCTAGACCTGTGGTTTCAGGCGAGGAGGCAGCGCCAGCTCCTGCTGCCTCCGGGCCGGGGAGGGCGGCGGTGCCACGCTGTTTACCCAGCAACCCAAGTGGGGCCTCCGCAGCGCAGGCACACCTGGAGACCAAGGTGGAGGCGCCGGGCAGCTCCTGCGGAGGAGAGCCTCCCGGCCAGGGCCCTCCCCGCCGCCTCCGTCCCTCCTCCAGCCCTGCCTCTCACCACGGCTGCCCCTGCGGAGATCGGGCAGCAGGGGGCCTACACCTGGCCAAGGACATGCCCAGCTAGTTTACCGGTCACTGTCTCGGGTCTTCTCCCGCGCACTGAGGTTCGGGGAGCGACCATGATGGGGCTCATTGAGCAAACCAGGGAAAACAAAGAGTCACTGAGGCCACAAGCAGCTGCTTCCCTCCCCCGAAGCCGAGTCCAGTGCTTTGAATCCCAAACCAAAGTCTCCCGAGATGGCCTCTTCCGGCCACTGCGGGCCTGGAGCATGCCGCAGCCAGCGAGCGGGCGGATCCCCTCACAGACAGCGGGAGAGGCGGCAGGAGATGGTCCGGAGCCACCAAGACGCTCCAGCGCGACACCGGACAAGGACGCTGGGACAGCCACGGCCGAGCATCCCCACAGCAGCCGCGCGCGGCTCAGCGAGGCCGGCTCCGGCTCCCCTCCGCCGTGACAGCAGCAGAGCTGGGGGCGCTGTCGGTCGCTCCAATCCCCAGGCTCCTCAGGCTGAGGGGTCCCAAAGGCCCTGCCGGCCTCTTCCCACCCCCCACCCCCCAGAGAGCCCTGTGGGCACCAGTCCAGCTCCCCGGAGCGGCCTGCATCCCCACCTGCTTGGCCTCCTTCGGGCTTGCCGCTGCACGAAGGCACCTGCTTAGTTTACTCCTGATGAGCCGTCTCTTCCCTGGGGGCTCGGCAGCCCCGCGGGCGGTGGGTGGACGGCAGTCCCCACCTCGGTTTACTGCTTGAGTCTCTGACAAGGGTGGCGGGCAGCTGTGTCCACTGAGCCCCTCGTCCCACGGATGCCACCACAGTGAGGGCCAGAGGATGGTGCAGGGTGCATGCGGCCCCCGCTAGGTGCTGCCCCTGGGGCCCGAGTCCCTGGCTCTGAGGAGCCGCCGACTGTGACCCAGAGGCCCCTCGTGCCGCTGGGGGCCTGGAGCCCAGAGCAGCGCCAGCGCCAGCTGGGGCACCGGCTGAGGGCGAGGGGCCCTGTGCCCCAATTCAAGATCTGCGTGAGCGCCAGAGATCTGGCCGTGGAAAGTGGCAAGTGCATTGGGGTGAGCCTCGGCCAGGTCCTGACACTCACGTCCTCACGCCTGTCTGAAGCGAGTCGGCGAGCTCCAGGGGTGATGCAGCGGGGGGAAAGGGACACTGGGGTCGGGGAGGGGGGCAGACGCAGCGGGGGGCGGGGGGCAGGCACAAGGACCTGATGTGGCTGCGTCAAGTCCTGGGATTGACACTGGGCATCTGGAGCGCCCCCAAGAGGTGCTGGAGCACGTTGTGGCACTTGGGGACAGGTAGGGGCTGTGGAGGGACGGGGCGCATCCCCGGGAGGTGTGGAGGGCACCCTCCCACCATTTTCAGGATGTATCCTCGCTTTGGAGCACAATGGATGCCAGTCACCGCTGCTGCCATGCGGGTCCCCCCAGGGCCAGCCCCAGCACCTCCCTGTTTGGGGAGGAGGGGCCAGAAGGGGCCAGGGCTGGGTGGCCACCTCCCAGGGGCAGCTGTCAGAGTCCAGACCTATGAGATGGAGGCGCTGTGCGGCAGGGGGAAGGGAGGGCGGGCGGGAGGGGGAGGGCTGACGGCTGGGGACAGCCGTGCAAGGGGCCAGGCGCAGAGGGGTTGGCCGGGAAGTGGCTGAGTCACTTGCAGAGAGAGGCCCAACCTGGCAGGGGGAAACTGAGGCAGGGTGTGGCCTTGGAGATTGAGGGTCGGAGCTGGACCTCTCTGCACAAGCACTGTCCCAGCGCTGGACCTGCACTGGGCGCGGGGGTATCTGCGGCTGCAGGCCTGGTGCTGGGGCCCCGGGGTCTGCCGCCTGCTCCCCCCCAGCCCGCTGCCCGGGAGCATGAGTGAGCAGGAGAGGGAGACAGAGGAGGATGAGGGAGGGGGTGCTTCAGACACGGCACCCATGCTGCCCGGAAGGCTTCCTGAGCACCGCGGCTCGGCCATGCTCGCCCCCCGGGGGCCAGTCTGGCTGCCCAGGGCCTGGGGACCCTGCTCCACCTGCTGCTGCCTGCCTCCATGTTCCTGCTGGTGCTGCTGCCCGCGGCGGCCATCGTCTACTTGGGATTTCTGTGCCACTCGAGGGTGAGCAGAGCTCCGTGGTGGGGCTGGCAGGGGTGCTTGTGGAGTGGGGGTCCAGCAAGAGCAGGGCCTGGGACTGCGGGGGAGCCCACCCCTCTGTCTGGGCCCCTGTCCCAGAGACTGTGCCCCCTGCAGGTCCTTCTTCTGCCAAGCCCTACCCCCCACCCCCGTCTTCCGTCTCTCCCCCACCCCCAGCACAGCCACAGAAGGGCTTTTGTCTGTCACCCTGGCACAGCCCTCGCCCCTCTCAAGGCCTCCCATCTCGTACCAGGGGCCACCAGGGCCTGGACAGCTGGCTGGGTGGGAAGTGCCAGGGGTTCCAGGAACAGAAGATGAAGACCTTCCCCAGGCCCGGCCCTGCCCAGCTCACTGCCCCGCCGCCCTGATCCCGGGTGCCCCGGCAGGCGGACTCAGAGGGCCAGCCCCTGGGCAGGCATAGGGCGGGGGAGGGGACGGCGGGGCAAGGGGGGGCCCCGCTGGTGACCGCCACCGGTAGGGGTTCAAGTCAGAGGCCAACATAGGAGGGTCAGGAGCGGAGGGGGGCCTGCGCGAAGGGACGCCTACCCGGACCACTGCGCTCCCACCGCCCCGCCCCACACGGGGGGGGAGGTGCCCCAGCTCAGACCCCGCCCCGCCCCCGCGGCGCCCCGCCCGCCCCGCCCCTCCAGACCGGACGCCCCGCCCCTGACCTACGCCCCGCCCCCAGGTCCACCCGGCGCCCCGCCCCCTGATATACGCCCCGCCCCCAGGTCCACCCCGCGACGGCGCAGGCCCCGCCCCCTGACCTACGCCCCGCCCCCGCTTCTGCCCGCGCCCCGCCCCCTGACCTACGCCCCGCCCCCAGGTCCACCCCGCGCCGCGCCCCGCCTGCCGCGCGGTGCTGTCGGACGCGGCTCCGCGGCTCTCATCGTGTCCGGCTTCCTGGCGCTGCCCCCGCTGCTCGTGCTGGCCTCGGCCGCCCGCGCCCGCCTGGCCCGGCGCCTCCGCCGGCTGCTGCCCCTCCCCGCGTGGACCCCCGGACTCCGCCGCCCCGCGGAGGCCAGCGGCCCGGACGGGGCGGAGCCGCTCTGTGCCTGGGTGTGAGCCCCGCGGCCTCGCCGAGGGCCCGAGGCCCGCACCCCCGGGGCCCTGGGCTGCGCCCGCGGCCGCGGCCCCCGGAAGGCGACCCCGGGCTAGGGCGCGGGGCCGCGTCCAGGCCCGGGCGGGGCCGCGGACCTCGGCGCCTCCGCAGTGCGCCGAGGGGCCGCGAGGTGGCGCTGGACCCCGCTGGGGACCCGCCCGCTGGGGACCCGCCCCCCGCCCGCCGCGCCCCTTCCTGGCGGACGCCGAGAAGTGGGGTCCCCGGGGATCGTGGCCGCAGGGTCAGAGGAAGGCCGCCCCGCCCCCCGCCCGGCCCGGCGGGCCCTCCGGGGAGCTCCGGCGCGGCCAGACTTGCGGGGAAACCCGCGCTTGGCCGCCGGCGGGGCCGGACGCCGTGTCCCGCGCGCCCGGGTCAGGCCCGGCCTCGGCGCCCCACGGGACCGGCCCTCGAGGCCGCTGCCTGCCGCTGCGCCGGGGCGGGGTGGCCCGCAGGATCCCGCTGCCCGCGTCCTCCCGCCCCGGCCTGCGGCCCCCGCACGGTCCCCTGGGGAGCCTCTGCCTGCCCCCCTTCGCCCAGCGCCGCCTCACCCGGTGCCTGCGGGGCTGGCCACCCCCGCGGCGGAGCGCGCCCCCCGCCCTCGCCTCCCTGCCTGGGCCGCCCTCTGCCTCCTGGGCCACCCGCTCCGGCGCGCCCCTCGTCCCTCCTGCCCCCCAACAGTTCAGCTGTCTCAGTCCCGGGGTCTCTTCCCGGCTGCTGCCGCTGCCCCCCAGCCCGTCACAGCCTTGGCCCTTTGCTGAGTGTCTGCCGGCTCAGCCTGAGGAGAGCGGGCTGCGCCCCTGGGGAGCCGGGGCTGGGGCTGGCCGGCGCCCAGTCTGCCTCCGGTGGCTCCCTGGCCCTTCAGGGGCCTCTGAGTCCCGCTCGCCCCCCGTCACCGCCCTGGGCTTCGGCTCGCAGCGCTTCTGGGTGAGGTGAACCCGCGCCGCCCGCGCCAGGAGAGCCTTGGAGGTGCGGGCTGCCCTGTGAGCCCCGCAGCATAGTAAAAATGGGTGTCCGTGGTGACTGGCGCAGATCCGGCCGTGGGGCCTCCCTGGGGCGCAGGGGTCCGTCTCAGCACCGTCAGGCGTCCGCAGCCTCTGCAGCGCGAGTCCGATCCCGGGCCAGGGAGCTGCCCACAGGGCGCGGCAGACCCTCCCGTCGCCCCGCTGCTCCCCTCAGCCGTGTGTCCCAGTGGATCCACCGGTTCTCCCCACTCTGTCTCTGGGGAATCTCTCACCCCTGCCCCTCTGGCCTGCACCCCAGCTCTTGTGTGCATAAATATGTCTTTAAAAAAAAAAAAAAAAGAATCTGGCTATGGCCGAAAGGAAAGGGCCGGAAGGTGTCTGCTGGCCCAGGCTGCCTGAGCGGGGGGTCATTCCGGGGCTGGGGCTGGGCTGGGGCACGGGGTGCCGGGGCTCTCCAGCCCTCGTCCACAGGCTCCAATGCCCTCCCATCATCCACCGGCCGCCTCCCGGGTCCAGCCCGCCGGCCTGTCCGGGCCAGGGCCCCTGAGGGCGGCCTGGCCCAGCCATCACAACAGCTGCGCCTGGTGGGGGCGGGGGGCGGCCCTCGGGGTGGCCCTGCTCCCCAGCCTGGCCAGGCTCTACCTGCGCGCCACTCATCAAGACATACCAGCGGGGCTGGGGGGGCCACGGGGGCTGGGATCTGCTTTTAGGGCACCAGCCGCCAGGGAGGCCGGGAAGGGGAATAGACCCCAAGGTGGGAGCCTGCTGGCGGCAGGGCCGGCCGCAGAAAGCGCCGCAACGACTGAGGCTGGGGTGGGGCGGTCCGGGGCTGGCTCTCTTCCGTCCTGGGGGTCCTCCTGTGCCTCTGGGCAGGCCCTGGCCCACCACCCCCCGCCCGGCGCTTCAGTCAGCCTCTCTCCTGCCTGGCAGGACCTGCTGGACCCCAGGTCTCCCCTCTGGCCCTCTGCCCAGCATGGAGTGCAGGCCCTTGGCCCCCCTCCCTGGCGCCTCTGCTCCCCTCCCTTGAGAGTTTCTCAACTGCGGCCTGGCACGGCCCCTTCCTCTGCTCAAGGTCTGATGGCCGCCCCTGTCCTCGTGGCTTCTGCCGCCCCCCGACGCCCGCGTGGGTGCGGACGCGCTGAGCTGCTGGGTGGGTCAGCGGACCCCACCATGCTGGTGCCCTGCGGCCCTGCCCGCCCCTGCGCCCCAGCTCCACCGCCAGGCCCCTCTTGCCCTGGGCCGGGGGCTCATCCTCACCCCGCGGTGTGGGCACCAGCCCAGCCTGGCTCCTGGCGAATCCACTCACAGGCATCGGGGAGCTCAGGCGTCTGCAGGTTGACCCTCAGCCTACGTGAGCAGCTGGGGAGGCCCAGGGACTCGGTCAGCTCTGCCCTCACCTGTGCCCAGGCGTGACCCCTGCCCACCGAAGTATGTGGTCTGGTCAGGGGGTGCTGGGCTGCACATGAGCGGGTGCGGGGGCTGGGTGGAAGCAGGCAGCGCCTCCCATCCTGGGCCCCCAGCTCTGAGGAGCCCCCGAGGTGCCGCACCGACCCTCTGTCCCTGATCTCCTCCCCATTCCAGCCTGCCTGGACTCCGCCAGCGCTGGGCCACACAGTGGTCACCTCCTACCCCAGAAACTTCCAGCAGAGGGAACCACCCGCATAGCTGAGAACCAGAAGCCCCAGGCCCCGCCTTCCTCTCTGCAGCCCAGCCCTGCCATGGGGTTTTGGGGGGCCTGCCTCAGCCCCCACCCTGGCCCCCCAGGCATATGCCTGCCCTCCCCATAAATTCTCTGCCCAACCCTGCCCTCTCTGCCCCCAAGCACCTGCCCTGCACCCCAGGGGCTGGGCACTCCCCGCCCTCTGGCCACCCAGCCTTCCTGCCCTCCCCCCCGCCCCCGTCTGCAGGCCCCTCTCTCCCTGGGCAATAAGGGGGCCACAGCTTGGCAACCCCACTGCCTGGCCCCCCTCCGGCCCGCCACCCAGGGACGGGGCTCAGCTCGGCCTGTGTCCCCAGCACACGCAGGTGTCTTCCCTGCCCGCCAGCTGGTGCCGGCCAGGGACCAGGAGGGGTGAGTGCTGGGGCCCCAGGGGCGGGCCTGGGTGGCTGGGAGGAGGCCGTGGGGCTCTAGACCCCAGGATGGGTCCTCAGGCCCCAGCACGTCCCGACCACAAACAGGCAGGTCGGGTCTGCAAGAATGTGCGGGTGGGGCATGGGGCCCTCCAGGTCCTGCCCGTGTCCGCCTCTGCCCTCTGCCCTCTGCCTGCTGTGGGGTGGGGCGGGGGAACCCCAGTCCTGGCAGGCGCACCCGCTTCCTGGCCCCCCCAGCCCCATGTGCGCAGCGACTGACTTCGGGAGCCGGAGCAGCACATGCCGTGCGCGGAGGAGGAGCCCTCGTGGGGGCTGGGTGGGGGGCCGAGGCCCGAGCTGCCCTTTTCCCTGAGGTCATCGCCACCCCAGCCTGCGGGGACAAAAAGCCCTTCTTCTCTGCAGAAGCCGGGCTGTGTGGAGGGCTCGGCGGCGGGGGCTGGGCCATGGGCTGGGCCGGGCCGGGCCGAGTCCAGCTTCCCGGAACCGCTCCACCTGCCTGTGGGGCCCGGCAGCGGGGGTGGCCCAGGGGCCTCCCAGATGGGCCCGGGCCAAGGGGCAGGGCCACACCAGCTGCTGCTTCCTCCTGGCTCCAGAGCCATGGGACCGGCGGGAGGGAGAGGGCCGGGCCAGGCCTGCTGCGTGCTGGCCTCGGCCCCTCGCCCCAGCCGGCGCGTCTTCAGAGAGGTTGTTTCTGGGCCGTGACGCGCGTGCTTCCTCTGGTGGCCGCCCCAGGTCGGCCCGGCCCCTCCGCCCTGCCTGACCCGCCCTGCTCCCCGGGGACCTCTGCCCACATCTGCCCCTGGGGTGGGGACAGCAGGGGTGGGGTGCAGGCGCGGGAAAGAGGCGCTGGGGGTGATAGGTGCCTGCATGGAGCAGGGCCTGCGTCAGCTGGGCGGACTGGGGCGGTAGCAGCTGGAGCCCGGCAGCTGGCTGAGGCCGGAGCTGGCAGGGGCCGGGCAGCCCTGCCCTCCCTGCCCTGGGGCCTGATGGAGAGACTGGGGAGGCGGCTGCTTCCTCGAGGACTGAGTCAGCGCCAAGAAGACCTGCTCACTTTTTCCAGCAGGGGCGGAAACTCCCCCGTCAGCCTGGCAGCAGAGGTGTGCCGCGGGCAGGAGCTGGGGACCAGCTGGGCACAGCAGCTGGCCACGGGCGGCTGCTCCGCCTCAGCCCCCGCCAGTGGTGCTGTGAGACTCGGAGGAGCCTGGACGCACCTGCGCGGGGCGGGTGGCATGTTCCCCAGCCCCGGGCTCCCCAGCCCCGGGTGGCCCAGCTGCCACCTGCAGGTGCTGCCTGCCCCACGGGGTCCAGCTGGGGCCGCGGCCGGGCCGGCAGGGCCCCTCTGGCCGCACACCCTGGTCCCGGGGCCCAGGAGGAAGCACCAGGCCGCCTCTGGTCCCGGCAGAGGCCTGAGGTCTGTGGCAAGGCGCCAGCACCGACACTGCCAAGATTCCCGGCAGGGGGGCGGTGGGGACGCAGTCCTGGCTTGTTCCCGCCCCAGCAACTCGGGCCCAGCCAGTTGAGCCTCTTCCTTTTTAGGCAGAGTCGGAGGCTCTCACCTGCCAGGAAGGGAGGAAGGAAAACCCTTGAGTCCCATCCGCAGGCTGCTATGCGCCCTCCTGGGGAGAGTGGGAAGGGAGCGGACATCCTGCCAGAGACCCCCCCCAGCTTGCCCGGGGCCCAGAGCTGAAGAGAGTGAGCCCAAGAGAGCGCTGGGGCAGTGACCCCCCCAGGAGGGCAGCCGAGTGAGGCTCTCCAGGCCCTGGGGTGCTTCCGCCCCCAAGGACATACCCTGGGGCTGCGTGCCCAGGAGCACCCCTGCAGCCCAGCCCCTCCGCTGCCGCCTGCCCGGCTCGCAACCAGCCAGGGGGCCGCTGGGGACCCTCCTCCTGGGCCCTGCCGGCTCCGCGGCCTCCTTTTCCCCGGCTCAGGTGGGCGGGGCTGTGTCCCCGAGCCGCTTCCCGAATGTCCAGCTCGGTCCCTCCCCGGCCCCGCTCCTTCCCTGCTTGGCCCGGGGCCGCGGGTCAGTCCCAGCCCCCGACAGCCGACCCGCCCCAGCCCCGCGGCGAGGGGAGGCCGGGCCGGCCGGGCCTTGGTTCTCGGTGTCACCCCGGAGCCCTCGCAGCCCCGGGCTCGCTCCTCCGGGCCTGGCCAGGGCCTCCGGCCGGGGGTCGCGGGCGGCGCGCGCGGAGGGGCTACCGAGGGCCGCGGGGCGGGTCTCGCGCCGGCCCCCCGCGCGCACCTCTCCAGCCGGCGCTGCGCGAGCGCGGGGCGGGCCTGGGGGCGCGCGGGGCGGGGCGGGCCGGGCCGGGGCGGCCGGGGCGGGCCGGGCCGGCCGGGGCGCGCCCTGCCCGCGGAGCCCGCGGCCGGCCGAGAGCGAGCGCCCGTCCCGTCGCGCGCGATGCTGCTGCCCTGCTCGGCGCTCGGCCTGGCCCTGAGCCTGCGGCTGGCGCTGGCGCTGGCGGAGCGCGGTGAGTGCGGGGCGCCCGGGCTCCTCCCGCCCTCCACGCGCGCTGCGCGGGCCGCCGGCGGGGAGGCCGCCGCGGCCGGGGCACCTGCCTGTGGCGGCCGCCCAGGTGCCCCAGGAGCCGGGCCCGGGCGCGGCGGCCGCGTCTCCGGGGGTCCAGACGGGACGGGGGGCGGCCCCCACCTTGGGTTCCCTCTGCTTGGAATGGCCCTTAGCGAAGGGGGAGGCGGGGCCGCCAGGCCGGGGCCAGGACCGAGGGGCCCCAGTGGGGGGGCGCTTCACCCTGGTCCGGGGAGGAAGGGCTGGCGCAGCCCCCCGCTGGGCCTCAGGCTGCTGCACCCTGGTCCAGGGGGGCGGAGGATGGAGGCCAGGGGAGGGTGACCCCACCTGTAAGTGGGGTCCCAGCCCCTGCCTGCCCTGCGCTGTGGGGGCCAGTGCTCTGTCTCCCCATCCCTCACCTCCACCCGCACCCTTTGCCACCCATCTGCGCCCCTCCGGCTTCCTCCCCGGAGGCCGGGCCGGCCTGCAGCCTGGTTCCCTGGCAGCATGCCCGCAGGAGCCGCAGGGATCAGGCCCCCCCCCCACCGGGGGCTGAGCACACCCTCAGGCCGCTGCGTGAGGCCCAGCGCCCACCCAGGGAAAGCTCAGGCCCAGGTCTGGCCTGGGCGTCCCTGTCGCGGGGTCGCCTCCCGAGGCTGAACCCTCCTCTCCCCAGGGCCCCCGGCAGCGGCCCCCCAGGGGGACCTGATGTTCCTGCTGGACAGCTCAGCCAGCGTGTCCCACTACGAGTTCTCCCGAGTCCGGGAGTTTGTTGGGGAGCTGGCGGCCCTGCTGCCCCTGGGCCCCGGGGCCCTCCGCGCCAGCCTGGTGCACGTGGGCAGCCAGCCGCACACCGAGTTCCCCTTCGGCCGGCACGGCTCGGGCCCCGCCGTCCAGGAGGCTGTCCGAGCTGCGGCCCAGCGCATGGGCGACACCAACACAGGCCTGGCGCTGGCCTACGCCAAGGAGCAGCTGTTTTCTGAGGCGGCGGGTGCCCGGCCGGGGGTGCCCAAGGTGCTGCTGTGGGTGACAGACGGCGGCTCCAGCGACCCCGTGGGGCCCCCATGCAGGAGCTGAAGGACCTGGGCGTCACTGTCTTCATCGTCAGCACCGGCCGCGGCAACCTCCTGGAGCTGACGGCTGCCGCCTCAGCCCCCGCCGAGAGCCACCTGCGCTTCGTGGATGTGGACGACCTGGCCCTCATCGCCCAGGAGCTGCGGGGCGCCGTCCTGGGTAGGTGGGCAGGGACCCGCCCCGCCCCGCCCCCGCCCTGATGGGCTGCACTGGCGGGCTGCGGTGGATGGACTAGGGGCCCTGGGTGCACCCTGGGGACCTCTTGGTCACAGGCCCACCCAGCGCTAGAGGCCCTGGGCAGTGGGGGACTGGCATGGGCTGGGGGCTTCCTGGTGGGGTGTGGCTGGCTCCCCCCTCAGGTGTGGACGCCTGGAGAGGGACGCGCCAAGGTCCATGTAGGCCCCACGGGGCCAAGGCGGGCTGGGGCTTGTGCTGAGGTTGTGGGGCTCTCTGGACAGGAGGCATGGCCAGGGAGGGCCCCCACTGGGCAACCCCGTCCCTGATGTTCTCCCGGCCCCCCGCCCTGGGGGAGGGGCAGAGAGGCGGCCTGCAGCAGCCCCTGCGCCCGGCCTCCCCTGCCGCCTGTGGGCGGGTCCTGCACCTGCCTCGGGAGGGCTGGACGTGGGTGGGAGAGGCAGAGGGTCCTTCAGAGACTCTCCGCAGGGGACTCCTAGGCCCTGGTGGCCTCTGGGCCTTCCGTGGCTGAGCCCGGAGGGGAAGCAGAGGCTGCAGGGCAGGAGGGCGGCTCCTGGAGTCAGGAGGGTGTGGGGTGAGGGCCAGGCCCCCACAGGCACTGGGAGCCAGGCGGAGCTACCTGAGAAGACCCTTCTCGCTCACCCTCGGCGCGGTCCCCCAGTGGACACGCAGAGCTGGGGCCAGAAGCTCAGGAGTCACGCCTCTGGGGCCCACGCCGCGACTCCTGTCTGCTGGGCCGGGGTGCTGGGTGCTCACCGCCGGCTCAGCCCCTCAGCGCCCCCTGTCGGCGGGTCTTTACGCTGCGCCCTGGTCCCCTTTGGCCTCTGCTGTCCAGAGTTCAGCTGACCTCAGGTCCTGTGCTGGCTGCTCGGGCCGGGGACTGCTGGCCTCAGCCCTCACACGCCCTGGGCCTGCGCCTCTGAGGTGCCTTGTTCAGGCCATACTGGGCAGGTGGCCATACTGGGCAGGTGGCCGTGCAGTTACGGGGCTTGGACAGGCAGAGAAGCGGCTGCGGCTCGGGGTGGGGGCTGCGCCCCTGAGCTTTGGTGTCATTTAGCCCCTGGGGCTGGCGGGGGCACCTGGTTCCCCAGCTGGCTGCCAGGGGCTTCCTCCAGTTTGGGTTCTGGGGGACCCCGAGGCAGCTGGGCCTTGATCACGGCTCCCTGGCAGATGCGGTGCGGCCCCAGCAGCTGCGGGCCTCTGAGGTCACGTCCAGCACCTTTCGCCTGACCTGGCCACCCCTGCTAACCGCTGATGAGGGCTACTACGTGTTGGAGCTGGTGTCCAGGACAAAGCCGGGGGCCCGACGGCGCCAGCAGCTGCTGGGAAACGCCACGGGGTGGACCTGGGCTGGCCTGGAGCCCGACATGGACTACGAGGCCGCACTGGTACCCGAGTCCAACGTGCGCCCTATTGGTCCGCAGCACCTGCGGGTGCGCACACTGCCAGGTGAGCTGGGCGCGGCAGGGGGGCAGAGCCGGACAGGGCGGGGGCCGCCGAGGGCGCCCGCTCCGGCTCACGGGCGTTTCCCCGCAGAGGAGGCGCCGGACGACGCCGGGCCCCAGCGCATCGTCTTCTCCCACGTGCGGCCCCGCAGCCTCCGCGTGAGCTGGGCCCCGGCGCTGGGCCCCGGCGCGGCGCGCGGCTACCACGTGCAGTTTGGGCCACTGCCCGGGGGGCGGTGCGCACGTGGAGCCCGTGGCCGCAGTGCCCCGCGGCCGCAACAGCACACGCTGCAGGGGCTGAGCCGGCACCGCCTACCTGGTGACCGTGACGGCGGCCTTCCGTTCCGGCCGCGAGCGCGCCATGTCCGCCAAGGCCTGCACGCCTGAAGGCCAGCGCGCCCGTGCCCCGCACGCGCCACTGCCACCGAGGGCCCAGGGCCCTGAGCCACGCGCCAAGGGCTCCCGCCTCCCGGACTCTGTGGGAGCAGCGCGGGTCCAGGAACCAGGGTTTCGCCCTGAGGGGCCCGCCCAGCCTTTGCCCTGCGGGGACTCCGCACGACTCGCCAGTCTTGTCCCCCAGGCCGGGGGGCTCCTCGCCCAGCCTGCACCCTCCAGGGCAGAGCCTCCGACCCTGACTCCCCGGCTGGACCCTCCGCTCAGGCTCTGGCACCACTGCCTGCCGCCCCACCCAGGGCGCGAGGGTGGGATTTAGCGGGAAGATGGGCGGGGGTGCGGGCTCCAGACCTCCCCTGGGGGAGCCCCGGCTTCGCGTGGCCAGGGCAGCATCAGCTAGGCCCCCCGGACCATTCTAGGTGCCCACCGGCCTCTGGGACCCGGGGTGTCGCTAGAAGATGGAGGGGGGAGGGCGGGGGTGGCTCTGGCCAGGTCCCAGAGGCTTCCTGAGCAGGACAGCGTCTGGAAAAGGGCAGGTAGGCGTGCTGGAGGCAGGATGTGTGGCCAGCAGCTGGGTGGTAGGCGGGCCTGTTCACTGGGATGTCCAGCTGGCCTGGGGCAGTGTTTGCCAAGGACAGTGGGCCCTTCCTGCTCAGGACCTCTGGGATGCAGACGTGTCTCTTAAGAGGAATGGGAGCGTGTCCCTCCAGAGCCTGGAACCCGGGCCGCGGGGCAACGGCCCGGCCACTGCACCTGCTTGTCTCCAGCCAGCACATGCAGTGCCCTGCTTCTGGGTGGGTGGTCCAGCATGCTTCCCGGGGGCTCACCCCAGTAACTGGCAGCACCTCCTGGCACTGCTCACTCTCCTGGGCTGGTCACCAGACAGAACCCGAGGGCCAGCTGCCCCTTGAGCCCCCAGGCGCCAGCCTGATGCTTGCCTTGCCTCTCCCCACTAACACCCCAACTTCAAAATGCAGTAAACCGGATGTAAACCAGCCGGCACCTCCTTTTGTTTCCCTCCCAGTGAGGACAGTGTGGTGGGGCCATGGGCGCTGCGGCTGCAGGGGCCAGGACTCGGGCCACCCTGTGCCAGCGCCCAACTCCGGGCAGCGCCCTCTGCTGGTGATGCCATTCCTGGTTGCAGCCGCGTCTGACCACGCCTTGGGGGCAGAAAGTGGGGGACTCTGTTCTGGCCACTGCAGGCTGACAGAGCGGTCCCAGGAGCCCCTGAGAAAATGGTCAGTGTCCTTACTGGCCTGGTGGGGTGGGGGTGGGTGGCGCTGGGGGAGGGAGAGCTTGCAACCTCCTGGACCCTGGCAGCATTACCTGCCTGAGCAGGCACCTGAGGCCTGCACTGCTCCTAGTTTGGGGTGTTTGGTGTCTGCCAGGGGCAGGCTATGCGTGGGCCCCGGGCTGGCCTGTGTGATGATGGCACTAAGGGCCAAGGAGCTCTGGCCGACCCCTAAGTGGGGTGGGGCGGGGCTCAGTGGGGTCAGGTCCCAGGTGCAATGGCCGTGCCTGGAGAGGCTGCACAGGCAGGGAGGGTGGCTGCTGGGAAGGCCTGGGCAGGCCGCGGAGCCTGGGCCACTGCGGACTCCAGCTTGTGCCCTGATGGGTGGTCAAGGGTGGCTGGGGCTGGAACCTCGCCTCCTGGGCAGACAGGAGAGCACCTCTGCTGGGAGGGGGCCTATTCCTGAGAATACAAGCTCAGGGGCAGCGGTGGTGTGTCTGCAGCAACTTTTTGTCTGGGATGAGAAAATTTCTGCAACTTCCATGGGCACAAGCATGTCCCACGGGAGACAGCACATCCACCCCTGGAGGCGAGGCTGGGCAGCAGGGGCACAGGAGGCCCGGCCCTGTGGTCTCAGTCCTTGGGCAGGCAGTGCCCAGCATCCAAGAGGCAGGTGGGCACTGCCTTTGCAGGGAAGGGGCTGGGGTCTCCCGAGTGGGAGCAGCCCCGTTCTCTGTCCCGCGAGGTCTTAGACTGTCTCCTCGCCAGGCATGGAAACGCCACCTGCCCTCGTGCCCACTCGGGACAGGACGTCACCAGAGCACAGCCAAGCTCCGCAGGAAGGGCCCTGTGGCCACCAGTTGTGGGGACAACCTTGGGAGAGCTGTGGGCAGCAGTGTCTGGCCGGGGCCCCTGACCACAGCGTCCCCGGCAGCAGGCCCGGCGCGTCCAGGGTACCGGTGGCCGCTCCTGGACCCACGGGGCGGCCGGGCCGGCTCCCAGGGGGGCTCCAGACAGAGCAGCACCCGGCAGGGTGGGGGCCGGGCCAGCGGAGTCCGGTCAGCACCGCACCCCTGCAGGCCCGCGAAGCACCCACACCGGCGCGGCCGGCCGTCCCGGGAGCGCGACCTGCGGCTGCGCTAACCCGAGTCTTCAGAGGGTGGCAGGGACCCTGGGGCGGCGGGCGGCGGGGGCGCGGGGACACGCCCCCAGGCAGGACGCGCCCAGCGCCTCGCCCTGGCGCCGCGTCCGGGGGGACGGACCCTGGAACGCCGGGTTCCGTGAGGGGCCGGCCCCACCCGGCAGGGCCCGGGGCCGCCGCGCCGCCGCCCGCGCAGCGCGCTCCGCCGGCCCGGGGCCTGGGTTCCGCGGCGCGCCGCGCCCCCCGCCCCTGGGGCGGCCGCTGGCGAGGCCTGCGCCCGCGCTCGGGGCGGACCTCGTGGGCCGGCCGCGCCCGGCCCGCACCCTCCCCCGCCCCGCCACGTCCGGGCCCCCAGAGCGCCCGCGGGAGGGGACGGCCGCCCCCAGCGCCCGCGCGCGCCCCGCCCGCCAATCTTGTCCGCGACCGCCTCCCGTACCTCGGGGCCCGCCCCCGAAGCGCCCGCGCCGACGAAGCCGGTGACGTCACGGGCCCCCGCCAACCGCGGGGCGAGCGCGGCCGCGGGCCCTGACGCGCTTCCGTCGCCCGGAGGAAGGGTGTGCGGCGCGCCTGCGCAGTGGCCCTGACGCGGGCAGGCGGCGCGTGGAGGCTGCTCCGAGCCGCCGCTCCACGCTCGCTCGGTCCCGGCGGCGGCGGCGGCGCGCGCGGGGCCATGTCGTGGCTCTTCGGCATCAAGGGCCCCAAGGGCGAGGGCGCGGGGCCGCCGCTGCCCCTGCCGCCCGCGCAGCCCGGGGCCGAGGGCGGCGGGGAGCGCGGCGCGGGGGACCGCCGGCGCCCAAGGACAAATGGAGCAACTTTGACCCGACGGGCCTGGAGCGCGCGGCCAAGGCGGCGCGCGAGCTGGAGCACTCGCTGTGAGTGCGGGCGGGCGGGCCCTCCCGGCGCCTGGGTCCGCGGCTCTGGAGGGACCTGGCCGCAGCCTCGTGCGAGCTCAGGCCCCGCGGCCACGTGCGGCGGGCGCGGCGACGGCCGGGGCTGCGCTGTCCCTCCCGCCGCCCCCACGTGGAGCCTGGAGGGCGTGGCCGGGCCGATCCCTTTGTGTGGCGAGACGAGCGGCTACAGGCCGACTGCAGCAGGCTTGCTGCTGGGCAGCGTTAGCATGCAGGGGGCCCGGTCCTCAGGCGGCAGGTCGCCTCGCCCGGTGACCCTCCTGACCCCGAGGGAGTCAGGATCTGAGCGCAAAGGTTGGGGGGTGTCACGGGCCGGCTTCCCCTGCTCTCCCCAGCCCATCACTCGCCTCGACCTTGGTGCGGTCACAGCGTTTACTTACAGAGGGGCGACAGCCTGGGGAAGACGCTCCTGAGGCCGCGCGCGGCTGGTTGTCTCACCCAGACCAGCGTCCAGTAGTCCAGGTCATCTTGTGCAAGGTGGCACTGTCCTGCACGACAACCTCCTGCTGCTGGCGCTCGGGGAGGCGCAGACCAGGGCACCGCCGACCTGTGCACCTCAGCAATGTCTCTGCCAGACCACGGTCTCTTTCTGAGTGGAGTCAAGTCCCCAGGCCTTCCCCAGCAGCCTTTGCTGTGCTCTCTGCCAGGGCACCCACCCACCTCCCACGGCCATTTTCCAACCAGCTGTCTTCAAGACTTGGCGCTGGTGCAAGCTGGAAATTAGTTGGTGCCAGGGGGAGCTCAGACCTGGTGCGTTTTCAAAACCATCTCGGGGTTCAAAACTGAAACTCTGATAGCGTGTCTAGTCTGCCCTGCCTGATCTCATGCCAGAGCGGGGCAAGTATGCCCTGCTGTATCCGAATGGCACTGCCGGGTTCAGATCGGACCTTGTGTCTCCCAAAACCACAAGGTGTTTTCTCTTTTCCCCCTGAAACCCAACCCCAGCTGTACCCGGGTCAGCCATCCAAGGTGGACCCCATGGTATGGCCCTGGCTGATGCCCGCCAGCCGGGGACCCTGCACCTTCAGAGGACCGGGAGCCACGTGGGGACTCTAGCAGGTCCATGGGCCACACCAGCCCTCCCTTTCCTCCCCGGTTCCCTTTCTGCCGTCTAAACCCTGGCAGAGAGAACACAGTTGTCCACAATTGCTAAGCAGATTGTTGTGTTTCCAACAGGCCTGGAGGGGAGCGGGTCCAGGCCATCTTTTCTGCTTAAGAAGGCACCATTTGCTCAATTCCGCACCTTCCCGGGGCTCCCTGGACTTCCTGGCCAAGGTCGCTGGACCTGACTGGCTCTCAGAGATGTTGAGCCTGGCCCAGGCCCAGGGCAGTCTGCGTGTGCAGTCTCAGCGGGAGCTCTCCACCCCAGGGTGTCGTGGGCCTGCGGGTTCCTGGATGATTAACCACCGGCTCCATGTGCCTGAGGGACTGGCAGAGTCCCCCCGACCTGTGCCTCCGAGTTGACCCCAGGTCTCCTGCACTGGTCACTCCAGAATTTCTGCCCAGATGTTGTCCACCTTGGTCCCCAGAGCCTTGATCTCTGCTCTCATGACCTGGCTGTGTCCCCAAGTGCCACCTCCTGCAGAGGGTGTGCAGGGGTCTGCCCTTGGTGCCGACGCTGCCCGGCCTGGCTGCTGGCCAGGGGGAGGGGTGCTGTTCTGCTCCAACCCCCTCCCTACCTCAAACCTTTTCTTCCAAAGGGTCTCCTGTCCAGTGGTCCCTTGTTAGTGCTAGAGGCCTGGGGAGGGGGTGCAGACTGTGTCCCAAGGTTGGGGCTCTGCTCAGGTAGGCAGGGAGAGGGTGGGCTCGCAAGGGTGCCCTTGTGCCAGCAGGCAGTGGGTGGGCCTGTGCCGACCTCTTTCCCGTCCGCTGCTCCGGTGAGGGCCAAGGCGGGAGCCATGTGCTCTCTGCCCCCTTGACTTGTCCGCTGTGGGGTCTTGGTCTCAACCCTGGCTCTGTGGCTTCCGAAGCCCGCCGGTGGCCTGGGGCCTTGGCGGCGCTCCCTCAGGCGGGTCTCTTGTGACTGGGCAGTGGCTACCAGATGTCCAGGGAAAGCCCCGCCGTGGGACCGCAGGACCAGGCTTGGCCCATGCTGCCGGCTCCGGAGGGCCTTCCCGCTGCAGGTCCTCTGCAAAGGGGCTCCTGCCAGCCGCCGCCACTCTCCCAAGCCCAGGGTGTGCTGGCTTCACCCCAAAGGGGACATCCCCAGACCGGGGCCAGGCGGTAGTCACCATGTCTGCTGAACTGGGGAGGCAGGGGGGGCCTGTTGCTCCGGAGCCTATAGTTGACCCCAAAGTTTTCAGAAAGCGGGGTGCACTGGGGAGGGGGGCTGGGCTGGGCGCCTTGCATCCCTCTGGAGGAGCCCCATGAGGGGCAGGCAGGTGGCCACAGGGGATCTTGAGAGTCTGTTTCTGCCCAGAAGCCCCAGGCGTGGCAAGCGTGAGCCCCCGAGGTGGTCCGTGCCGGGCGCAGCCTGGAGCTGGCCTGCCCCTGGCCGAGTGCCCCTCACCACGCTGCCCCCGTGCGAGGGGCGAGGTCACCAGGGACGCAGCGGCCTGTGGGCTGGCTCTCCGCTGCAAATGACGTCCTCACTGCCCTCATCCGCCTAGCGGTGGGGGCGGCGTTTCTGGTGGAGTCCCCGGAAGGTGACGGTTCCCTGGGGACAGATCTCACTGCCAAGCATTCTGCGGGGGACAGGAGACAAGAACGGTTGCTGGACCTCGGGGGAGGGCCCGGCGGGTCCTCAGGCCGCTGTGTCCCCACAGGGCACGCCAAGGAGGCGCTGAGCCTAGCGCAGATGCAGGAGCAGACGCTGCAGCTGGAGCAGCAGTCCAAGCTCAAGGTGAGCCGCGAACGGGGCGGGCTGTGTCTGGCCGGAGGCCCGTGCGGGGTCACCTGGGTGCCCAGGTGCGGCCTCCGCCCTTGGCCAGCGGGGGGTTCAGGGTGGCAGGGGCGTGGAGGCGCCTCAGGTCCCCTCGAGGCCACAGCAGCCGTGTGTGGGCAGGAGTACGAGGCCGCTGTGGAGCAGCTGAAGAGCGAGCAGATCCGCGTGCAGGCGGAGGAGCGGAGGAAGACGCTGAGCGAGGAGACGCGGCAGCACCAGGCTGTGAGCGGGCCGGGGGCGGGGGCCGGGCGGGGGCAGCGCGGGGCGGCCGGTGGCTCACGGGCTCCCACTCCCCAGAGGGCCCAGTACCAGGACAAGCTGGCCCGGCAGCGCTACGAGGACCAGCTGAGGCAGCAGGTGAGCGGCGGGCGGCGGGGGGCGGAGGCGCCGCACTCGGGACAGCCGTCCCCTGTCCCCAACGGTGAGGTCGCCTGTCCTGTGCCCCCAGCAACTCACCACCGAGGAGAGCCTGCGCAAGCAGGAGGAGTCAGTGCAGCGGCAGGAGGCCCTGCGGCGAGGTGCGCGCCGCTCCGCTCCCCGCCTTCCCCTGGCTGCCGCGGTCGGGGGCTTCTGGTGTGGAGGTGGGGGCCCGGGCTGGGGGGGACGCCGGCCCGCGGTGGGCAGAGCCGGCGGGCGGGCCGGGGCTGAGCCGCGCCTCCCGCAGCCACGGTGGAGCGGGAGCTGGAGCTGCGGCACAAGAACGAGATGCTGCGGGTGGAGGCCGAGGCCCGCGCGCGCGCCAAGGCCGACCGCGAGAACGCCGACATCATCCGGGAACAGATCCGCCTGCGCGCCGCCGAGCACCGCCAGACCATCCTGGAATCCATCAGGTGGGCCCCGCGGCCCTGAGGGCGGCACCTGCCCGCCGCGTGCTCGGCCCTCCCGCCTGCTCAGCTGCCGCTCTCCCCGCAGGACGGCCGGCACCCTGTTTGGGGAAGGATTCCGCGCCTTCGTGACGGACTGGGACAGAGTGACAGCCACGGTACCCGGCTGGCCCGGGCCGGCCCCTCTCCCCGCTGGCCGGGCTTCCTGCCTCGCGTCCGCCGCCTCCCGCCTCTGTCCTCCGGGAAGCGTGGGCGCGGCCTCCGTGCCCGGCGGCCTTGGGGAGTCCCAGGAGGCCTGCAGATGCACCCGGGGCTGCGTCCTGGCTCTGGGCCCCAGGCTGTGGCCGACGGGGGTCACGGGGCAAAGGTGCCTCGGCTGCAGCCCCCCGGGCCCTCTGTCGCCGCGCTGGCTCCTGGTTGGAAACCCTGCTCGGGCCTGAGTCCCCCCTGTGGCGGGCGAGCCTTTGGTTTTGTAGGAAGAGCTCGGTTCCGTCCTCAGGAGTTGGCACGGTTTCTAGAGGCTTCTGCGTCTCTGGGTCTCGCGCTCCACGACAGCTCCCTGTCCCCGCCGGGCCTCCGGGACTTGCCCCCTTTGGTGGCTCTCTGACGTCGGCCAAGCAGGGGCTGAGGGGGTGGCCGGGCCCCGGGGCGGGCGTCACCTGCGCCCTCTGCCCCTACAGGTGGCCGGGCTGACTCTGCTGGCCGTCGGGGTCTATTCCGCCAAGAATGCCACATCTGTCGCGGGGCGCTACCTGGAGGCCCGGCTGGGGAAGCCCTCCCTGGTGAGGGAGACCTCGCGGATCACGCTGCTGGAGGCTCTGCGGCACCCGGTGCAGGTAGCGCGGCCCGAGCCCAGGGGGGTGCCCTGCACGCCCTGCCAGTCCCTACCCCACACACGGGCGCTGCTCGTGCTTCCTGGACCCTCCCCTGGGGACCACCGCGTGGGCCTGTGGCCTCTGGCAGCCTGCTGCCTGTGCCTGGGCTGGCGCCCTGCTGCCCCCACCTGCTGCTGTCTGCCGAGGCAAGTTACTCCGGCCAACGGCCACGATCCCGCCCGCAGGTCAGCAGACGGCTGCTCAGCAAGCCCCAGGACGCGCTGGAGGGCGTTGTGCTCAGTGTAAGTGCGCGGGCGGGCGTTGTGCTCAGCGGGCAGGCGGCGGCGCCATCCATGCAGCCCTGACGGTGCTGGCCCTGCCCGCAGCCCAGCCTGGAGGCCCGAGTGCGGGACATCGTGATCGCCACGCGCAACACGCGCCGGAACCGCAGCCTGTACAGGAACATCCTGATGTACGGGCCGCCGGGCACCGGCAAGACGCTGTTCGCCAAGGTGTGGCCCGGTGGGGGCGGGAGGGGCGCGGGGTGGGGGAGCACGGCCACAGCCCCTCGCCCTCCCACGCAGAAACTGGCACTGCACTCGGGCATGGACTATGCCATCATGACGGGCGGGGACGTGGCCCCCATGGGGCGGGACGGTGTGACCGCCATGCACAAGCTCTTCGACTGGGCCAGCACCAGCCGGCGGGGGTGAGCGTTGGGGCGGCCGGCGCGCTCCCCGGGGAGGGCCCCTCGCTGCCCTCCATCTGCTGCGCGAGCCCTGTGCCCGGTATGCCCATGGAGGCCACCCGGGCCAGGGCCAGTCCTGACTGCGCGTCCCCGCAGCCTGCTGCTCTTCGTGGACGAGGCCGATGCCTTTCTCCGGAAGCGCGCCACGGTGAGTGCCTCCGCCCAGCGGGCCGCCCTGGGGAGCCCTTGCGGTTGTGGCCACCGAGCACGGATGGCAGGCGGTGCTCCCGGCGGGGGTTGCACGGGGCTCCGTTTTAGCTTGTGGGGGTGGCGCCGGGGAGGTGCGCCCTGCCGCACCCCGCCCGCCTGACCCAGCTCTGTGCAGGAGAAAATCAGCGAGGACCTCCGGGCCACCCTGAATGCCTTCCTGCACCGGACCGGCCAACACAGCAGCAAGTGGGTGTCTGCGCCTGGGTCCAGCCCTTGCACACGCTTGGAGCCTCCGGCGCCCCGCCCCTCACCTGCTGCTCCAGCCGGCTTCCCCTCCCCCACCGGCCTGAGGCCTCCGGGTCTGAGGCCCAGCTGGGTCCCCTGGCCTGGCTCTCAGCGTGGGGAGACCCCCGGCCCGCCCCACCTCTGGCACCCGCGGACCTAAACGCTGCCAGCAGGGCCGGGGCGTAGGGGCTGCTGTGGGGTCCACGGGCCGCACCCACCACCTGGGGTGAGCCGCCTGCCGGGGCTGTGCCGAAATGGCGGCACGGCCGGGCCTGAGCTCCTTCCTCCACGCAGGTTCATGCTCGTCCTGGCCAGCAACCAGCCCGAGCAGTTTGACTGGGCCATCAACGACCGCATCGACGAGATGGTGCGCTTCGCCCTGCCGCGGCACGAGGAGCGGGAGCGCCTGGTGAGGATGTACTTCGACAAGCACGTCCTCAAGCCGGCCACGGAGGGCGCAGGGTGAGCGTCGGGCTCCCGCCCCTGCAGCCGCCCGCTCAGTGCCCTGCATGAGGGTGGGTGTCCGGGGCTGTGGCGCCGGCGGGTCCGCGCAGGCCGGCTGCTGGGCTCCCACCCGTGCCCCCCTTGGCCTCCCGCCCCGCCGAGCCTGGGCCGCCTGGTCTCGCTCCGCCGCAGCCCGGCCTACTTCCCCCGTCCCTGGGGATGCCTCGCTGCACTGACCCCAATCCCTCTCCATGCTGAGCCCCGCTCTGCCCGCCTGTGCCAAGCGCTGTCACCCGTCACCTCCTCCCTGTGTCCCCCTGCCTGACCCCTCCTCCGTGCCCTGTGGACGCGGCAGCCAGGCCTGCGCCTGGTCCCCCGGCCTGGCTGGCAGTGGTTGGGTGGGTCCTCCCGGGCCGGCAGGCCTGTCCCACGTGTTGGGGCCTCCAGGCGCGTCCCTCCCTTTCCCACGGCCAGTGGGTCTCCAGGAGGGGGGCTGGCAGGGTAGCGCGGGCACCAGGCTTGGCCTCACAGGGGCCCCCTTGCAGGCGCTTGAAGCTTGCCCAGTTTGACTATGGGCAGAAGTGCTCCGAGGTGGCGCGGCTGACGGAGGGCATGTCCGGCCGGGAGCTGTCCCAGTTGGCTGTGGCGTGGCAGGTGAGTGGGACTGCGCCCCGGGGACGCTGCCCTGGGTCTGGCCCAGCTGCCCCGCAGAGCAGGGAGTTCTGGGCTGCAGCTCACCTCTGTGGGCACCCCCAGCCGCAGGCCTGGGGCCGCGGGAACCGGTCTCTCCCTCCTGGCTGGCAACCCCTGCCGAACGAGCCTGCCCTTGGTGCTCTCTGCGCGCGGCTGACCCTGACTGCGGGGCTCTGGGCACCTCCTGGAAGGCGCTGTCCCACTGGCTGCCTGAAGGATGGGCCCCTGGGGCGGCGGAGGGGCCTCCGGGCTAGGCAGCGTCCCCTGACGCCTGGTTCACACAGCGGACATGCTGACTCGGCCGTGACGAGGCCCAGGCGCACCGGGATGCCTTTGCCAGCACAGGCTGGGCGTGCCTGGTGCCCAGCAGCCCCCATGGCCAGCTGGGTATCCTCTCTGCCACTCTCTGGTCCAGGCCTCCCAGGGAAGGGGCTGTGGGCCCCCCTACGGGGTGTAGACGCAGTTCTGGATGCCAGCTGGGGTCTGGCGAGCCCCTGCCTGCCTTCACCCTCCTCACGCGTCCCGGAGGCTGGTGGCCCCGGTCGCTGGGATGACACTGACCCTGCGGGGTCTGCCCCGTCCTCTGCCGCCATCATCCGGCCTCCTCCTTAGGGGCCCGTCTCCACACACAGCTGGAGGGACCAGGGCCCCAGGAGGCATGTGGGCTGACCACGTTCCTCCCCGACACGGCCTGGGGGTGCTTCTGCCGAGACCCGCTGTGCTGGTGCCGGCCACGAGCCCGGTGGACAGCGGGACGGGTCCCTGCTGGTGGGCGCCGGGGCCCACGCTGCCTCCCTGGGGTCTGGTCCTCAGCTGGTTGTACCTGCTCCTGGCCCGGCCGGCCTGACCCAGGTGTTCCTCCCTGCGCACCCCCACCTCCGGTCGGCCCCCTGCTAGCCTGGGTCTGGCCTGGGCGCGAGCTCCCCGCCCCCTGGTGCAGCTGTGGCGGGGCTGGTGTTGGTTGGGCCTGAGTCCGGGAGCCACGCTTAGCGTCTCCACGCTGCCACGTCCTCACCCCGCCCCCGAGCCTGTCTGCATGGAACGCCCCCCCACGCTCACGTTCTCCTCGCGGCCGAGGCCTTTTGCGGTGAGGCCTCCACGACTGGCTTGTCCACGCGGCCTGGCGGCCTCCAGGCCTGTCTGTGTCGTGCCTGGCCAGCTCCTCCCGGAAGGCGAGCCGCTGCGCTCCTGGGGGCGGGTCTCCCAGCGGCCTTCCGGCCTGGGGGGCGTGGCCATGCGCGTCCAGCCTCGTGAGGGTGGTCGTGTCCCTCATCTCCCCGCAGCGAGGCCCACGGGAGCACCTCGTGGTGGGGACACGCCCTCGCGCGCGCCGGCCGGTGTGCGGAGCGGGGCGGGTCCCCTCGGCTCCTCTGTCCGCTTCTCAGCGAAGCCGGTTTCAACTTAAGTCCCAGGAGCCCCCGTGTGTCTCCTCTGCGGTGTCTCAGCGGGCGCCAGCCCCGGCCCTGCGCCATGGGGGCTGCCCCAGAGACGGGCCGTGCCCCGGCTTTGACGCGCTCCGGTGGGTCCGTGTGTGCTTCCCTTCCGGTGCCTGCGGCGAGGCCCGCGTGGGGGTGTCGCGTCCACCTGGACTCGCGCGCGAGCAGAAGGCCGTCCTTCCCCAGCGGGCGTCCGGGCACCTTGTCGGAAGCCCTCTGACCCTCTCGTGAGGGCATTGCCGGACGCTCGGTGCCAGCCTGTCTGCCGGCACCGCGCGGTTCTGGTTGCTGCACCTGGGGGTGGGTTTTCAAGTCGGGAGGCGCGAGAGCTGCAGTTCTGTCCCTTCCGGGGGAGTGTGGCTGGTTGGGGCCACCGCGGAGGCCGCGCGAATTTCAAGGTTCATCTCTGTGTTCCCGCGAGAAGCATCACTGGCGCGTGGGCGGATCCCGCTGAACCTGCGGGGCCCCGCGGGCTTCCGCGCGCACCTGTGCCTCCCGGTTCTCTTGTCTCGTTTTCTCCAGAGACGCGCTGTGGTGTTCCGGGGCCAGGTGTTTTATCTGCTCAGTCATTCTTGCCTATTTTATTCCTTTCGAGATGACACTAAGCGGAATTTCTTCCCACTCGAGGTGACGTGGGTGGAAGTGCACAGTTTTCACCCCCAGCAGTTTATTCCCGTGCAGCTGTGTTGCCACGGCGGGCGGGGCGTTCACCTGTGAGGACACCTGTGCGCACAGGCGCTTGCGGGCCCCGCCCTGTCCCCAGGAGGCCTTCGAGTGTGGAAGGCGTCTTCCCCGGAGATGGGTTCAGGGGGGTTCGGTGGCCTGGTGGTTGGGGCTTGGCGAGCCCGAGGCCGGGCACCCCTCAGTGCTCTGTCTCTGCCCAGGCCATGGCCTACGCCTCTGAGGATGGGGTCCTCACCGAGGCCATGATGGACGCCCGGGTCCAGGATGCAGTCCAGCAGCACCGGCAGAAGATGCAGTGGCTGAAGGCTGACGGCGGCGGGCCTGAGGGCAGCCCGTGCCCGGCCTGAACACGGCTGAGCAGACTCGGCCCCGACACCGGGCCAGGCGCGTCACCACGGAGCCCCGAGGCGCCTGGTCACTGGCGGGTGGTGGGCTCTGCAGTCCCACCCGGTGCACAGCTGGGGCGGCACCGGTCCCCAGGCCCCGGGAGGTGCCCACACTGGCCAGGTGCCCGCTGAGCCCCCACGGCTGACTGACCTGCCGTCGGGCGGCCTGGCCGCGGGTGGACCAGCAAGGCCGCGCCTGACCTTGCGCAGTTCCACCCCAGAGCGGGTGAGGGGGGCTCTGTGCTGCCCAGGGCCCCAATTTGCCTGGGGGGGCATTTCTGAAGCCTGAGACCCACTGGCCAGTGGGGGGGGGGCACCCAGAGGAGCCCCGGCTCCCCCATGACTGGAGGTGGGGCCTTTTTATCCAGAACCTAATAAAATCTGATGTGATGACTCAGTCTCTGTATCTGCTCTGTCGCGCCAGGCGGAGGCCTGAGGGGCGCCGGGTCAGGTGAAAAGAGAGGCTGAGGCTGAGGCTGGAGCTTTCTGGAGAATTTACTGACCAGCAGGGGTGGGGGTCACAGTGAGGCGCCCGACCCGGATGCCCTGGGCAGGTGGCCGCCCTCGCCGCGGCAGGGCTCAGGGCCTTATTGCTGCTGGGCCGGGCTGCCCCGGCCCCCGCCCTGCGCCCCCCGGGGCCGCCGCCCCACGCCCCATGCACCTGCAGCGCGCGGCGGGGCGGCGGCCCGCGGCCCCCCATCGCCCCTCGGCCGCCGGCCCTGCCACCGGGCGAGACGCCCGCGCGGGGACGACGGCGCCCCGGCCCCCCACCCCCGACCCCTTATAAAAAGAAGAGGAGACAGCACCTTCCGCGGGCGCGCCCGGCGGCCACGGCGCCCTGGGCCCCAAGCGGCCGTCCAGTCCCGCGCGGGGCGCGGCCGGCCCGCCAGTCCTGCCCGCGGCTCACAGGTGCCGCGGGCTCGGGTGGCCGTTGTGGTAGAGTTTCTGCTTCACGTGCACCATGTTCCCGGCCGCCTCCTCGAAGGGCCGGTGCGGCCTCCGGCCCAGCTCCCGCAGGCTGCACAGCTTGGGCAGCCAGGTCCACGAGCCGTCTGCGGGGCGGGGGCGCGGTCAGGCGGGGGCGCGGGTGGGGGGGGGCTGGGGGCGGGCGGGGAGGGGGTGGGGGGGCCGGGGCCGGGCGGGTCCGCGCGCGGGGGGCACTCACCGTAGCGCCGGCCGGCCCTCCAGGCCCGCACGGCGCAGTGCAGGACCCCGTCCATCCACACCAGGAACCAGCTGATGCAGAAGCCCAGCAGCAGCCCCAGCATGAGGTCGATCTCCTGCTTGGTGACGTTGTCCGTCACAAAGTAGTTCTCGGAGGCGTCCACCACCGACTGGTCCCCGTCGTACGGGATCACGTAGTGGATGTGGTGCCTGGGGGCGGCAGGGCGGGCTGGCACCTCTCCCCCGCGGGTGGCGACCCCGTGGGCCGGCGGCACCAGCTCGCCCTGCTGGGGTCTTGGAAGCAGCTTTGTGGGGAGCTGAGGTCGGGCGGGACGGTGGGCTCTGTGCAGTGGGGCATCGGGTCAGAGCAATGTCTGCGCCAGCGGTGCCCACACCTCACCCGCCTGCTTCCTCCGCCAGGCCTGCTGCGCTGAGGCCATTCTGTGGGGTCACGGGAACACAGAGCAGGTGGACCAGACCCCAGGGTGAGGACAGGGCAGGGCGCCCTCCAGTGGCGGGTCACAGACCCCTGCAGAGGGCAGGCCCAGGGGCCCAGGGCCTGCGAACGGCTCCCAGCTGACCCCAGTGAGGGCCCAGGGCTGGGCCTAGCCCCGCCCCACCCAGCTCGCCCCGCCCCTGCCTGCACCCCTCATGCCCAGGACACAGACCTGAGTGTCCCCGGCCACGTTCCAGCCGTGCGGCCCCCCAGTTCACTCAGGGGACCTTGCCCTGCCTGCCAGCGCTGTGCCCCTCAGCCTCCTTGTCCTCCCTGCCCAGGCCCAGGTCACTAAAGCCTCAGGGCCCTGCTTCCCCCTGGGGCTATGTGGACCCCCAGGGAGGCGGCATCCTGGCCTCAGATCTGCCCCGTCCTCGCCTCCGGGAAGCCCTCTGTGTCCAGCACCCTGCTTGGGGCCCATGGGAGGGCCTGGGGAAGGGCGGCATGCCCTGCACCCCGCCACCCTGGCCGGCTGGGGCCCCTTGGGGCCTGCCCAGGGCCCCTCTCCTTCCAGATCCCTTTGTCGGCACCTCCAAGTCTCCCTGGAAGCCCCGCGTCTGCCCTGAGCTCCAGCTGCCTGCGTGGCGTCTCCACGTGGGATCTGCAGGCACCTCGAACCGCACCTAAAAATAGTCACTCCCCAACCTGCCTCCGCCTCGGCACTCACACCTCCGCAGCCGCCAGCCCAGCGGCCCTGCTCTCCGCGCCCGTCGCCCCGAGGGGCGTCCCTGGCCACGGAAGCGGTGTCCTCCTGGCCCCCGGGCCCTGCTGCCCCTCCCCGCAGCCCCTGTGCCCACTGTGGCCACAGTGGCTTCCTCTCCTGTGGTCAGGGGGGTCCTGACACCCCAAGTTCAGCCTGCCCCAGGGGAGACGGGGGAGCAGGTGAGCCTCTCCTCACACCCTCCTGCTCCTCCGGTCACCCCCTCGCCATCACGACTGGCTTGAGGGGCAGGGGTCAAGGCCACCACAGCCCCACAGAGTGGGCCACGGCCCTGTCAGCCCGCTGCCCGTCCTCCACAGCCAGTGTCTGCCACCGGTCACGGCCCCTGGGGCCCCGGGAGGGGTGCCTGTGACCTGCTGGTGGCCGGGTCACCTGGGAGCACAGGCTGGACCCCATGGCTGACGCTGACCCTCTGCCGTCCCTGCACTCTTGGGGCTCCTGGGCCGAGGACCCTCCCTCAGGACCACAGGCACAGGAGACCCAAGACGGGGTGTCCAAGGGGGCCTGGCCCCAGGCCCTGCAGGCGGGAAGGGTGAGGTCCCCACCGCTCAGGGCTGCTCCAGGTCCCCAGGGGTTTGGAGGTCTGGCCTGTGCTCCCCCGGCCGGGGCATCTGCCGCGGTGTCCCCCCACCCCCGTGTCCTCCTCCTCGGCCGGGCGGGGGGAGCCGCGCTTGGGTCACCCGCGCACACACAGGTGCGCCGGGGGCCGCCGGGCCGCAGCCGCTGCATCCCGGGGCGACCCGCTGCGTGGACGCGCAGCCGCATGCACAGGCCGCGCGCGCACCGCGGCCGGACCACGCGCGGGTCGGACAGCGCGGAGCGAGCACATGCGAGGCGCATGCGCCGGGCTCTGCGGGCGGCCGCCCCGCCAGGCGCGAGGTCACGCCAAGCGGTCACGCGGGGCAGAGGCCCCGCCGCCCGCAGACCCCGCGGTCCCCGCCCGAACGCGCCCGCGAGACGCCCCGCAGGGCGGGAGGACGGCGGCGCGCGGGAGCCCCGCCAGGCCACGGCCACGCCGCCCGCACCCGCGCGGTCGATGCCGTGTGGACGCGCTCGGCCGCGGACGCCCCGCGCGGCGGGCGCACGTGCACGCGTGCAGGACGCCCGGCCCCCCGCGCCCGCGCCCCCCGCGCCCCCCGCGCCCCGCGCGGGGCCGGCACAGCATGCGCACACGCGGCAGCCCGGCCTTGGCCGCTGGGGACGGCCGGGGTCTCCAGCGAGCGTGGCCCCCCAGGGCGGAGGGAGGGTCGTCTGCCCTCGGGCTCGCCGCGGCCTCCGGCGCACGCAGAGGCAGGTGGCCAAGTCGGCCGGCCCGGGCCGGGGGCGGACGGGGTGGAAAGCGCTGGGCCTGGGGTCAGCCCAGCCAGGGGCCGGCCGTGACCTTGGGCGCCAGCGCGGCCGTCCTGCAAGGGGTGCATGCTCAAGCGCGCGTGCGCGTGGCCCCACAGGTCCCCGCACAGACGGCACACACATGCGGCCTCGTGAGAAGATGTTTATTGGAACACGGACGGACAGACATGCAGGCGCGCCAGGCCGGCACCGCGAGTGCCCAGGGCGGGTCGCCGGGGCGTGGGGCCGGGCTCTCCCCTGGCCGGTGACCTTGAGCAAGTGCGGGCCCCCTCAGTGACCCCTGGGGGGCAGGCCCCTCCGAAGCTAGCCCTTCCCACCTCGACCTGCACTTCCCTGCCCACGACCGCAGGGAAGTTGACAGACACCGGCCAGGGGAGGAGGTGGGCGTGTGGGCACAGCGTGGGCAGGCGCCTCTGGGATGCCAGGCCCTGGGCCAGGAGGCCAGGCGGGTCTGCCGGCGCGCTGGGCGCCCTTCCCCAAAGGCACTTGCTGGGGGATGCGGCCCGACTCAGGCGCGCTCCCCGCCCCGCTGACCGGGCCTGGGTCCTCCCGCGCCCCGTCCCGGCGGCCCCTCCGCACGAGTGTGTGGTCGCGCGTGTGCCCGGCGGGCGCGGACTCACCGGCCACAGTTGCAGTGGCAGACGCGGTCCTCGCCCCGCAGGTGCGGGAGGATGTAGTTGTGGAATCGGTCCAGCAGCGCGTTCATGTCCATCAAGCACGCGATGGCCTGGAAGAGCCCATGACCGGTCAGCGCCGCCGCCGGCCGGGTCGGGGCCCAGCTCGCAGGGTGGGGGCGCGCCGCCGGGGGAGCGGGGGGCGGGGGGGCGCGGGCCGGGCCGGGGCGCGGGAGGCCGGGGCGCGGGAGGCCGGGGCGGGGGCGCAGGCCGCGCGGCCGGTAAACAAGCGCGGGCGGCGGGGGAGGCGGCGCGGGCGGGCGGGCGGGACGGGGGCGCGGGCGCGCGGGAAGCCCCTCCGCTCACCATCACGATCGACGCCCCCAGAATCATGAAGATCATGGTGTTCGCGCTCATGGACATCGGGCGGGGCCGGGCCGGGCCGGAGCGCCGCCCCCGGCCCCGGCGCCCCCCCGGCCCCGGCCCGATGCTGAGCCCCCGCCGGCCGCCTCCGCAGAGGTCAGCGCCGCCTCGGCCCGCGCCGCCGGGCGGCCCGCGCCGGTCAGGGAGGGAGGCGGCGGGGGGCGCGGGTAGGGGACGCGGCCGCTCCGGGGTCGCTCGGCCGCCCGGCCCGCCGCGCTCCGCTCCGCCCTCGGCCCTCCCTCCGCTCGGCGCCGCGCGGCTCGGCTCCGGCCCCCGCCGCCCGCGTCCTCCCGCCCGCCCGCCCGCCCGCGTCCCTCCGCCGCCTCCCGGGAGGGACCGCGCCGCCCGCGGGCCGCCCCGCGCCGGCGCCGGGAGGAGACCCCCGCGGGCCGCGGCCGCCCGAGTCCCGCCCCCGCCCCGACCCCTCCCCGGGGAGCGCGCTCCGGCCTCGCCCCGCCCGGCCGCGCCCCGCGCCCCGCGCCCCGCGCCCGGCCCGCCAGCGCCCCGCGCGCCCGCCCGGAGGCCCCTCCCCCGCCGCGCGGGCCGGACGGGCTGCTCGGCCGGGGGCGCCGGGGCGGAGGGCGGGCCCAGGCAGGGCCCCGCGGCCGCTCGGCTCAGCCCTGGGGCCGGCCAGACCCGGGCGGCCGCCGCCGAGCGCCCCGCGGCCACCCCACGCAGGTCCGGGGGCCCCGGCCCAGGGGCGGCGGGAAAGCGGGGCGCGGCGCGCACTCCCGGGGGCGGGGGCCAGGCGGGCCCGCCCCGCCCCCAGAAGGGCCCTGAGGCGGCTCCTCGCCGGCCGGGCCGGGCCGGGCCGGGCCGGGCGGCAGGTCCGCGGCCGCCGAGGACGGGGCAGGGGCCCAGGCGGCGACGCAGGAAAAGCACAGACCAGCGGTCACAGCTGCAGTTTATTGGACAGCGGCAGGTCCCCGGGGTACAGACGCCCCAGGGGTCGGGCGCCCCAGCGCGCTCCGCCCCAGGGAGACGCCCCCGGCCCCCAGAAGCAGGCGGCGCGCAGGCCCCGCCCCTAGTAGAAGCACACGGTGTGCAGGAAGGCGCGGCCGCTCTTCTCCTCGAACTCCTGCAGCAGCTCCTCGATCTCGTTCTCCATGTCCTCCGTGTGCTGGATCTGCGGGGGCGGAGCCTGAGCCGCGCGGCCGGGTCCCCCGCGGGCCCCGCAGCAGCCCCTGCCCCTGCCGCCCTGCCCGGCAGGGGCGCAGGCCAGGGGCCCGGCAGGGGGTCACCACGCCGGAGGCGGACCCAGCGCGGCTGTGGGGGGCACTGCCCACCACCCGGCTGCAGGAGCACCCTGGGGGGGGCCCGCAAGCGACTGCAGTCGGGGCAGGGGCTCCAGGGGCACTGCTGGCCAGCTGCCCCCAAAACAGTGGCCCTCCAACCGCCGGGGCGACCCGAGTGGAGTGGGAGCACCGCGCAAGCGCAGGATCCTCTGCAGCCACGCCGCGTCCCGAGGCCGCTGGGCAAGGGCCCAGGGACCCTAGGGGGAGGGGGCCCAGGCGTCTGCAGGATGTACCCCAAGGGCAGGGGCCCACGGCCCCGCGTGAGGAGGTGCGCCCCGGGCCGGCCTGCCGTACTCACGCACTGGCACAGCTCACAGATGAGGAACGCGCCCAGCGTGGCCTCCTCGTGGTTGTCCTGGATGTCCACGTTGATCACGTGCACCGGCTGGCAGGTCTCCTGCTCCCGCGAGTTGAGGTCTGCGGGCGGCGGGCAGAGCCTGAGCCAGGGCTCCCTCCGGGCGCAGCGCCAGACGCAGCGGCTGTGCCCGGACACCGGGCCGGCGGGGCCTGGGCGGCCTGTCCAGGGGGGTGTGGGCCGTGTCGCCCGCCTGCCCGCCCCGCGGTGGGCGCAGGACCCCGAGCCACACGGGGCCCAGCCAGCCCCACGCCGAGGGCCTCCCTGGCCCGGGCCGACAGCAGCCGCGAGGCAGGCACAGGGTGGGCGGCGGCGCTCACCTTCCACCACCTGGTCGTACACGCGCTCCTCGCAGGTGAGGATCAGGTCGAAGAGGTCCCGGCAGTTCTGGAAGCGCTCGGGCCGCGGCTTGATCCTCTTGTTGCGGTCCAGCATGTGCAGGATGCCGTTCTGCGTGTAGCTGCGCGGGGTTAAGGCTGGCCAGGAGGCTAGTGGCTACACCCGACGCGCCTGCCCACGCCCCCAACACCCAACACCCGCGTGGGGCGCGTCCCGGCGGCCGGGAAACCCGCAGCCGAGCGGGCGCATGTGTGCGGGGTCTGGGCTGAGGCAGCAGACGGGGCTCCGGGGGGCGCCGCACCCTCAGGCCCCAGGCAAGGCTGGGGCTGGAAGGGGGACTCCGAGGTCGCACCCAGGGTCTCCCTCAGGCTTCGGCGTGACACCCCTGCGGTGCTGGCTCAGCGACCCCCCACCCCCAGCTCCTCTCCACACAAGCCCAGCAGAGGAAGGGGGGGGGCACAAGCCCTCAGGCGCCCTCATCCGGGCTGACTAGTCAGCGAGCGGTGACTGCTGCCGAGGAAAGGCACACCCAGCCAGCGACACCCACCGCAGGCCACCGCAGCTCCAAGCCCAAGGGTGCCCCACGGCAGCTCTGGCCGGGAAGGTGGGAGCCGGCCATCCAGAGAGGGACTCAGGGGCGGGGGCGTCCCTCAGCCTGACTGCAGGGGCGCCGGGAAGGTAGCCACGGAGGACACCCCTGGTGAGGCCTGAAGCTTGGGGGGCAGGTGAGATGGGTGAGTCCTGGGCCTCCCCAGAGGCCAAGGGCAGGATGAGGTCAGGCCCAGGGGGTCACCCAGACCCTCGCTGGAGGGGCCAGGCGACACCCACTAAGGGAGAGGCCAGGCTCCTGCCGTGGGGCCCCCGGTCTCCGAAGGGCAGCGGTGAGCAGGGCTCCCGCCTGCACCCTGGAGCTGGGAAGCCGTGCCTGGCTGGACAGGGCAGCGGCCCGAGGCGGCGCCTTGGCAAGACCCTCCCTGGGCCCCTCGCAGGCCTGTAAGGGGGCCCAGCCGAACACCGCAGCCCCCCCCAAGGTGTGTCACCCCAGATGGAGCCCGGGGCTCTGCGCAGCGGGCGGCCCGGCACCGGGTCTTATTCACGTTGAAGGCGCTCGGAAGCGTTGAAGAAACAAGCCCAGGAGAAACCAGAAAACTGAATCGGGAAACGTCCCGGGTCTTGTCCCGCTTCAGGCGGACGCCCCGCCGGGCTCCCGCGGGAGCAGCGCTCTAGCTGTTGGCCGCGAAGCCCCGCCGCGCCCGACACACGGGACGGGCCAAGCCCCAACCGCGGAGCCCCGAGGAAGGTGCCCATGAGGGGGGCCGGCTGCAGCCTGGGCCGGGGCGCGCCCCGCCGACACCCGCCACTTAACCTGGCGGCTTTACCCGGACACCTGAACGTCAACCCCGGCGCTGGGGATGCCAACCCCACGGCAGGTGCCCGCAGGGCCACCCAGTGCAGAACCCCCCGCCCCCGAAGCTGGGGGCCACTGCAGACCGGGCCCCCAAGTCCAGAGCAGAGGCAGATTGAGGGGGGAGGAAGGGCCCCCCCGCAGCCCTGGTGGGGCACTAGGGCGCCGCTGGGCACAGGGCCAGGCCAACTTCCAGAGGCGTCCACACAAGGGCAGGACCCTGGAAAGCCAGGGGCCACTGCTGGGCACAGGCACCCAGACACGGTGCTCACATTTGCCAGCAGCTTGACCCCAGCACTCCTGGGGGGCCCCGAGCGAAGGCGCTGCAGACTACACACCAGCCCCGCAGTCATCAGAGCTGTGGGGAGCCCCGAAGAGCCAGGCCGCCCCCAGGGCCTTGCTCCTCCCGTGCTGACTCAACCTCGGACACCCCTGGGGTCAGCGCCGGCTCGGTGCACGCAGAGCATCGTGTGGACGGGCCCGGGCAGGGGCAGCTGGAGCCTGGCCTTCCCACGCCTGAGCTGCCCGGAGGCGGGATGCGTCAGGTGGGACCAGGGCGGCGCCGATGGTGGTGCCCACTCGGGGTGGCTCCCAGGTCAGCACAGGTCGTCTCCAGAAAAGCGCCCACCTGCCAAGCGGGTGGAGCCGAGGGGGGCCTGGAGCTGGGCCCTGCAGGGGGCACCCCAGCGTCTCAAAAACCCAGGGCTGGGGCTCGCCGGTGGCGCAGGGGTTAAGCTCAGCACCGTGCAGCTGCCGCCAGCCACCGCAGCACAGACTCCATCCCTGGCACAGGGCGCCGCAGACCTCTCCGGTCTCCCGCGGCTCCCCTCAGCAGTGGATTTCAGTGGATCTGCCTGCGCTGCTCCCCACCGTCCCTGGTCAATCTTCTCATCCCCCACACCTCAAGCCTGCACCCCAGTTCTTGTATGCATAAACAAATAAATCCTTTAAAAAAACCCAAAAAACCAGGGCCTCCTCAGTGGCGCAGCGGGTTGAGTGCAGCGCTGTCCACAGTCTCTGCGGCGCGGGTTTGATCCCCAGGCAGACAGGGAGATTCCCACATGGCACAGACGACCTCTGTCTCCTGGCTGCTCCCCTCAGCAGTATACTTGGCCCTTCTGCCTGTTCTGCTCCCCACTGTCTCTGGTGAATCCTCTCACCCTCCCGCTCCTCTGCCTGTACCCCAGCTCTTGTATAAATCTTGGAGGCCTCCCCGGGGGCGCAGCGGTTGAGCGCTGGGTTGCGAAGCTGCCCGCGGCCTCTACGGCGCTGGTTCGATCCCCGGCTGCTCCCCGGCCACCAGAGGAGGGTCCCACAGGGCGCGCAGACCTCTCCTGCCGCCCGCTGCTCCCCTCAGCAGTGTGCTTCGGTCCTTCTGCCTGCTCTGCTCCCCGCTCTGGTGGATTCTCTCGCCCTCCTGCGCTTCTGACTGTGCCCAGTGCATGTATAAATACATAAATAAATCTTTAAATAAATAAATAAATAAATCTTAAAAAAAAAAAAAAAACCATGACACAGCTACCAAGGGGCAGGGCAGCCTGTGGGCCTCCAGCTCCCGGCTTCCAGGGCACGCCCAGGGCGGGGTCTCTGCCAAGGGAGCAGTGGACACACCAAGCCAACCGCAGGCCGAGA